ATCAGCCGATCCAGTTCTTGAAGAGACATCAGCTGATCCAGTTATACTAGAACCCGTTGAAGAGACAATAGAAACAATAGAAGTATTAGAAACATTGGAAATAATAGAAACAGTAGGAACAGTAGAAATATTGGGCAACAGTAATGAACAGACAGTCGCTCAAGAAGTGGTGATTGTACAAGAGATTCCTACGGAGGATGTGAACAATATTAATCAAAAACGGTCAAAGAATCGTAAAACACCTACGAAACGATTGAAAACCAGAAATACTTCTCCAATATCACCTAGCTGTAAAAGAACAACAAGGTCTTCCTTGAAGATCCATAATTTAAATGTAAGTGATATTACAGTGATTGAGCCTATTCTTGAGAAAAGAACACGTAGCGTACCACGTGGCATACCACGTAGCGTATCACATAGCTTACCACCTATCCTACCATCTACCGTACTATCTACCGTACCACCTAGCATACCTCTTAGCATACCTCCTAGTGTACCTCCTAGTATACCTCCTAGTGTACCTCCTAGTGTACCTCCTAGTGTACCTCCTAGAATACGTCCTAGAGCACATCCTAGAGTACTATCTAACATACCAGTTAACATCATATTACCTGACATACCGTATATGATTGTGAAAGAAGCAAAAAATATGTAGAAAGAAAACGGGAAGCAAAAATTTTACTTAGCGCCCGAATATAAGAGTATAGAATTATTTTTTGATGGCATGGCACAGGCTGTGAAAAAATTACCATCTAACGCGCAAACGGATATCAAGTTGAGTATCTGCAAACTCGTCACAGAGGCGGAAATAGAATATTGTAGTCCAACTACAATACAGAGCACACAAGTTCTTAACACCGCATGATACCTAAGCTAATTTTGATTCCTTCTAGTAAGTTGGATAATCCAAATAATAAGAATTGATTTTTTCATGTTGCGCTGAATGTGTCTTAATGCTGAATAAAATTGTAAGTGTATTAAGTTATAACTAATTAAATTATAAGTATTATATAGTTTTTATATCTTTTACATCATTCCAATATTATATTCATCACGAGTTCTCTTGACAAGCTTGTGTTAGTTTCATCTGTATGCGGAATAAAATTATGAAATTGTATAGTAGAACTACAAACGAGATTATATTTTATTATAATTACATTTTATACTAGAATCTGTAGAGACGGTAAAAATTATAAAACAATGATTATCATGATAATTATCATTGTTTTAAAATTATAAAATATAATCGTTTATCGTTTGCTATTCACTCTCATAATTTTATTCAGCATATAGATGAAACTAACGAACTTATCAAAAGAACTGTGTTGTGATGAATGTAATATTGGAATGATGTAAGATATAAACACTATAGATGTGTGAGATATATGTCATGTTAAAATTTAATTTTAACTTATTATATTCATGGACTCTCTATAAAGACAAAACGTTTTATTTCTTGACATGTATCTCTACTTACATCTAATAGATGTTATAAAATTAAATAAATGTGTTGATTGATGTCAAAATAATGTTACGAAGTAGAAAGTTGTCATAAGTTAAAAGTACATATAGTCAAAATAATATTAAAAGTGATTATGTTATATTACATTTTGTTGATAATGTTCGTATAAGCATGGTGCAAAAATTTAGTGTCAGATATTTTATTCATTAGCTTTGAAATTTGATATGAAGCATTTTAGAGAAATCAATCTCTTATAATTGATTTCGTTATGCACGTGTTTTCCCATTCAAATTCATGTTTGAATTGCATCCTGTGTTCTGTAATGACAAACCGGTTTTTTTTTATCGATATTAAGATATTCAGCAATTCTTGTTTTTAGTTTTCTTCCTGTCTGTCCTACATATGAGGCATTGTAATCTTTACAATTGATTTTATATATGATATTTTTCTTGGAATCGTGAGGAAGGACATCCTTTTGTGTCTTGATAATCCTATTGAGTTTATTTATACTGAATCAAGATAATTTAACATTATTGTTTTTGTAATGTTTTTAAATTTTCCATAAAGGCAAGGAAAAAATGGAATTGTAAACCATGTGGCTTTTTTTCTTCTCATCATTCTTTGGTTCTGTGGAATCTGTTTATTTAAGTGTCTTTAGTTTTAATAAGGATCTTAGCCAAGAGTTAACAGTGTCAAAAATAAACTTGATAGGATATTCGTTAATCAGAAAGATTTCGATAATAAACCTCAAATTTTTTTTTTTGGTATTTAGGATGTGATAGTAAGAATGTTGTATCCACCATGCTTATTAGAACACTCTTTTTTGTGAAAGGGGGTGAAGAGACAAGAAACTGAGATACCTTTCTGAAAAAGTTGGTTTGTGATATAAATTAAACTTTTATTCCATTGACATTAATGATTATATGACATCTAAAAAATTTAATCTATCTCCTGCATATTCTAAATTATAGTCTGATATGTAGTGAGTTAAAAATGTCCAGAAATTTATTAATTAAGTGGTGAGATACCGCAGTAGCGATGTCATCTACATATCTAAAGAAGAAGAGTAACTTAGTTTCAAATCTCTCCAATGCGAACTCATGGCGAATCCATGGGCATCTTAAATTTCTGTTTGTAAATCTTGCTATCAAAGGTGAAAGTTGATTCTAAGACCAACTTCAGTGCATTTAAAAATTCTTATGGGTGCCCTTGCGTGTCCTTGAAATAAAATTCCACCTTTCAGAAATACTGTTGATGGCAAGATCCATTGGTATGTTTATGAACAATGAAACTACGTTTAAGGAAATTAAAACCATGGTGGAAGTTTACTTCCACCATGATTAAAACAAAATCATTGTCCCGATGTGTTTTCGACCAGTTTAAAATTATCTTCGTTATGACTGGGTGGTTTTAGAATGTAATCATTTAGAATGCTTAATTAAAATTAAATTTTATCTTACCAATTTAAATTAGACATCTGCTAATATACTTTGTAGCGTTTCTGGTATGAGTAATGAGTTTATTTTAGCTATTGCTAAGAAGGAACTTGTTACAACGAATCTAAATCACTCATCTTTTTATACCAGTATACTTAAAATCTATTTAAGACTGATTAATTCACACATTCAGCGCGTTTCTGGTATAAAATGTTTAAATAAATGTGTGTATGTGTGTGAAATATCAAATGTATACATGTTTTTTGTGGAATTAATGTCAATAAAAGATCAATATTTTAGTATCATCTAGTATTTATCATTCAATGAACAACAAGGATAAAAGATACGCAGTGTTGACAACTTGATAGTTAAGTTTTAGAACGCACCCCTGAGTGAATGCAACGCGAACAGACCTCACGCCTAGTGTCTAAAATAGCGTTTTCGACTGGGAAAACTGGTGCAGCACTAGCGCCGTGCTACCCAATCAGCATACCATATTCAAAAAGTATTTTTTAAATTCCCAGTGGAAAACGCTATAATTCTTGTGTCTGTTCGGCATTTCGGAATGAGAACGTGGTTATATGCGTTCTTCACAAGGTATCGTGATTGATGGTGATCTAACTTGCATTGTAAACAATTGGTGAGTATAAATAAAATATTATATAAAAAACTACATGTTAACTCGAACACTACTTCTAAATTTTCTCGTAGTACGTTAACACTATATTTTGCTGAGAAGGTGTATGCTCTTTTGAGAATACAATGGTGATGGAGGAATCAGATATGGAATTAGCTTCGGAAAGTATACCGGTTCCCCAGATACAGGAGCCAATAGTTGATACAGTTAAACGCAACAACAAGCCAGGCGTTTCGCGTGGTAAACCAAGGCTGAGAAAGAAAGCGTTGCATGCCGCAATACTTAAGCAGATGGAGTTTTATTTCAGTGACGCTAACTTGAACAAGGATCGTTTTTTGTCAGGACTTTTGAAAGAAAATCCTTGTAAGTATTCCTTCTTTGTCACTTTGAGTCAAGATAAGCCTTTAATTTATATATTTTTTAATTGTGTTAAATCAAAATATTAGTTATAATTATTCTAATTTCTTAGATGTGGACCTTGAAATATTCACAAGATTTAATAAGCTACGTGAGCTGACCACAGATACAAACAGGATAGCTAAAGCTCTACACGGATCGACTATGTTAAAAGTATCAGAGGATGGTACAAAGGTCTGTCGATTAACACCAATTCAGAAGAAAGAAGATATTGATCAGTGTACAATTTATGTACAAAATTTACCTCCAGATGCTGATCATGACTGGTTGATATCTATTTTTTCTAAGTATGGATCAGTAGACTATGTCTCGATTCCACGTTATAGGAGCAACAAGAAGATAAAAGGATTTGCATTTGTAGAATTCGATAAGCCTAGTAGTGCTCTAGAATGTATTAAGGTAAGAGAAATAGTACTTGTCAATGGTTGCCAGATATAATTACAGATGTCGAAGGTATGTCTTTCATCACTTGGTGACATGTTATAGTTTACATTTTATTTTATAGACATTCCGGAAAAAAAGATGTGTTTTGCCATCACATATATCTCCTAATGAGTTATTAAGTATAACAACATTTGATGAACCTAATAAAGATGCAGCAGTTGAAGTAATAAATTCAAAAGTTAAGATAAGATTGAAAGATAATGAAAACGAAAAGGCATCTAATGAAGAAACAGAGAATACTAGCCGTAAAGGACTCCGTTTAAAGAGATTGATGACAGAAGAAGAAGAAACCGAGACCAAAGACAACATGCATGAAATGGACATAGGGGATAATACTAGCAAACAAAGTTTAAAAAAAAGAAAATATTCTTTGGAAAAATCTGTTACAGACGAAAGTGATGTTAAAGTTAAGAAAAAGAAAAAGGAAACTGCTGATCAAAGTATAATAGATCAAGATGAAGGAAAAAAAGTATTAAAATCTGAATCCGAAGACAAGAATAATATTCTTGATAATGAAACAGATGCAGTAGATAACAATGGCAGACATAAATTTAAAAAAAGAAAATATTCTTCAGAAAAATTATTTGTTACAGACGAAAATCAAGAAAAAGACATTAAAGTCAAGAAAAAGAAAAAAACCATTGATCAAAATATATCATATCAACAGAATGAAAAAGAAAAAGTGTTAAAAGAAGAACTTAAAGACAATGATAATACTTGTGGTAATAATGTAACATATAATAATGATAAACAAAGTTCAAAAAAGGAAAAATATACCACGGAAAAATCACTTATTTCAGATGGAAGTGACGTTAAAGTAAAAAAAAGAAGAAAAACTGTAGATCAAAGTACAATAAATCAGCAAGATGAGAAAGAAAAAATCCCAAAAGAAGAATCTGAAGATAAGGATAATGATATAGCATATAATAATGATAGACAAAGTTCAAAGAAAGAAAAATATACCACGGAAAAATCACTTATTTCAGATGAAAGTGACATTAAAGTCAAAAAAAGAAGGAAAACTCTAGATCAAAGTACAATAGATCAGCAAGATGAGAAAGAAAAGGTGCCAAAAGAAGAATCCGAAGATAAGACTGATGCTTACGATAACGAAACAGATATAGCAGATAATAATGATCGACAAAGCTTAAAGAAAAGGAAGCTTACTCCAGAAAAATTATATATTAAAGACGAAAGGGACAGCAATGTCACTGGAAACAGTACAGAAAATCAAGAGATTCCGAGTAAAAATCGCAATAAAATTACAGAAAAAAAGAAGAGGAAACTTACGACAAATGATACAATCACTACGGAAGACAACAGTGGAGAAGCGGTAAAAAAGGAATGTCAAAAATCAGCGACAAATTCAAATAAAAATAAATCAACAGAATTGAAATATCCATATGAAGGCGATGAGAACAACGAGGCAAATGCTTTAGTGCAAACTGAAAAACAATCTACAAGTGATTTTGGTGCGAGAAATAGCGATATCGAGGAAACTAGTGATGAAAGGAAAAAGAAAAAAAATAGGAAAAAAAGAAGTAAAATTCTGGACAACGATATTTATAGTAAGATAGGATTGCAAATAATGGCAAAATTAGATTGGAAACGTCTTAGAAATAGATATTTAGATTTGCAACGATATAAAATGAAACAACTAAAGGTGCATTTGAGAAAAGCTGAAGTGGAACGAGATGGAATTATAAAAAATGGATATCATGATAAAATCGGACAAACTAATACATTGCATGATAAATTAAAACATGAAAATGATAATGGTAAACTTGAAGAAAAGTCTTATGGACGCGTCAATTATGTGCCAGGAATTATAGTAAAAATCGAAATGGATGAGCCTTGCACAGATATGCAGAGTTTCAAGGTACATTCATTCATAGAAAAAATTTTTTTTATGAATTAAATGTTACTTTTTAATTTTAATAAAAACTTTATTTTAAAAAATATAAGAAATTGTGTGTATATATATATATATATATATATATATATATATATATATAAGATGTAACAACTGATTCTTGTGAAGCTTATGTAAGATGCGATACAGCAGAAGCTGCGCAAACATTCGCACAGCAGAGTTATGAAGGAAGACACTTAACTATTTTAGAAGGTAAAAATATATTTAGAAAATTTTACCTAGAATAAGGCGGCACGTGATACTTGTTTTCCCACTGCGGATTACTGCTTAGATTAGATTCTTGCTATTGTATTGGCTGCGATGCTGGCACTGTCGGTACTGCAGCCAATATGATGGCAAGATTCTAATCCAACTAGAAATCCAACAAGAAAACAAGCATCGTATGCCGCCAACTTTATTTACATATTACGAACAGTAAATTTGTTACCAACTTTATATGCTCATTTTCTAGGTGATGAAGAGAAGTTGTATTGGGATAAAATAGCAGAAGATAGGATGGAAAAGTTGAGTAAGAAAAAAAGAGTCAAGCAAAGGGGGCGCGATAAATTGCTTAAACGAGCAGAGAAAGAACTTGGAAAATGTATAAAGTTCGATCAAGATTAATTTATGGTATTATTCAACTTTTATAAAGCTTAATTAGGTACATGTGTACACGTACGTCCCAAATTCGCACATCCCAATCGGACACAACCATTCATAGACAATACATAATATTCATAAAATATTTTTAAAATATTTTATGCTGTCTGATCGGTATCATTTTTCCACCAATGAGAATGTGTTATTTCGCTTTAGCCAATTTGCGATGTGTTCGATAGAGATGTTCCCTATAATACGATGGTAATTTGAAAACTTCGCGATTTTTAATTCATAAGGATGCGAGCACACGAATCACTTTGTCATGTGATAAAACAAACATTGATCAGTTCATATACACTTCATGCTTTTGAATCTATAGATTTGTCTGCATTCTTTGCACTAAGTTTTTTCGCTTTCTTTCTTTTCAACATTCAAATATCATAGATCTTATACAAGATGGATATATAAACTCTATGCTGAATATATCTGTTTTCTGTGATGTGACTGAATTAATATATACTTTTGGAACTTAAAAATATGAGATATATGTACAATATATACGTTTAATATTTAACGAAAGCGAGAAAAGTTTTAGTGCAGTGTCTAATACCATCAGTACAGTGTGTGTGTGTATCTAATAGAAATAAAAAAACTGAGCTTATATTTATCTTGTTAAATGCAAACGTTTTTGAAAATTTCAAGCAATGAATAAATCTTATATACTCCAATGCATAAAATCATTAAAGTTAAGCGTACATCAGCGTACATAATATATTAAAAAATAAAAGTAATTTAAATCGGAGTGCCAGAGAATTGGGTTTGACTCCCGACCGAGGTAATATTTTTCGCAATAAAAAATTAATGATTTGCAGTTTTAATATGTCAATTTACAGATTTTAATACGTTATTCATCATCTAAAAATGCATAGAATATTAACAATTCTTAAATTATTAGTCAATTTAACTCGTGGTATTACTGTGGTAATTTAGTGCTGTTGTGTTTCAAATCTGAAGAAAAATTTGGCGCGCAATAAAAATCTACAAATAGTATATATAAATTCACACGTAATTATATAGAAGTACTCAAGATGTAGCTTGACCGTTACGGCATGTTCTCATCGGTATTTGGTTTAAAAGTAATTTAAAACCTAAAGATATATAATATTCATTGTGTTAGGCTGCAAAGTTTTCAAATTGTTCTTTTATAATATTCAATTTCTTCACCTCTAGATAATCTTTTATCTAGAACATATCTCCCACAATACAGTGGAGATATCTCCTGGATAAAGTTATCCATAACTTATCTGGAAGTGAAGAAATTAGGTATAAGTCCACATATGTGTATATGTATGTACATGTATGTAAATATTAGTATCACTATGAGTACAAGAGAAATTATTAAAAAAATTTTGACAAACTTATAACTGAATAAATTATATAAAATGTTTAATCCTTTTATCATTTACAATATTTATCATTATAGTATATAAGATATTATTCTAATATTAATTTTAAATCTACCATCTTCCTCTCCCTCCTCCTCGACCACCACCTGAATTAGAACGATTAAATCCACCGCTTCCTCCGCGACCTCTAAATCCTCCACTGCTGCTTCTGTTTCCAAAGCCACCGCCTCCTCCTCCTCTTCCGAAAGATCCTCTGCTGCTGCCTCTACCTCCTCCTCTGCCTCCACCACCTCTTTTCATGACCCTGCCACCACCACCACCTCTTTTTGATTCTCCAGGAGGTTTCGGCAAAAACCTCTGAAGAGGCAACAGCTTTGCTGGGTCGATATATAACTATAATCAAGAGACCATGAGTTATGATATTGGACCTAAGTACTTTAAAAGATTTTAAGGAATAATTTCTCATATAAATTTAAGATAAAAGCTTCATATAACAATATATCTGAAACAGCTTAATTACGAAGATATAGAATGTTGAAGTTTTAAAAGAAAAATATTGTTTTTCCCAAAAAATTTTGAAAATCATTCAAGTTTTAATAAAATTTTAAACAATCATTCAATAAAATAACTCTAGTAGTTTCCAAAATTTTTGAAAACATTTTTTCTTTGACACCCTTATTCTTGAATTTAAATCAGAAAAATAATCATCTGAAGATTTTGTCTTTAATTTGTATGAGAAATATTTTGAAATTCTTAGTAGCTACTCTTTATTTGAATGTTTCTAACTTTAATTATAATTATAATACCTGAGCATCTTTCTGGAAGCTAGAGGCTTTCACATTTTCTGATAACTTGATAGACACATAGTAGTCTCGAATGTTCCCAAATATTTCGTCTATTTTCCCAATCTGCTGTTTATTCTCTGTATAGATCGGTGCATTGAAAAAGGGTACCTGTTCAATGTCGACTTTAAGAACTAAATCATTTTCTACCGTCCATGTAAAATGTCCTAACGGCATCACTGTTTCTGGAGGGCCTTGATCATACCTAAATTTGAACCACAAAACATTTAATGCCTTGGAGTTTCATTTTGTAACCTAACCTAATCTTTGACAAATTTGTCTGACGCATATTATGCAATTATTATTACAATATTCAAGAAATTACCCTCTGCTCCTATCGAAACCACCAGGACGTCCCCTGCTAAATCCTCCGCCTCCTCTGCCACCCCTAAAACCACCACCTCCCCTACCGCCGCGTCCACGGAAAGACATCTTCTCAATTCAATTCGGTAGAATGACCTCGTCCGCCTGAGCGCATGGACGAAACGGCCAGTATCGGCAGTATTGTAACACTGCCGCCACAGGCGGCGAGTGATAGAAGTAACGTTGCAGTCGGGGAACCGACTGGAGCACCAAATCCCCAGAAGTCCCTAGGTAGAGAGACCGGAGAGGGGAAATTAAATGAGAAGGTTGTTAGATTTAAGGAAAGCAAGAAGTAGACGAATAGTTTTAGGATGGGGATGAATGAGAAGCGGAAAGATATTCTCTTGGAAGTTTGGGAAAGACATCTTCTTCTTCTTCCTTAGTTAATGGCACCCGCCTCAGTATAATAGGATAATAGGACAGTATAATAGGACGTCGATACGGTCAGATCACGTTTCAATAGTCTTTAAAAATACACAGTTTTAGGTAGAAAACAAAACTTGTAGTAGATAGATGCGAACTTGTGCGCCTTGTTGGAGTATGTGTCTCCAAGCATAACCTCTTACAGAAGATTGCAATACTCCGTGATGAGTAAAATTGTTTCGCAAAATTTATACCTTTTATACCACTAAGTAGTTCTAAGTAATCTCACACCAGGAGGGTCAAACTCCTATCTTGAAAGAAAGGGTAACAGATTCGTGTTCCACACGTGTTGCACGTGTAAATCAAATTTGATGCAATTGAGTGCAATTCAGTATTTCAGTGTACGATTGGTGCAAATGGAATAATTTTCTGCTTCCACATGTAATGCGCGCATGCGCATTATGGAATCAACTCATCACTATAGGCCTGTTCTTTTTGCCTGCACTGTCTGAACTGGTTCATACAGTGCAATAAGTTGAAATGAAACAAACGTATATCTGTTTCACTTCAACTTATTGCACTCTGTGTACCAGTTCGGTAAAAAGAACAGGCCTTATGCGTATAGCGAACATTACAAATCACTATTCTCGCGCGAATTAGAGTTCTTTATTCGAATAGAAAAAAGAAAAGAACGTACGCGATGAGAATGAATTTATGGAAAGCAATAAAATATTTCGATGGATCTTTATGATGAGATGTTAGAAATTTTACCCGAATAATCATACAAAAATAAAGCTTTTATATCATATGCAAAAATAGCACGACCATAAATACGTTAGATTAAGTTAAAAAAAATTATTTTACATCAGTTGCCTGTCCGATCAGAGAATAAGGTAAAATATTCTAATTAACTAAATAAAAGAATAAAATATAACTCGTTGAGAGATTTTACATATATTAATTTTATTACTATATGTAAGTAAATCTCTGCAAATATAATTAATTATGAAATTTATAATAAAATAAAATCCAGTAATACTCATAATTTTTAACTTTTTACACAAATTTTTGACAATGTAAATTATTAGACACATAAATAAAATATTATTTATTATTAATTAGTTTTTAAAATTTCTTTCTAGAAGACCCGATATCGAGCTTCGGGAATTCGATCTGTCAGAATCTGACAAAAAGTACATTTATTAAACAACAGATTTGAAAATAACTCTTCTGCGACGTAGATCATTTCTGCGGATAGTCGGTGTATTTAAGTAATCATCAACGGAAATGTATTTCGGTCCACCGAAGTTGTCCAGTAAGGCGATTGTCGATATGTCTAACTCGGCGAAAAAGAAATCGTGATCTACAAACAAACGGTACAATATAAGTCCATTTATATCGATGTAGATCAATTTTGATCTTAGGTTAATTTACTTTGTATTCTTTTCTAATTCTTATAGAATTAGAAGAAAAGATAACAGTACAAGTTAAAAAAGTATAAGTTACAACTGAGAATAATAAAAAGTTAATCTACATAGAAGTGGATAATAAAATCTCATGTACTAAGATTTTTTAGTATACGGAGAGACTATAAGGCTGCGAGCCATTTGACATTCATGACGGTTTTAGAATCATTTCACTTTTGTTGTTTGTCAAATATTAAACAAGCATAAATGTGCTTGCGAGCATTGTGAAGGCCAAGTGGAATGTATCCTTTATAGCGATATTACCTGCGGGCATATTCTGTAGTTTTGGATGACGACCAAAAAATAATTGTTTCACGACTTCGTTACTCTCGTTTTTCACCTGTTCAAACAAATTAAATATGTTAGCGACGAGTTTAAAAATACAAAAAATAAAAGTATAAAGAATACAAATACTAAAATTTTAAATACAAAAATAATGCGCATATATAAATGAATGATTTACTAACCGCTTTAATCTTTCCAGTTAAAAGGACTCTAGCGCATCGTGGATCCATCGGATCATATCCTTTATTCTTACAATAGTCTCCTTGAGCTAATGATACAAATACAGTCGCGCGATGATCTTTCTGTAACGATTGCGAGATTGATATAATTATAACAAAAATTTAGATTAGGCCAACGAGTTAGAGTTATTAAAAAAATATTGTATATTGATATTTTATATCAGTTAAAAAGAATTGAAGAAGATATCTTTTTCAATTTGGTAATAAAAATAACCGTTATGCCACGTTTTAAATTAATTTATTAAATATATTTAATTAAATACATTTTTAATTTATTTTCAAATCAAATAGCAAAATTTGATATAATTAAAGCTATAGTTTATCTCGTGATAAGATGCAGTTATTAAAATTTCTTTAATGTAACTTGTATGATAAGATAGTAATCGAATTTTTTCTTAAATATCAAAACGTGACATGATAGCGATTATTTTTCATATTTTGCAAATTGTATTTGTGGAAATATAATCAAATATTAAACTTGATAATTTCAAGCTGAAAAGGTATTTTTAAAAAAGAACTTTTTAATTTTTTAAAAATATCAAAGAAGTACCTAAAAAATATCTAAATTTTTCAGATACTTTATTCATGCAATACCTATCTGTACCTAAATACCTTTCAAACGGCATCTGTTCCAACACTGAATATAACTAAGCTATCAAATACTTACAGCAAGATCTTGAGCGGTAAAGTCCAAAGGGGTGAGGTACATGTACGGTATTCCATTACCATTTCCAATAGGTCCGTCGGCGATGGAGATCAAATTTGCAACAGGAAAGCTTGCAACATCTTTCCTTGTGCTTATCGTCGCTACAGCTCCCCAATCTGCCAATATATAGATCAATATATATGCCATACAATATTGAGTGCGTAAATAGGTACGTTAATGGTACATAAAGTGCTGAATCATTTTTGTAAAACCCATATCTCTTTTCTATGCAACAAATTACAATTCTAATCTTTTCAGATGGATTCGAATAAATAGGAAAACTCGTAAATTCTTTGTTTATTTTCTTTGTTCTCTTCTGAAAATAACATTGTTCTTATATTTACGAGAGTATTCGAAGCAGTCTTTTTTTGTCGTGTTTGTATCTGACAACGGCGACGAGTTATTTATTAGTTGATACCAAATCAAATATGTCTGGCGTAAGACCAAAATATCTATATTCTGTTGAAATAAGCGGCAAATAACTGTGCGTATATATATATATATTTCATCTACAAGATGCATGAGTGAAACGCAATAATAATTTAATATATACCTAACATGTTGTTTCAAGTGTGTTTTTTTATCTTACTTCTGCCTTTCGATTATTATCTCGACAAAATGACACGCAAATTGTGCGCGCGACAATTTACATTCATTTACAATATTTAAATATTTAATTAAATGTTGATAAGGTATATCAAATAGAAGCTACCTGCACGCGTTAAAACAAAAGTATTTTAAACAGACCATTCCTTAATAAAAGATATATTTTATAGTAATGTAAAATTGTAGATGTACATAGAATATATCAGCATATATTCTGTGCATATGTATATGTGTGCTAATATATTTTATATAAATATATATTAAAATGTGTTCAGTTTATATAATTTTAATGATAAGCTTTTATATCATTTTATACATAATTATCAAAATTGAATAAGTTAATTTTCATTTTTTTACAGTTAAGTTTAAGTTAACTAACAAGGGGAGGGCACATCCAGCATATCGCCAATTGAGATGAAAAAAATTCAGGTGATTCTTTGAACAAAAAAAACGAATGCGTGTTTTGGGATTTTTCGAGATAGGGCCCTGATCGGTAAAAAAAAAAAATTTAATGTAAGTAAAAATACGACATTCATAATTAATTTAATTACAAAAATTATTTCTTATTTTTCATTATGTACATTAGATTTTGACCGTTATATTATATAATATAATATAATATTATTTTATAGAGAATTTCTACCAGGGTAACAGTAAATTAATTTAAATTTAAATTTATCGAGGTTAATTTAATGTTATCAACATACACATGAAATTACAATATGAAATGGTTAAAGTAACCAATATTAAAAATAAATGGAACATTATTAATAGTTGAAGAAATTATTGATTGAAGTAGACAATCTAGATTTTTAAAGATAGAATTGGTACATAATGAAAAATAAGAAATAATTTTTGTAATTAAATTAATTATGAATGTCGTATTTTTACTTACATTAAATTTTTTTTTTTTACCGATCAGGGCCCTATCTCGAAAAATCCCAAAACACGCATTCGTTTTTTTTGTTCAAAGAATCACCTGAATTTTTTTCATCTCAATTGGCGATATGCTGGATGTGCCCTCCCCTTGTAAGTTAAATCTATAAAATTAACTTAGTTACTTTAAAAGTTTCATGAACAAAAAATTAAGTTAAAAGTTGTATTAAGATTAAATTAGTTAAAAATAAAAATATGACTTTTTTAAATTAGATTAAAATCTAAATGATACAATTTGAATTATTAAGTAAATTTAATATTTTAAACACAAACAAAAGAAGAAGATAGCCTATAACGGTCAAAGCTGAATCATAGTGCTTATTATAATTATTTTATATACTGCGTATGTAGTTCCTCCCAAAACTCGCGCGCCGCAATATATATAAATCACACATAATTATAATAAGCACTATGATCCACCTTTGACCGTTATAGGCTATCTTCTTGTTTGTGTTTATCATTTGTACGGTCTTACAGAGATTTTAATATTTGTTCAATATTTTATTTATCAAAGTGTTTTTTATAAAATAATATAGGTAAAATCAAAAGTTAATGCATTTAAAATTAACCAAGTTAAAAATTGTTCTAACTTCATTAACTTTTGACTTATTTATTTGGTAGGTGTTAACGATCACATCAATTATATACCAGCTTGATTAACGACGTATCTTGCCATTACGGCCGGTGGTAAATTCTTCAACGTCTGAATACGACTTATCAGCTGAGCCTCTCGATCATCGTCGAACCCAATTGAACGCGTCGAGAACTCGACGGATTTGTATAACTCATCCTTTGTCTTACTCGCCTCAATGTTCTCTTCAATTTTGTTCCAGAATGTACCCTTCACTTCATTAAAGTTGCGTGCTTCGCTCAGTAGAACGCATAGAGCGATGATGATCGTGATTTGCGACATCATGATATGCGCTATGTGTATTTCACGATGCTTAAGCAAGACTATCTGACTATACTCAGCTCAATTAAGGCGAAGCTTGGGAGTAAGTGCGCTTCACAAGTGGTTAATACTGACTGCGCGCGCTTTACAAACTTGGCAATAAATAATGGAGACTGCGGATGACTGATTTTTGCGACTTGCGCGGTGAGAACAGATTCAACAAACCAGATCCGAGCTCAAGCTCGTATCATTATCACGTGCATTCAGCAAATTAATACGTGATATTATCTCTGTTTGAATTTAATCTTCTCATAATATCGCGTTATATTTTTTTAAGCTATTGATATGAAAAAGGACCAAGACATATCGAGTAGAAATCGACTTCAATTTGTATTTGATGTGTCTGAACGTTATCTTCTTCGTTACAACTCGAGTTATCGTGAAGTGGAATCCCTATCAAAATTTCTAACTCCGGATATCATAATGGTTGATGATATATATGAATGACATTTCGTTATTTTTCAGAAAAGGCAAATGAATCGTTCCCCCGACGGTTTCGTAAAATTTTAGATCATTTGTGATGCCTGGTTGTGGTGCAAGGTCGAAGAAACTGGTACGCCGGCCGCTGCGAGTCACTCTGCTCGATGTGGGTCGTCGTCTAACTGTTCTACGTACCGTTTCTCCGCCCCTGACTCTGTATCCTTCAACAGCAACAGCAACAGCGAACGGACACCTACATGATGATATCCGTGTACCCCACGCTATACATAACATCGTACGGTAATATTAGCGGCAATACGATCATGATAGCACGCCCTTTTTATGCCTTCTTCGTTAGAGAGAGTCTCCCTTATTGTTGCTATTGCAAATTTTTGAAAACTAATTTGTCATTAGTACACGCGAAAATTTTTATCACAAGACACTCGCGTTTGAGTTTAACAAAATATTTTTATATTATACTTTAACTAAAATTTTTTTCTCTTGCGCTATTTTTATACATATTTTATATTTGCCTACGGAAAAATTTTCGGTCCACATTTACACACGATATAAGCCGTTCGTATCTGGATTTATTTTCGTCACTTGTACAAATATAGAAAAATTATTAAGTAATTATTCTTACGTATGCCTTAAACATCTTTGGAAAATGTTTGTAAGGTTTTGTTTAACAAAAAGAAAAGATATATAGAAACCATTATTTAATTAGATGCTCTTTCAAATACTATGGGTTAATGAGGGTTTGTTGTTGTAGTATAATAGATAAAGATAAGGCTTTTGTAAAAACGTCTGATAGAAAGTGTATTTTGAACGAAGAGCACTTGTTTCTGTTGTCTTCACGTGACATCCGCCTTTTACACAGTTTATAAGTAAATGCAGATTTCCGTTATCCTTTTATCTTATTGGATACCATGCCGGGTTTTAGCTATCGTCTCTCTGTAATCATTTGCTTCCTCGTTTCTTCTTTACCTCGCGGATGGCCGTGGCGTTCTCCTACTCTTTGGGTCATTTGGAGCGAGATCTTCCTCCACCGCGTGTCCTCTTGCCATCTCTTCGTCCTCCTGCTACCGTCCTGGCGACAAGACTGTTCAGTCGTTATACGACCTTCTTCCAGGGTTACGTTCTTACCATTTTCCCGCGGCTCTGATTTATCGTTTTTGACCCACGTTGATTGCGTCTACGGAAGAAGCGATTTTTTCAACAACAAAATCACATATACACAGCACAAAATTGTTACGCGATTGCTATGTTCAGTTAGACATCAGATGTTACATCGAAAATCGTGTGTGGATGAATTAGTGAACAATCACAAGAGCAGGAATTGCGAGAAACCAAAGGGTGGCCTCGACCCGTCCGTGACCCTACCGTTTTTCCACGTCATCAAGGTATAACAATTGCTCTTTTGTGAAAAATTATTATATTTACACAAGTAATAGTAAAGCATTTTTCGATGCAATATTTATGCGATGGATTCGTCGATTGGCTAAATCTAACAGTAAAACTAGTAGAATATCTTTCATGTATACCTTTTGATAAATTTAACACATTTTTAATTCTCGATCTGGATTGAAGTTAAAACCTTTAATAGGTATCGAATCATAAACACAAGTCAAGGAAATCTATCATTTAGAAAAAGAGATACTATATTGATATCCTCGACATTTACATGCATATTGTTTACATGCTTTGCAAATAAATCACCCTAAATTAAAGACGAAATGATCGTGCGCGTAAAACATGATTGTGATTCTAGAGGTTTCGCGTGCGAAACTGAAATTACACAATTCGAGGGCAAAACCCCGAAACAAAGTGGGTCATACTGACCAACATCACCTGGCGCGTTCCATTCACCCATTCAGGAAATACTGAGACACCGGGTCACGACCATGGACGTTGTTACAATCCGTGTTATGAATAGTGAACGGCATTAGACGATTTTAACTGGCGAATGTCACCATGCAACGTTATTCGACCTGGATATTAGGAGTGAATTAAACTTGAATTATTTTCAAAATAATGAAAAAATTACAGATTATTTTAGATCGCATTTAAAAGCAATATCTACAAAAAATTCACGGATGGTTTAGAACTTATAAAAAATTATTTTAATCGCAATAAGAAGTAATATTTTTTTTAATGTGTGCTCTGGAAATGTGTATTATAAATTAATGAAAAATCTGAATTTTGTTGTATAAGTACTTAATTTAAATTTTCAAGATGATTTATATAAAGTTTCATTGTGATGCAGAGATTAGTTATTTTATAACACTATTTATTTATTTGTTTATTTACAAAATAATCTCTGCATTGCAATGAAACTTTGCATAAAATATTTTGAATACTTAAAATACTTATACACAAAATTAAGGTTTTTGTTATTTTTTAAATCTTACATATAATAAAAAATAATAAATAAAATATTAAACTATAAAAATATATTGTCCAATAAAGAATGTTATAAGTACTATTTTCGTTATATAAAAATTTTTGTGTATAACTATATACATTCTTAAAACTATATGCTAATAAAATAATAGATTATCAGAGCCGTAGGAAATAGGTGGAAACACAAAACGGATCCGTACGGAAAGCTTGTAGAAAGAGAAAAGAAAAAGACGGTGCGATGCCGGAAGACGAGGAGAGAAGTTACTAAAACCCGTTATACATTGAAACGGAATTCCACTTGACGTAATATAGTCTACTGTCTTATACGTTACAAGTTTATTGGAATATCTATATTAACGTGTGAATTTGCATTTACCCCGAATATAAATTCTCACCAAATTAGCGCATACATTTTTATCGCCTATATATAATATTTTACTCATAATCAAACGAACGGAACTTGTTCGGAATAACGGCCTTACATTTATAATTAAAGTCTCATTTGGCATTACTATGTTACACCGTAAGACATATGGTATGTCGCGCGTTTACAGTAATATTTCCGGAATCATTCACAGCTTACTATATATTTAACAAACTAAGCTAATTGTTACTGTACGCATCTTCCATAAAGGTGTACATGTGGAACACGAATTTAATTATGTCACAATATTTAATTTTACTGGATGTAGGTCGTATGTTTTTTTTTTTTTTTTTTAATGCGTTTCTTTCACTGCAATGTGAAAAGCAACACCCGCATTTGAAATTGAGATAAGAACCATCGCTTAAATACTAGTACGACGCGGAATACTGGCGTAAAAAACCGAGAAAAAAAATTAACGAAAAGGAAAGCTAGATATTGTATTGTATAGATATTGTAAAACGTTTATCATGCTATTAGATTGATCATAAGCACAATATTTTCCAGGCATCATATGTGAGAGATGCGGAGACGCCTGTGGTTGCTCCTCGCCCTTCTGGTATGTGTGTCGGGTGAATACCTGATGGGCGGCCACTTAGACAACAATGCCGGATCAACGACTCGATCCGACAAAGTCGACGGCTCTTCCATGTTGGGTCGTAAAACACGTCTGGACGACCTTGACCTGGATCTCGTTGCAGCGGAGAGCACCGTTGCTGCTGACACTGAGGCTTCAGCCGGCGACGACGGTGTTCCACGTTACCATGTTCCGCCTTTCGCCTTCAACGGCGGCAAACCGTTCTCTCTGGAGAAGGATCCGATAACCGGTAAGATCGACTTCGAGAAAGCACCGCCTGTCAAAGCTCTCAACTACACCGGTCGTTATCGCGAGCGAGAGGATAAAGAGAGCAAAAACGGTAACAGGGATGCTGAGGAGAGCGTGTACACAAGGCAGGAAAAGATAAGGAACAAGGATAGGAACGGCCCGAACGAGATCACGCCTAACTTTCACGATTTCCTCAACTTACCCGTTCATTATTCCTCGGACAAATATGGAAATGACAAGTACCCGTTGATCTCGAGCTCGTACGCGAATACGAAGGTACAGAGCGGTACTAACAGTTACAGCACGTACAATCACAGACATCATTTGGACAGCGATCTGTATGTACATCCCGTCAAAAGCTATCCACCGACAAAAACGAGCACGTACAGAACTACGACTGTCAACGATCTTAAAACGAAATCGACAACCACCGCGAGTTCATTAACAACTACGTCTTTCGCATCGTCGATCACGACAAACTCTGCGCTTTCTACCTCAACCAAAGCACCTATTGTAACTACGTGGAAGCCGTCCAATACTTCGATCACATTTCACTCAGTCGACCGTTTTGAGGCGGAAAATGAGAAGAATCTTCTGCCAATCGAAAAACTACATGCTTCCACTCACGCGGGATCTCGTCGAAATTCAAGCGACGTGTCTCCAAGTGAAGAGACAACAGATAAGGCACCGGCCACTACTCGTTACAAGGATCAATCGAATCTAGAGAATTTGGTAGTAGTCCCCGAAATAAAACCGCAAAATGAAGAACATAAAGAATCGTATGATATTTATGAATCAAACGGTGAAAGTGCCGACAACAATGAAGACAATTATTCCTATTTATGGTTTGAAGATTTCTTAAACTTAAAGCATGTTACGTCGACACCATCTACGACCACTTCCAGTACAACGACGTCGACGACAACTGCAAACATCACCACGACGGTGACCGCGTCATCAACAGAAGCCACGACGTCGACTACAGTTGCGCCTTTACGTTCGGTATCTTCGACGCTACCCACACTCCAGAAAGACGTACCTGCGAACAGACCACTGCAATTTCCAACGGTACCGCACCATCCGATTAGTTCTACGTCCTTCAACAGATACAGACCGAATCCAATAATTAAATTAGAACCAGACAAAATGGGAGCGGCAGTAATAGAGAGCGCGAGTAATATCGTGATACCACCAGGTCAAAATATGGTGTCCTTTGTTCTGGGAAATCGCCAGAACGTCGACGGTGGTTATTACTCGGTCGGAACAGCCGTCGGAGAAAATCCGTACGGTGGCCCGTCCGAGACCAATACTCTATTCTGGCCATTTCGTAACGATCCACACAATCCCTCGAAGGAAGTTAAACATGAGCATTTGCCTATTTCCGTTACTGAATCGAATTTCGACCGCGTTACGCAGAAATGGTCCAGTCCTAATCCTCTGAAAGACAGCATTGAAGTCAATCCGACAAGACTTCAAACTCCTTTCGTTGCTCTCACGGTAATTCAAGATACGAAGAATGCAAGCAAGGATTCCGGCTACGTAATTTTCCCAGAAAAGGAACAAACGAAGAACAAAGATTCATTGAAGGAGGAGCACACCGTGATCATAAATGAAGCGGATGGCAGCATTCACGAGTTACCGCCCAAAATAACATTGACAACGTCGACGTCAACGAATAAAACGAAGTTTAATCTACCCGCGGACGTCGTCGGAGATCTGCCACAGCTCGCCGAGGATTTGGTACCGCCTGCAGAGAGCACCAAACCGCCGTCAAATTATTATTATTATCAATTTGATTCGCCAAGGCCGAATCAAGTAAGACCGCAGAGATTGCCCTTGCCGCCGCGTATCAAGCCGCATCTGGGATTGTCAGTACCTCCGTTGGACGCAGGAGTAAGAAAACGTCCGTACTCGGCGGATACGAAGTTACCTAACATTCTACCCCAATTCCGACCTAACGCGAAAGCGTCGCATGGTCACCGTAGTCCGGACGTAATAGGAACGATGCCGGCTGGGCAAAGTGTACCCACGAGGATTAGACAGCCGGTTCATCCGTCACGAAGACCTCTGCCGCTACCACCACTATCGCATCTTCAGCGCTTGAATCCACCGCCGCCACCGATCCACGCGGTCAAACTGGCCTTCACGCCGACGTCGAAGGTGGACAGCGCGGTCCTGTCTCACGAGACGGATCCGACGATACGAAGACTCCGTCCCCCGGTACTACCCGGATTATCGTCCATATCGCGCGGGGGTTTGGAGGAGAACGTGCCGTCGAATAGATTGCTCGCTCATGGTGGCAGCGGTGACGGCGAGGGCGGCGAAAACAGAAATGAGGATCGGGGTAAGAGCGAGATTACGGACGAACGCGACAGTGAGGGTCCGGAAAAATATCCAGAGGAACCGCCAATGACACCACCTAGACCACCGTTATTCCCAAAGCGTAGAACGGCGGATCCACCGCGCGTCGCGACCCTGCAAATGATACAGCATCATGGTGAATTCGGCGACGAAGGTGATGAGGCTCAACTGGGGCAACCCGTGGAACCTGTGCTCGCGCACGAAGCGGAGCGTAGAAAATCTGACAATCACGATCCGTCAGAAATACCAGAACAACCTGTATACGTGGTGTATCCGGTCAATACCGCGGTCAACATACACCCGGATGATTCCAATGAGAAAGACGGCAGCGTCGTCGTGGGTACGCGAGGCCCTCAACGACCGTTACCACCTGATACTCTATTGCAAAACGAACAGGATGATACGCATACCGTCTACAGCGGCAGACCAGTTGCCTTGGACTTTCCGTATCCGCTAGAACGGCCCGATCCATCGTCCGTCTTTCCCGCCGTAAAGGAGACCCCCGTGCTGATACCCAGCGAACAGCGACAGCAGCAGCAACAGCAACAGGCTTCCGCCGCGATTGCGAACGAACGAGAGAATGAGAAAAATGATGCAGTGAATGTGATCCCATATTTACAGGACTTCTCACCGTATCGAAAGAAGAACGACGCGGCGATCTCCGTGACGCTGCATCGTATACCACCGATCGCGACGTCGTCGTCGAGCTTGATGTCAACTTCGACGCCGATTGCTTTTGTTTATACGCCGACGCACGCGCCTTATCCGACACATCTTGACAAAGAACTCAATGTCGATGATGATGCTGCCGTAAACATTGATGCGAAACAAACAGAGCTACTGCCTTCGCAGCAACCTTCCAGCTCTTCTAGCTCAGCACCGGCACCGCAAAACTTCATGGCTCCTTTCGTGGCTAGTATGAGCGCCGAAACGCCCAGTAAGAATGGTTGGAGTGTTGTCGTCGTCGAATCGCCCGCAGGAGCGGAGAAGAAATCGGATGGTGATAGCAACGAGGAGAAACCTATCGATTCGGAGAACGACACGCAGACTGAGAGGAATGAGTTCGATGCTGATAATTTTAAGCCACAGCTCTACGGTGGTTTCAAGCCACTCTACGAGTTTCCCACGGAGGACACGGAGCGTCACGATGTCGTCGATATGGACACCGAGACAAACATGCCCAGGCACTCCAAAGAAACGTTGCCTGTACCTGATAGAGGATAACTTTTAAAGAATATCGGCCACTTTGATTTCTTTTCTCTTGAGTCTTGCTCTCGGACATTCGCTCGCACTCATTATTACTCTTCTCGCGTATATGTAAACGAAAACGTTGGCGAAAGCGAAAACGAAAGCGAAACGTATGCGCGTAACAAAGAGAATGAAGAGCGAATGTCTCTGCGCGCTGCTCGATGAAAAGATTCTTCGCGATATAGTTAACTTGAACAGTAGAAGACTGTACTCAATTTTCATTCCGCTTAATATATAAGAACGTCGCGATATAAAATGATATATGATTTATGTAATGACTAGCATTTGTTAAACTCTGCCTAGCGGTAGCATTAACATCAGCTAAGTATTGAAATATGTAGAAAATATTGATGCACGTATCGTTAAGTATAAACGTATCGAAAGTATTAAAATGTTGAATAAAAATATTAATATAAGTTTTTTTATGGACACACAATACTTTTGCAATGTTTATATTTATCAAGTATTCCCATTATGTATAAAAAAATCCAAAAATTAAACCTTATACTTTCTCACGTTATTTTTTACTTATACTATTACATTGCATAATTTTGTAATTCTTGAAAACAAAGTCAGTTATATATATTATCTATCATGCAAACGTGTAAAGATTACATGGTTTAAAAATTCTGAATTTTTGAAAAGGAAGAGTGATAGGAAAAATTAATTTTTGGCATTTTTTTATTTCGCGAACTTTTTTCTCTATTACGTACTTAGGATATAAGTCTTATATAAATTTTTATATAAATGCATACTTTAGATTAGAAGTTCTTATTACATCTTATCCAAACAGTCGAAGATCAAGCTTGAGAACGACTTCACCGCTTTCTACTTCATGTAACTTGATCCTCTTTTGAATTGGTCCACAAGAGTTTTTGCTGTCTCTCATTATGTCGGCTACTCTAATCTCAGCGCGACCAAGGAACTCTGTATTACAACATTGAAAACATGAGAAAAATTACAGAATTTATCGATTTAAAAGATTAATTATTAATTTCTTATATGCTTATGTAAAATTATCTAATTTCCATACGAGGATTATACTATAAAAACTTACCATCAGGACTGTAATACCCTTTATCGAACACGGTAATACAAAGGGTATCCTCGATCAGATCTTTTACTTGGAATTGCATTGAAGCATCCCACAAAGGACAATCGCTTCCGGATACGACACTCGTTCTTTCTTCTTGAGAGCCCATAGACACTTTGCAGAATGCATTACACTTTCCTAGAAAAGAAACAAACACTTGCATATGCATATGACCAGACTGTATGGGGTAAACTATTTTAATTTATCTCCAGTAGAGTTTTTCGAAATCTTTAAGTTTAAATATGTTTTAGATAAAATTATTAAATTATAAAGAAGAGGGGGAGAAGAGATGATAACCTTGATCTTGAGAAGATGTTCTTAAAACATGGTCATCATCTTATTTTTTCACCTATAGTAATTGAACAACTTTTATCATGAATTTAAAGATTTTGAGAAAATCGGTTGGATAAATTAAAATAGTACATCCTGCATATGTATATGTATATATATTTTTCTTTTCCCTTCAAGCGTTAGTAATTTTGCCTTTATATAGTAATTGCATAGTCCTCAAATGTCATGCCACAGTACGTACCCTTGTCCATGGATTTTCCAGCCAAACTTAAAATCTCCCTTGTTATAGAAAGATATAAATTGAGATATTTAAATAATGGTTTTTCATAATTAACTTTTAGAATAACTAACTTTTTGTCATGAACTCTTTCGCAGTTTTATTCGCCAAAAATATTTAATTTTAAAAATATATTATGTAAAAAACTACTACTTTTTAATTTGCACTAAGATAATAAAAATAAAGAAAAAATGCGCAATAGAAGCATGTAAGAACCATCAGAATTAACAAGTGCAATAAAAATTGATTTACAAGTCAGTTTTTCATATAAAATATGAACTATTCAATGTTGTATTTAAAAAAAAAATCAGGACTTCGATACTTTACCTTTCATGCCAATGGCAAGGTCTTCAGCTTCAATAACTACTAACATCAGCCTACCTTGTGGAAGTCTTCTGCGAACTACAACCATGGCAGATTAGTAGTAAAGCGTTACATGCAACTGTAACCTTATAAATGATACACAAAATATGTTCTGATTTGATCATTCACTAATACATTTTCTTCTTCGGATAGACACGATTACCTATATACATTTTTGTCACAACCATTAAAATTACAAAAGTATTAAGCACAGAAAAAGCATTAAAAAGCACATCAAGCTTTACTAAGAAAAGCACAAGAAGCAATAACTAGCAACCTAGAGTGCGTTCCGTTTCTTACATGATGCGCATAATGCATTGTTTATTCTTGTTATTCAAATGTTAAACAAGGACAAGTGATGCATCATGCGGGAAACGGAATACACCTCTACAATACCCTTAGATCCTTACCGGACGGAGCTTTCAAGTTGAAACCTTCGAGTACAGTGACGAGAATTCTGCCGCACGCCCCAAATTGCGCCTGTTCTGCTCCCACATAAACCATGAGTTATTACTGAATATAGAGTTTCTTAAATAGCACAATTATTTATGTAAACATACAGATTGACATAGTGTTTACTAATGTATAAATATACGTATATGTATGTTTCCAAATCACATTGAAAAGCAATTTGCAGAAGTACGGATAGTATAACATTGTTCGACAAATTCAATGTTAGATTAACTAATAGTTGTGATAGTTAATTAACTATTACTATACTAATTAACACTCACTTGATCGTTGTCTTTGCAAGCAATTCTTCTCGTTCTCCAAAAACCTCCTACGTGCTTCTACAATTCGTTTCGACCACAGTGAACATTCATTTGCAGACGGTGCTAACAATATTATAAATTTTTTTTGATCTTTCAGTCTTAGAGTTTTTGATAAATTTTCCGCTACGTCACTTCCGCTCAGACTACTGTTTCCGTCGCCTTGTCCAAACAAAGACAATTCATTGAGAAATATCGGCTACAAAAAAAAATCAGCCTTTTGATAACGACATTATAATTACACAAGAAAGTTTAACTTGAATTATTTTTCTACAAGATTAAGTATATATCTATATTATACCTTTCTGTACATCTTAAACTTCTGATGCTCATTACGTTCAAATGAAAATTGTTGACAGTTCAAGGAGAATTTTATTGGTTGGACAAATAGTAGGAAGTCATTCGTGAGGAAGCCGACGAGTTCTTTACCACTTTTTGACTGTAATAAAATTGCAACAGTAAAATCACGTTACACAAAGATTCTCAATATTCCTGAAGAATTCGTTACCTTATGAAGTATACCGAAATGTATCAGTTTTCGTGGTCCTAAGGAATTCGTCAAGGAGTTAAAAATAAGCTGTTCTTCAAGTCCGTCACATATAACATGCGATTGTAGCCATTCCAGTCTGTCGCTATTTTCTTTTTCCCTAACGCCTTCATTTACCTGCGTGACGTACAATATTTAGGCTGTAACGTAAGGCTGTAAATTTTCTATCCTATGTGTGCTGAGATATAACGATATATTTATACTGATTTTATATGTTATTTTTATTTTTTTACCTGAGTACAAAACTCCTCGGACTTGGCTAATGCTTCCTGCAGATACTGCCTATCAGGATGATCTATCGGCGTATACTCTAAAATCTACAATCACCGTGTTACACATTATAGCATATGACGTGAACGACAATTATTTACAGATAGAAGCTGATACTTTGTTAATGATGAGCGGATACTTTGTTATCCTTTGCATCGGCTTAATTAAAAATGAGCTTAGCGGCATTCCTTTCGTCCGCGGGTCTTGTTGACATGCCTGTGCGACTCGAACAAATTCTAACGAAGTCTCCGTTAAACGTTGTAGATACATTGCAGCAGATATTTGGCAGCTACAAAATCTTATGTAAGCTGACATCCTAGGTATCTGTACGAAATACATCGCATGTAAACAAGTTTCAAGAGATAATGAAGACAGCTTTTTTACACTGCGCACTTAAAAATTACACTTACATTTTCACACAGTATATCGCCAATCATTCGAACTACTCCATTATAGCTGTTATCTCTTCGTATCCTTAAAGTCCTGTAAGAAATTCCAATTTGTGTTCCTTTAATAATTTTAGCATCGATAGAAGATATACTCTGTTACAATATTGTATCAATGAACTCTAGTTACCTCAAAAAATTGTCATTACACGCAATAATATCTCTCCAATTGATAAATATCCTCTCTATCTCGTCAACACTTAGGACTAAACTTTTAATTAACGGTTTCTCAAATACCTAAAAAGTGTACAAATGCATTTATAAATATGTATGCTACAGCGTTCCATAGATTTCCCAAAATTCCCTTCATCTTTATTGATCTTCTGATCAATTTGAAGTCCACGTGTTTTCTTTAATCATTTTACATCTCTTGAATGAATGCGTAATAAAGAAATAACTTTTCAACAAACATAATACTTCTCGGAGATAAAATCTACTTCAAATTAACGCGTAAAGAATCTGTAGATGAAAGGAAAGAGAATCATACATCATAATATCCCAAATGTACACGTGAATGTACCACATAAATAAACAAGATGAATTTAAAAAAGAAAACAGAAAAGAATACCTCATGTACTAATCTCATGTCTTCTATGTAAGCATGTTCAGTCACGATTAGCTCTTTGATATGTTCCTGGCGTTTTCTCTCCATGGGATTATGATACATCATTGTATCTACCATCAATTCATTCGCTACGCATAAAATATACATAAACTATGTTTCTTTCTAAAATTATTAAATGTTTTTGTAAATTTGTATTATTTGTTCTTTGAATTGAATTTTTGCTTTAAAGCGAGAAATAACGTATTATTTTCAAATAATGAAAGTATTGGGTGCATTCAGAAGGACAACCGCTCACTGAGCTCTTTCATATGATTGATCTCTATTTTAGGATTTAACGAAATATATTAATCAGGTGACAGAATTCATTGAACGCTCACTGAGCGACTGTTATTCGAATGCATATAATGTCTTGATTGAAATATTTTCTATCACACACATTGGTTCTATATTGCAAAAACGAGAGAAAATATATTGAAAAAAATGTTTTGATAAGCCGAGAATGATAATTTTAATAATAATCTTACAACAGACAGATATTTTATTTCGATCAGCGGTGAGATGCGAACGTATCCGTTTATGCACATATGGATATGTTTACATATGTATAAGAACATCGGCGTACATGTGTGTGGAAACACAATATAATATTTCTATATATATTATATATATATATATATGTATATAAAGTGTGAACAAGATTCGTATAGTCACACAGAATTCATACTCTCTTACAACATTCTCCACTACATTCCAGATTACACCGTACCCTATTGTGAGACTTCTGATGAGATTCGATATTAGAATAAACAAACAACTTGCAAATAGTAACAATCTTAGGAGTATAACGCACTACACAGCTACATCGACTAAGGATAACCAGTTGCATAACTTGCTTTAAACATCCTGCCACCCCACCATCTGTATAACGTTATGCTGGACTGGTTGTCTGGAATACCTAATTATTAAGCACACAATTATTGCCACAGTGACATAACGTATTTACTCGTTTCTGTCGTGGAGGATTACATGGAACGCGTAAAAGTTCTCGCAATAGCAATGAATAAATACGTTGTGCGCTTGATTTCTTGTCGGATCAGCTGTATCATCATCGTTTCTCTAAATGATTTTATGGTTGGAGCTTCAAGAAGTCTCTAGGGAAGCCAGACCGACCATACTTTCGCGAACATTCGTAAAAACGTTCATCGAACGTTAAATTGTCATTGTTGTATCAAAGCTTCGTAATTGCGTGTACGCCGTACTTGGTGCAAAATGTAGGCTCTAATGCGGGTCTCAAGGATCTCTTTTTTTGGAAACAATAAACATTTGAATATATCTTTTAATATAATAAATTCTTTGTAACGGAACACTGTATGTCAACGGACTAATAGTAATACATTACACGAATAAGACGCCGACTGTCAATTACAATTCAAGAAATAAACAGTCAGTCGATTAATACACATATAGGAATGCGATTCGATGGAAAAACTGATTTACAATAACGTTATTCATTGAATCACGTGGTCAACACTATCGTTTACTTATATGTCATTATTAGTGATCCTCAGCAATTATTGTTCACGTACGAGTGCTTATTTATTTAGGCTCTATCGTAAAAGGCTGTGAAGAAGGAGCACACATTATCCTTAATCTTCTTTGTTATTTACAGCAATACAACACTCGTCACTCGCGCGGGATAATCGACTAAAGATCGAACAATAAAATTGATAAATTATGCCGAATCTATAGCGAGCAATCAAGTCGTATATCGCTTTGCTTCACTTGGCTTCTCTTCTCATGAAATGTCTACGCAAATGAACAGAATAATTTTGCGTAGTTTGCTATTTTCTTTTACTAAACGTACATAATAAGCCGCGTGTAATGTCAGGCGTCGAATGAAATTGTACAAGACGTTCAGGGCTCCTTCTTCTCTTATATCGTTTCTGATTCTGGCAGCTAATCACCGGCTATTTGATCATGAGATCGTCACACATCCTTTACATATCCTCTAGGCCTCAGCATGAGACAACCGCGATTCTTAACGACCTGCGATGCGCATTATATAATAACGTTGACAAAAGACAAAACTTAATACAATCATCGTTACTTTTCTAACAATCATTTCTATCTCACGCAACTGTGATCAACGCAGACGTTACACTATAGACGGAGGAAATAACAGAAATACATAGTGATGAACCTTAAATCCTACGGGACGATCGAATTAAATCTTCTAAATTTTAATCGACCACCAAAATGTTTCGAAGCAAGAAAAAATAAAAAATGATTCTCAAAACACTTGCTTCTTCCGTTTTCAAAAAGTATTTTTTTATTAAAAATTAATATATTTTATAGACCAAATTTCTTAAATTAAAGCTCTTAAACGTAAAATCGATCTGAATACGTTAACGTGGATCCGCACGTGGACATCACAAGATGCAATATGCATCTAACATGAACTTAACAAATCACTTAAACATTTAAGTAACAATAGTATTCATACATGACGTAATGTTAAATATTTCTAACATGAATAAGCTAATAATTTAATATTATTGTTTCTTAATTGTACGTCAGCATAGATAGAGAACTGAGGTAGACCTTTGGTGTTGGTGCAGATATATCAGGTGGTCATAACACTAATGAAACGATTTAACGATTGGATTTGGTACATGCGCGCATTGTTTCTAACGAACATAGTATTTGGATGGAAATTCGTTTGAAGATGTAAAACGGTTAAAGGCTATATGACTCATGTTAACAATCCGAATGATAACATTAATGAAGGAATGAGTGCAACCCCGCACCAGAGGGAAAGGCTTGTATAATATGTATAAGTAGAGACTATATTTATAGAGATGAAGAGCCAACCCTGAGTCTTTCGTTTTTCCTCTTTCTCTCTCTCTTTCTCTATCACACACACACACACACACACACACACACACACACACACACACCACATACACACACACATATGCACATACACTCCTTTCCCTCCCCATCCTATTTTTCTGTCTTTGCCCCGACACCTCTCACTTTTTCACTTTTCTTTCTTTTTTTTCATGCACAATGTCTCCAACGATGAGACTTCTCTTGTCGTAGCACGCCGTGCCGAATGTAGGAGCTGCTCTATTGTTCTTATTACACTTCAGGTGCTTTAATTTTAACCAGCAATGCTGTTCTGCTGCTCGGCTACCCTTTATGCTGCGTGTTAAGCAAAAGCGAAAGATAATAATTAATAAAAAGATTACAAAATGCACATATTATAAGACTAATAATAGAAAAAATTGAGGCAGCTGTTTTTTTCAAAAAGCATCTCTTTTAATTTTAACATATTAAAATTGTCGTTAAGAGGTATAAAAACAGAGTTGTATAAAGTGTTTCACTAAAAGGTTACTATTTCTTTTCTTATAAGACAATTTTTCAATAAAATGCATATAAAACAATAAATTAAAGAAATCTACAAATTGAATAAGAATTTTATTTACAAAATGTTCTTTTGTTAATTTTATTTCAATTAGAAAAACATAACTGCCACTGTAGAATATTTAAAAAATGCATACAAAAATTAATTATAAAATATAATCTGCAATAATTTATGTATATTATTATATACGAATAATAAAATCGCAAGTTATATCGATTACGCTGTTAGTTGTTAATTGTTATTGTTAATCGTGATCAAGGAAACGGCTACCTCTGACGGAGAGACAGACGGACGAACGAATGGGTAGACATGCAAGGCAGATAGGCAGGCTGTTTCATAAACTGAGAATGTCTGATCTGTTCGCATCCGTTCTATTGTATCCATTTCTAATATAAACCATAAGGCGATAAGTGTGTGAGCGATCTCTTTGTGCTTGTAAATTGTAATATACCAGTAACCAGTGCCATACACAATGCATATGTATTAGAAGGAGAAAAATGGCAGTTATTATAAAATACAAGCGGGGACAACCAAACGCATCATTTTTACTTACAATACTTACATTAAAAAAAAGTTTTCCAATGATATCATTAACTCAGACAAGGTTTATAACTGATGGAGAAAATATATTCTTCGATATTTTTGTAATCTACATTGAACTTATAAAAAATTTATATTGTTCACTCTTTTTGTCTCTGTAAACACTCTATTCGTAACAATATATAGATATATATATATATATACATATATATATTTATTTATCCAGAAGAAAATATGGGGAATACGCTACATACTTTTCAACTTTACTCTCTTACAAACTATTAACTTATAATATAATGCTAACATTAAGTATTTATTAACAATTGCAATAATCACCCCACCTTTGCTTATTTTGCGAGTTACTAGATAATCAAGTGCAAAATAATTGAAGATAAAGCCTAATCTAAAATAATTTAATGATAAAAATTATAATAATAGGCATAATGATAATGACAACAATGATGAATAATAGTGATAGTGTTGGTAATAAAACAATAATAACGATGACGAAAATGATAACAACAACGATAAAAGATATAATAAATAAATAGTCACTTTAATTGGAACTGTTATACCTGATGATCGTCCGCCTATCCGTAGCCAGAAGTTATGTATATATTTCGCATTTCTGTATTCTCCATTTTTAATTGATTTAATCATTCATTCTCTCTCTCTCTCTCTCTCTCTCTCTCTCTCTCTCTCTTTCTTTCTCTCTCATGTTTATACGCGTGCAGTCAGTATGTGTAGAAATTTAACATGTTACCGCTACAGTACATAATTTTCTTCTCTGTTCACACTGTACGACTTGTGACGTTAAAGGCATAAGGCGATCTTGAGATTCAATTACGGCAATCACGTACGAAAGGAATACTTACACATAGGTGATACGTAGTTGCTCGGAAAGACGCCTGATACACCATTCAATTCGCCCCTCCACCATGACGCTTCTTCCTTAGCAAGTACCGATATAACGTCACCTTTTTCAAAACTTAATTCATCTTCATTTTGTGCCTGATAAGGATACAGAGCCATAACACGCTCTATAAATAAAACAAAACATTTATGTTATAGATTTATTATATCTCTGTGTGTGTGTGTGTGTGTGTGTGTGTGAGAGTAGGCTTTTTTAAATTTAATATATTCTTTATAGTTTATAATCCAAACACGTACAAGTTCAATTTTTAAAGAATTGTAAAATGCAGAATTTATTTACCAATATTTGGATCCGTTGGAGAATCTTGATATCCATGTGAGACAGGTGTACTTCTATTACTACTACTAGTTAAGGGTTTAACATAAGTTGCTGGGAACCAACCAACCTGCCTCTTTTTACCGCGCGCCTGAATAAACAATGCGCAAATTATTATTTAACAGTACGACATTGTGTGATAAATAAAGAAGAAACTTTTATTCTTATTACCTGAAGCTCTCCTTCCCACCAACCGCTGTCAGTCTTTTTACGAATCATTATTAATTGTCCTCTTTGCAAGTCCAACTGTTCTGAACTCGTTGCTTGATAGGGTGCAATAACTTGAACAATTTCTGGTTTTCTTCCTCTCTGTGAAAAAGGTTTCCCTCATAAATAAAATTAACTTCTCGATATTAAAAAATGTTTTACTGAATTAAAAAAATAGTTTACATAAACTATTTTTTTCATAATGATTAAAATTCATATAACAATATAATAAATTAAATATACCTTGTAATACTGCATTATCAGGACGTCGAGCATAAAAGAAGCAATAAATAATTACACTCTTATAAAAGACACTATTAAAACAGTTCTAACTGTGTGAGTATATTAGAAGTTTTTCTTTTACCTGCTGAGCAGCCATAGCAGTAAAGTCTGGTAATTCCGCTCTATCTTCAGCAGCTGCTCTCTCGTCTTCTAACTGCTCTGCCGTTTTCTCTGCCTAAATACATGCACACTCTATGTTATTTAATTTATCACTGCAGTATCATTTTGTTCAATATAAATACAGTAATAGTGGATTAATAACATTAATATTTCAACACATGAACATTAAATACAGGATGTAATTGTAAACATAATTGTTAATGAATAATTAAGATTACGCACTTGAGATTTTACAGTCGCCATAGTATCAGTTTCGTTCTTTGTTTCCGCAGTTGCAGCAACAGTAGTGGATTGAACGTTAGTAGACAAAGACACATCCTAATTGATGTCACACATTCGTATTAGAAACTTTTAAACATGGATTAACAAAAGCAAATGAATTAACAGAAAAGAAATTGTGCTTTTGAATTAAGCAATTAATTTCAATTTACAAATGAATTATGAATGATTAGGAAGTGGCAAAAACAAAATGCAAGAGATATTAAAATTAGAACATACCTGATTGGGAACGTTGCACTTTTCTACGTAATTAGATGGAAAAATCCCACTTTTGTTCCCTATACAACCGGTCCACCATTCGCCTTCTTTTTTCGTAACTAATATAACTTCCCCTTGATTGAAACTAAGATCGCCGGCTTCAGTCGATTCATATCGATATAGAGCAGCGTAATATTCGTTAAGACCTTCAGCAGCAGTGTCTTTCGTGCTTGTAATTACTTCTTTTACGTACGACTTGGGAAACCAACCCTTATTTCCAGTGCTGACTGAACCGTACCACCAGTCATCCTGAATAAAACAGATGTTTTACAAAACGTATATGCATTATCTTTTTTATATAATTAATATAATAATAACCTGTTGTTCAGAAACATTGATAGTTTCTCCTTTTTCAAAGGAAAGATGTTGCTCCATAGTAGGTCGATAAGGAAACAAAGTTGTGACTTGTATAGCGCAAAATGTACCTAATCCTACAGTAGGTATAATAGCTTCTACTACTGGGGCTTCTCCCCCTAATGATCCTGCATCGGATACGTTCTCGGGAACTTCCGCTATTCCTCTGCATAGTCATAATAAAAAGATTATCAACATTTGGTGATATGAAAATCTTCATATTAGCAATAATAATAATAATAATAATAATAACTAACTCTAACGTTCTCTTTTCTACACTGTCTTGTTGTATGAAAGTACGTTCATTGTCCAAATCAGCTGCACCAGTATCCACCGGCTCCACATAAGATTCGGGAAACCACCCAGTGTGACCACGAATTTCTCCCGCCATCCATCCCGGTTCAGCGTTTTGTACAGGTGGTACCTATAATATAGACATTTACGGTAACTATTGAATCAATTTTCTCTCTAATCGCAATTTTATTGCATATGGTACTTACTAGTATAATATCACCAGGCTGAAATGATATTTCGTCTTGGTTTCGCGCTACAAATTCATAAAGGGCTCTGTATTTGCGGACACCTATAACTGCAGCCTCATTTTCTGAGCTTGCAGTAGTGTCGTTGACAGGCCAAGCTGTGTCGCTAGCAGGTGCATCTCCCCAACCACTATCGCCCCATGCGGATGTGGCAAAGTCGGCAGCTGAGGCATTACTACCTGATCGAAGTTCGATTACTTTTTTCTTCTTTTCATCAAAAGTAACATAGAGCTGTTTACAATCCACTACTAGATTTTTCATTTGTGTTTTAATATCCTCAAGCTGAGTGTTATTATTTTCAATATCGGACATTTTGGAATCAATCTATTAAAAAATACGTATATATGAAGATAAAATATTAGTGACATTTATCATGGATATTGTCTTCAAAAAAGTTACATGGTTTAGAGAGTTTACCTCTGTTGGTTATTTAATAATACATTAAGAAACGAAGATATATCATAAACCATATAACTTTTTTGATAAAATATTAATAAACTGTTTATGAAATTGATAAACGTTAGACACACCTGCTGTTGTAAATCTACTATTTTATCTTTCATCTGCTTAAGAGTAATTTGTTTATTGTCAAAAGCCATTTTAATAGCTTCTTGCCCGGCTGCATCTTGCGCCGCATTAATTTTATTTCTTGCTTCAATACGTGCTTTCTCTTGACTCAATGCTAATAATCTTTGATTTTGTTCCCGAAGTTTATTTTTTAACGCAGCCATTTCTTGTAACTGCGTGTCTCTCGTTGATCTCATACCATCGATAGTCGTTTTAACACCTGATACTCCTACTCGAGTATCACAAATCTTTTGTGACAATTCCTTCACTTTGTCATTCTAAAAGATAAGAAAAGACAACGTAAGGATTGATTATTGAGGTAATTACTATCTGATGTGTCCTTCCATTATATTTACAAGTGTTCCAAGTTCGATGGTCAAGGTCTGATTCCTCGCTTTTAACTTGAGAAGAACATCTTGCTCTTTTTGTCTTTGTGCTTGCAATTCTTGTGACTTTTGTCGTTCCCACTCCAATTGTCGCTGTCTCTCCATTTCCCTAAACATCACGCGTAAAATTTTAAATCTATACAGATACAATTTTTTTAATATTGTATAATCAACTTACTTGCGTGCTGCCTCTTTTTGTTCTTGTGCACGTTTCCGTTGCTCCTCCTTCTCCTGTTCAATTTCTTTTTGCTTCTGCATTTGTTTCTCGATTTCTGCTTGTCTACGCCTTTCCTGTTCTAGTCTGCATCACAAAACGCAAAGTTTTTCTATGTTCTTTTTAATTAATAAATAGATCTACTTGCCTTATTTTCTCTTGTTTCTCGGCCTCCTCTCTCTCTTTGCGTTCCCGTTCTTCCTGTTCCTTTCGCTGAATTTCTAATAATGCTTTACGCCTACGTTCTAATTCCGCTTGACCTTTCTCAAAGTTTTCTTTACGTTTATCTTCAAATGAAGTCTGTAAAAAGATATTTTTTTTTCTTCTATTTCATTTTACGCAAAAGATATTTTTATATTAGACATACCTGTGGCATGCCCGCTAATGGATCAATATTTTCTGTTGCATTTTGAGATAGCGTTAAACTGCTTTGACGTTGCCGTCTAAATGTGGGTGGGATAAGTTCTAGTGGAAGCGTTGTAGGTATTTTTTCGCCGGCTTTAGCAATATCGCAAAGATGCATTGCAAGTACAAATTCTTCAGAACCTAAACGTCCATCCAAATCCATATCAGCTAGAGCCCTGTTGACATACATTTTGGAAATTTGCTTTTCTGTTCTACAATACATATTGTATAAAGAATAATACTTTACACGCGTTATCTTGTATTGTAGTATTTCATTACTATACCATATTTGAGCAAGTATAGATTGTGGCAGTTGCGACTGCACCATGATATTTCTTGCTTGAGGCCCAGATAAAAAGCCAGATCTCGTTCTGTCCCAAGTATTAAATAGCTGAGTATATTTTAATTTGGTCTGATGCGGTACCGCCCATTCCACAGACTGTGGAGAGCCAACGGAATGCTGGCTGTGCTGTGAATCTATGGAGCCTACTCTGTCTATACTCGGTGGACGTGCTGTTGTACTCAAAGGTGTATTCGTAGATACTGGCGTTTGTGTGATTGCACCATTGACCAATGTTCCATTTGCTGTCGTGGATACTAACGGTAATGCTACTGATGGAGAAACTCCAGTACCTGAAAAAAGAAAATAAATATTGATATTGTAATAAATAAACAGCTCTACATTATAATAGCGTAAAATGTAATGTCAAGATATAAAATGTATAAAAGCTTTTGTAATCTTGGGAGAGAAACAAAATATTATTTTACATATACACACCTGTATTTATTGATCCAATGGATGGTACCATACTAGGAATGCCAGTCATAGGAGCAACCATACCTGCACTAACCATGCCTAACGGCTGTGTTGGCATTGGTTGTGCCATATTAAAGGCAGCCATTGGTACAGGAGTTGTGTTTAAAGGGGCGATAGGTGCTACTGATGGGATACCTAATTTTAGGTAAAAATCGATAAGTATAAAATTGAATAATAATTTGTGTATTAAAAAGTTTATTCTCTTGTTACCTATTCCAGGGGCAGGCATCGATGGGGACGCAGAAACAATTGCAGAACCAACGACAGAAGTCGTAACTTTCATTGACGAGATTCCTGTAGGACTATTTGGAAATGAAGGTGGTGCTGGTTTAGGTGGCGGACCACCACCTGTCGTTGCCGTAAAATTATTTCCTGAAATAATTCCGCGCGTGATTATTATACATTTCAATTAGTATTATATATCAAACAATAATTATATATGTCTGATTATTTAAATCCAAGCGACATATATAAATAAAAAGGCAGATTAACAAGCGCGAGCAAGATTGTGCAAGTCTTTTAATGCTCTTTTTCATAGCATGTCAATATTGAATAATGTAATAACAAAAATTGTGTGTTAATCATAAACAATACATATTGAGTTTGTGGTTTATTTAAACATACCGATATTTGCAGGTGGTGTAGGTCTTTGCGGGGGACTACTGGTTGTGGTATTAAGAGGAGGTGCGATTCCTTTTTTTTTGCCGCGTGAAGTGTAAAGTATTATTAATAAGTTGTTAGAAAAGACAGAATGCAAATATTATTGTATATAAACGGTATATAACTTCTCAAGTGGATGATAAGTAAAAATACATCATCTCAACAAATAAGAATTCTAAATCTACGATTAGAAAATAACATCACTATCCCTTTTCATTTATAACAATCCAAAGTTGTCAAAACAGTCGCGTTTATTTTTATATTCAGGCAATTATAAGAATTTTCCTAATTTTATAACTTTTTGTATATAAAATAATATTAAAGAGATATATATTTATAATAATCAAAATGCAGATGTGAATTTCTATTTTCATAACTATACTTGCTAAAAAATCTATTGTCGCAAAGTCCAACACATACCTATGTGTGTATAAAGCAGTATATTAAAAAAATTAATTTGTAGTCCAAGCGAAGACTGAATTGTATTTTTTAAAGCTTATGCTGCAACATAAATTTCCGAAATAGGCGACATCAAAAGTACAAACTGTGCATTTGTTTCAAATATTTAAGAAAATCATAGTTATTTCACACATAAAATTGTGTTATAAATAAAGATATGTGAGAGATATTTGTAGAGGCATTCCAAAATTATGTAGTATATAGTGTAGTGAGTACAAAAGCTAGAAAAGAAGTTTGCCTTCGACATCACAATGTAACTAATGTATATGATAATCAACAAATAAAATAGGTTGAAAATATATTTTAATATAAAACACCTTCAAGCATTTAAAAAGTTTATTCCAAGAAAAAAAACGAAATTGGCCTAAAAATACACATTCGATACAATTAACATACCCACAGAAGGTGGCGCGGGTCGAGCAGGTGGCTTAGACGATATATGAGTTGTGGCATGTGTACTTGCAGCCACAATCTGTCTATTTTGTTGTAATGCTGTGTAGTATGATGAATAATGAATAACACAGATAAGTTATGCCTAATAATTAATGTTTCATGACTAAAGTAATAACATTGACAGTGATATGTACAATTTAATTTATGAAAATGATGGATATTGATATATGATATTGTAATAATATAGGTTTTGTTGAATATCAGTGATATGTACTCATGTTTGATATACCTGAATGAATCTAATATAAGCGGCGAATATCTGAGCAAAGGTGTATCTCTGGGTGTTTATAGCTTTTATAAACCTCTAATAAATAGAGATTCTTTTTTGCTAGTTTACAAGATATCACATAAGCATCTACCTGACGATCGTCGATCAAGAGATATAGGAAGATGAATAATAAGAAAATGAATCAACATTTTAATGACATTTTACCTATAAGGGTACTTCCAGCCGTAGGAACAGTGCTTGCAATGGTTTGAGATACTATTGGTTGATGTCCGCTTAAATTTACTAGAGAGCTAACGTTACTTGGAGCAGTAGAACCATTTGATAATCCAGTCTGGCTAGTGTCGCCTAAAATGTTTTGCAATGTAATTTCACATATCTTGTGCATGTGTAATTATTCACCTACCGGATGAGAAAGATTTCAAACTCTGTACAAGAACAGGTGGCAGTACTTTGGGAATTTCGAAACCACGCAGTTTCAAATTGATCAACTTGCATGCGATACTGAATTCGTTTATATCCATCTTTCCATCTGCATCTGTGTCTGATAATGCCCTATAATAGACAAAGAATCAGGAAATGCCTTATGAGATAGATTCGAAACATTCCTTAAGTAACTTCTTTACCATATGTGTCCGAGAATAGCAGGCTGTAGTTGAGATCTAAGGAGGAATCCTTTTGCCTGTTCACCAGTGACAATTCCATTGATTGGTTTCAATGAATCAAATTGTTCTTGATATCTGAATCTTTCTCTAGGCTGGATCATCCAGGGGTCCATACCTACATATTAAATATATTTAGAAGGAATAAACTATTTTTTTAATGAAAGGTCTATTCTTTTCCAAAAAAAATTCTAGACTAGTACGATAAGTTAGAGAGAAACAAATTATATCTGTTTCACTCTAACTTGTTGCACCAGTGTATATCAATTCAGAACTCAGAATGGAAAAAACCAGACCTTTTGTCATTCACTTATATGCAAAGGTATTGCATCAGGCTTAGGCCCTGTTTGTACTGAGAAAAGCTTTCAAGTTGTAAGATGAACTATTTATTTCAAAGTGAAAAACATATCGAGTATGATAATGTATACGCAGATGACACAAATGATAACATATTTACAGCTTGACAATAACAAGCAGACATCATTAGATGACTAGTAGTATAAGAATAAGTGAAATATTCACCTGGAGTCTGAGGAGTGGACATTTTGGAGAGAGCAGTGTCTGTTGCACGTACAGTAATCGGAACGGTACCACGTTAGAACCTCGCGTCTCTCGCGATCGAGCAATTAACGACGATAGTTCACGCCTTCAAGGTTAGCTTAGGTTAGGTCACGGTGATCGATTCCCGATGGCCTCGCGATGGGATTTATCTGGTGACGAAGAAATCAAATCGGGGGGAGTTAAAAACCGAGGGATCGAACCGTGATTTCTATTCGCGATTTCGGATAACGGTATCGTACAACGGAGGAATTATGGATCGAAGGAGTACCGAAATATCGAACGCTCCAATTCGACCATCGTAAAGAGAAATCAAATAAGATAAACTCTTACGGCAGGTATGCGAGTAAAACGCTGATGTTATCGAATCTATGATACGGAATACCCGCTCGTGTAAGCCATTCCCATGTTGCGAAGTGTTAATCCGTACCACCCATCGGCCGTCATCGCGGCGATCTACGACCCACCGTTGTCCACCCACTGGATCCTACCTAAGGGTGTCAATCTACCTGGCCGTCCCCGCGTTTCAACTGTCAATCGCGCGTCGTCCCCAGTCGTCTCGTCTCCCGCGTGCGCGGTCGATGAACGACGAAGGAATCGATCTTCCCTCCCCGCGCAAAGATGAAAGAGGGACCGGAGAATAATTTGTCGCGATCGGGGGAGAATTACAAAAGTCCGAACCGATCCACGATGAGATGACCACCACTGACCACACCGCTAACTTACCCAGCTCACGACCGTTCGTGCAACTACTAGCGCACGTCACTTTCACACACGGTCGGCCGCTTTCGGGACTCTTCGGCGAGAATCGATATCCCGCCTCCGAGACTGATTCCTGCGATCCGCGTGAAGATCGTTTGGTTTTCCGTAAGCGAGAGAGAGAGAGAGAGAGAAGTTCGGGCGGCGATACCCCCTCGAGTATGTAGTATACGTGTTGCCGGAAGTGCGGTCTTGTCGTTGAGAACACGTTGAGAATGAGTTTTAATTGCACACAGCGGCACGGGGGGTCGATCACGCTAACTGTGACAAACGTCAGAGCGTGCCGTTCGCCGTCTCGGACTCCGGAGCTGTCCGGAGCGCACTTCAGATCGTAACCGTGGAAGGTTCGACGCGTTGCGGGAATTACAATATCAGCGAACCCTCATTTTTGAATCATTTGCGAACCCTCGTTGACACTTTTTCCCTGCCGAGATAAACGCGAATATCGATGAAATATATTTAAAATGTCAGGCGCACCTTTTCACAGCAGAGGGCAATTAATGGTTAAACACGGCTCGAGCCTATACACCCGAGTATAGTAATACCAAATTACGAGAGCCCGACGGAGTACGCGTCCTTGGCGATAATAGATATTCTTCCACGTGTGCATATCGTACGTACGTGGCACACGTATACGAGCTGGAAATTACGGAGCATTGCGGAGCACCGCGGCCAGTCAAGCCGGAAACGCGAGAGCGTTCGCGAATCGGCGGCGGATCGCTTTTCAGTAGACCGTTACACGTAAAAAAATATTTTAGTTCTAACACCGCGAGCGAGAGTCGACCAATCACAGTCAAAAGTGCGATCTTACGTTTTAAAACGCTGGACCATGATTGGTCGATATGCTTGGATCTTATACACACGCTCTACGATAAGTCATTACTAATAAATCAGAAAGGAGCGAAAAATTGGCCAGTTATAAGTCAATTATTCTTCTCGCATTTAACTGCGATTGTATTTCTAGCTTCTGACTTTTGATCTATAACGGCTTATCGTATAGAATGTGCTGCTTTACAATTACAACTAAACTTATTTTTACGTGCGGTGCCCTTTATGGAGCGCGCGAGTCCTCGCTATTTTCACAGTACAATATCGTTGTTTTTGAAATAATCGTTGTCCTTATCTTTCCCTCTTTTCTTCTCTTCCCGCGTGTCGAGAAATTCCTTATAGAGGTGCATTCCGTTTCACGCATATGATGGGCATAATGCATTATTTATCCTTGTTTAACATTCGGTGAACAACAACGATAAAAAAGATACATCATGCGTGAAACGGAATGTACCCCCAGTACTCTCTTTCTCTCTCTCTCTCTCTCTCTCTCTATTTCCACGTTTCCTGATGACACAGATAACCCTGGCTATCATGTGTTTTTTTTTTTAAACCGTCTTTCCAAGGAAAAGTGCCGGTCGAATCGATAAGTGCATGTTATTCGTTGCATCAGGATTTGTCTCGTCGATAAACTCGCCGGCCTGAGAGGGACCCGTCTAATGATATAAACGTGATCACGACACGCCGTTAGGAACGTCATTTATTGAAGCGTTTCATAATCGAGCGGCGACCTTCCTGTCGGCGACATTGGCGTCTTCGCTGTTTTTTTATAGAGATTATCGTCTGGAACTCGGAAAAATTACAGGTATCGCCAATTAAGGCGAGACATTAATCTTGAAACGATTCTGCTAATGTATACGTATACACATTGTACATACACTTTAATACACTTGTCGCTTACGCACGCGGGATCATTAATTTATAATGTCTGGACATATACTGGCAACTGAAGTTGCGCGCATATCGAAGCATTTTTGGAGCGCGCACGTTGTATTTAAATGTCTGTGCGACGTGACCGCACTAACTGTTCGATTATAATCCAGTTATGGTTGAGGAAATATCCTAAAGTCGTTCGTTGTTCTGATTATTTTTCAAATAAGTACGCGTATTTTCTAACTGCCTGTATATACTATATATATTAAAAGTCCTTTCTTACAATTAAAATGTAACAATAACGTAGTCCAAATCGGTTGACTTTATGCAAAAATGGAAAAAAAGTTGGAAAATTACAGTGTTTTATCTTTATTATATTATATTTTATGTTATCGACTTCTAGCGTCAACTCGTAACAATATTTGCTTTTTATGTAGGGTTTTTTTAGGACACAAAATTTATAAGAAATCCATACTGAACAGTGTTATTTTAGACACAATATGGACTTTAGACGGCAAATTAAACAAAGTGATTCTTATAGATTTTTTATCGCTAAAAAGGAATCTGTAAATAAAATTATTTTATCATATACTTTTAAGATTCTTTAGCTCAAAAATATTCAAAAATGTCATTTTTATATTCTTTAGATTCAATTTTCTCAAAAACATGACGTGATAGAACAATTTCATTTACGAATTTATTTTCAGAGACAAAAAAATCTATTATTCCATTCGTAGAGAAAAAAGTTTAAATTTGTTGAACAGTGATTGGTAAAAAACAGACGACTTTTTTTTAGGGTCTTCTTATAAAGTTACTTTGGTTTGGAAGTTCAGATATTTGTAATCATATTTTATAATTCTATATTCTGCTTTTATTCTTTATTAGATATTATAATAAAGCAAGGATAGAAATAATATTATACTTTTCGTCTTAAAATGTTATAAGAAATCTTTAAAATATTTATCATCAGTTTTCGGTATTACTTTAATATATCACTGATACTGTTACATTATATGAAATGTTAATTATTATTAAATTAGTATCAAATAGCCTACAAATTACTATCTACGTCACGGTATACTTAAAATATACGCAAAAATTAAATGCGAAACACGCGCCCCGAACGTGCCCCGATAACATAGTCGACAATCATTTTTTCATGTCGAGGAGACTTATTATATTCTCAACATCTCGATCGATCTCTAATTGACCTCTCGGAACCAATTGTATCATTTAATCGGAGTTCTTTTGTATTATTCCGCTTCAGTCCCGTTTCTTTTAATCCGTCAGACTGTGATCTCTCCTTACTCATCGCTCGTATCATTCCGACGGAGACAAATTTATCGGCGTCGTTTCACGCATTTCTTGCAGCGCAAACTTCACGATATATTGAATTCAATGAGATCGAGTAAGAATCATAATAAAAAAAATATGAGGTCGCAAAGTGTGCGGATTTATCACACGCGCGAGCTGACATATTTATATCTACTTATCACGAATGGATTGATGAAACGAGACTGCTAAATCAGCTTTAACAAATGAGCGATAACGCGATGAATTACTGCAATATTTATGTATACGGCAGGCCATTGTGACTTTTTTGTCGATAGTCAAGTGTTTCTTTATTAAACCGGTCCGTATTTCGCTTTTCCGCGATTTTCTGTCGATTTAATTACAATATGTCGAAGGACGTATTATAAATTATTATAATTGTGTAATCACAAACGTCGTAATTTGTCGTAGCTGATTGATTATATCTTGTTTTCTTCTTGGAACGTAATTGCGCATTTTTTTAACGATTAGGATGACTTATTCGAACAAACTCAAATTACTTGACACTTTAAATAAGAAAACTTTTTCATGTCTACTTCTGTCAATTAATTTTAATCTTGGTTTAACTTACTTTTTATCTTCTAATTCTGAGAGAATGAAAAAAATTAAATTAGATTAATCTACATTAATAAAGAATGGACATAGGAATTAGACAAAGATATATAGCAAATTGAACCGAAATCAAAGTTAATCAAAAAGGATATAGAAATAAACATTATATATATATATATATATAATGTATAGTCAGTTAAATTTATCGCTAATTAAATTAATTAAGATTTAATTGACATCATTTTTCAAAAACTCATTGTTAGCTGCGTTTAAAAAAACAAAGAAAATTGATCCGTGAGCGCTCAATGATTCTTTAATATGATTAGTTCCTACAATTGGAATTTAGCGGGAGAATAAGGCAAGAACAATCCATAATTTGCCATTGACGTGTATGGTATTATAAAATAAAACAATCCAAGAAATTCGTTACGAATTAATTATTGTAACGAATAAAGCAATTAATTTTCCTTCTTATAACAGAGCTTGCTGCATCTCGACATACATGAGAGATACCGGAGGCGTTTCATTATTATATGTACATTACAGCGGAATTCCCTAATGAATTATTGATGATTATCGCTATCGTTAATTAATGACATCCGCTTTTTTTCAGTATCATCCTTAACATTGGCTGTTGCTAATTAATGATAGCGAAAATTGTCGGTAAGACATTAAAGAATCCCCCTATATAGCGTGAATTGACAAGAGAACGTTGTGAAGGATCACTGATTTTAATGAAACTTTGTATACTTATAGTTTACATAAATAGATAAGTTTAGAAAATATTAATAGCAACAAATAAACAATTTTAAAGGGTGAAATGTAAAGCTGTTGTCAGCTTTTCTTGTTACACCTTAAAAATTATTCGAAATATAATTAAGAAATATGTAATACAAAAATTTTTTATAATAAATTACTTCTATTGATTTTTACGTCAATATTTTTAAAAATAATTTTAAAAATATGAATTTAAAAAAATTTTTTACATTTTATTAGAAAGTCTTTTTGTTAGACATTTTTTGATATCTCGAATAGTCTTTGAGATATAATGAAAAAAGCTATGAAAACTGCTCTTTACGTACAAAGATATAATTTTATTACTTAAAATTTATTTACCGCTACTGATTTTTTCCAAGGATAGCAAGTAAAGTAACGCCGTTATTTTTATCGTTTCATATAATAACTTTTATAATTACTTTTTATAATAATGATTCAATAATAACTTTTTTTTATGACTATAACAATAACTAGCTAAACGCTAAGGTTGTGCTAAAGTTGGAAAAGTCACTTTGAAAAAAGTATGAACTTATCATTATTACATACTTACTGAAAAAAGCAATTTGTAACCAATAACGAATAATGTTACTCCATTACTCGTTGCATGCAACTTTTTTCATGTGATGATGACAAGTAACGTAATGGAAGTAACGTGTTACAAATAAATGCCGTGTGACTAACTCGTTATGAGTAACGATCGAGTGAGTTTTCGACCCTGATGTTACATTACAGTCATTTAAAAAAGTTTATTATTACCAAATCGTTATTTATAACAAAGTAACGATAAGGGAAAAAAATAACAGCATTACAATTAAATAACGCGTTATCTAACTGTTATCCCTGACTTTTTTCTAAATTCATCTATTTATGCGAGCTTTAATTCTACGAAATTTCATTAAAATCATTTAACAATTTGCAAGATTCTCCAATAAAATTCGTTGTAAGGTATAGCGCGAATGTATTTTTCGAACGACGGTACGCGCGCAGCGCAGTGAAGTTAACCGCGATAGCGCGGGACACGTGCAGCGTATGCACAAGTCGGATAAATATCGCGATAAGCAAAAGTTATATGTATACGTTACTCGAGACTGCGACTTTTTCTTCACGAGCATTACTCGACGCTTATCGCCATTATAAGTGCGTAAAACGAGACCATTTAATTAAATCGTCCTTAAATATAAAGTGCGCTTCACATGACACGCGCGCGCAACGGCGCGAATGGGGCGGAACTGCAACGTTGTATACAATATATCGATGGACACGCGAGACTCGAATTTTGAAATCATCGAGAGACAGCGAGATCATATATATTTCGCGGAGGCAAGCCGGAAGGGTCGTTATCGACAATTTCAACGTACTCGATGCGGTGGCATATCGTGTGTACGTTGCCGTCATTGTTACTCGGCGCCGGCGCCATGTGTGCCACCTTCCGACCGCGACGTCGAGAGTTCCCGGACGTCGCGCGCGCGTTCACCCTGCGCTCGGGTTATGCTAGTCGACCAACTTCACGGCGTTGACTCGTCGCGTTTGTGCGTACGGTACGTATACGCACCCATCGTGTCCGTGCGCGTCTGTGCGATACGTGTATTATACGTGCATGCGCGCGCGCGCGCGCACGTCGCGGTACACGTGTTTCACTCTGGTGTCCGCTCGACACGCGTTTCTTTCCTCCCCTCCCCCATCGAAATTCGCGGTCTGATGGCACAGGAGGGTACAAGACGGGTCGGACGATTGAACGTGCGTACGGGCGCGCGAGGTGTGTACATCGACACGGCAGCGGGTGCATCGCGGCGGTTTCCCTTCGACGGGGGCTATCGATCGGCCGGAGTCGCAGCGAGGGAAACCATATCGGCCGATCGCCGGCCGGCATAGCGTGGTGCGTGATGTCACGCCGGCTCGTCGGAGCCAGCTAGAGGCCAGCCGCCGCAGCCAGCCACGTCCGAGGTGTGGGGGAGAGTCACGCCGTTCACGACGCGACCAGGCGCGACACTCAGTTACCACAAGTTCGACTCGACCGTGGAAAGTACCGCAGGCACGTCAGTCCGGAGGAAAGAGAGAGAGCGCGGGTAATTACATCATCATTTTTCTGAATGGGGAATCGACTTGGAGTATAGTTGGAGTCGGCGAGTGGCCGAGTGGCGCCGACGGCGCTCGCACATCACGCGAGTGTCAAACGACCTCCCTCCTCCGCCCTTCTCTTCTTCCTGAACCGTCGTTGGATTATCGGATGATAATATCCAGTCGATTAAATCAGAGAATTGTTCGGTTACAGCAAGAGTCGAATAATAAAGGAAGGCTATACATTTCTCGTTAGTCGTCCAGAATGAGAAAACGCACGCGAGTATCGCGTTGCGTATATATCACTTTTAGATGTATAATATGTATTTGTTTCGGCGGAAGTTGCTCTCTATTGTGCACACGATAATTATGTATACACGAGAGTAATCTGACCTCAAGGACCTTTATTGTAAAAAAAAAAAAAATATACTACTGCGGAACTTGCAGCAAATGATTGGAGGTGAACGGAATTCCGATGTCCGCGAACGAGTATCGGTCACGCACCCGCGTGTTTGCGTCCCACGTTTACCACCTAGAAATTCTCAGCCCACGTCGCGCAGTCATTATTATTCGCCTACAGTAACTTGATACACACATTTTACAATAAATCGTTACTTAAGCTTTAAGATCGGCATTCACAGACGATTCTTATTTGAGATTATCTTATAAGTACGATCTTAAGATATCATGAACAATCAGAAAGTGGTAGTTGTAATCTATTCTTATCTTAAGACTTTATTTAAGTAACGTTTTAAAATGCTATAATACCGCCACCTGGTTGACTTATGATAGCTGAAGACTGTACCTAAAACAATCTCAAATATCAAAATCAACTATTCCGACCCAAGACTTTTATTAATATCTTAAAATATTACTTAAGATGGTCTCGAAATAAGAATAAATTAGGTATGAATACCGGCCTAAGTTTTAAGCCATAAAAAATTGACTAGTCACAGTTGAATGTGAGAAGAATAATTAACTATTTTAGTGAATTTGCTTTGGATGCACTAATGCATATTAAAACTATTGTACACTGATTTAATTTATGTTAAAGTAAAATGTAAATATCTCGAATTATAGAACACCGATTTTACTTAACATAAAATGTATAAATTATTTATTAAAATACGTGTTGAATTAAAAAAGAAATATTTAACGTGGTTCCAATAAAATCAGATCTAAAGGGATTAATTTGCATACTGAATGCATTTAATCGAATCCTCTATTAGATTAATTTCTTACGATTTATGAAAGCTAAGGTAATGGCTTATTGTAAAAAGCCGAATAGTCTCATAGTTTCGCTATTCCATAGTTGGCTTCCTGAGAACAAGATGTGGAATAAGATTCTATTTTTTTTTTCAGATGTTAATTAGGAACTTTGTACCTTGCCCGTCCCATCTTCGAGAATCGAAGCTTACGAAAGCCGTTAGATTGGAAATATATATAGTTAATCAATCGATCGAATATAATTAGAAAGAAAGGGACGCGAAGGACGTTGGTGCTCATGTAAGAACCTGTTGGAATATTGAATAACGGAAATTGATGAGATAATATGCGAAGGCATGTGTTTGCAATTTGCGGAGCAAACAACGAATGTTTAGATTTGCACGTTTGAACACGTAGGTAGAACCATTTGTAATGGGAATTATTTCGTTTTCCCTAGAAAACAATAAAAATGTACAAGTATTACGTTTGCCACAACCGGAAATAATGATAATTTTCACCCATCAATACATGTAGTTGTGATAACTATAAAATGGACACATCTTAATAGCCATAACTGTTAAGAAATGGTATTTTACGATTATCACAATTGTACTGTAATTCTTATACTTAAAAATGTATTGATGGACGATTTTTAGTCGTAGCTATTTTTTTTCGTATAGGAAATAATTGAACAATTCTGATCGGAATCCATTACAAATAATTCCATAATATGTGCTTAGATACGTGTTAATCATGTAATTTTCTTTCTAAACGGAAACGTGAAAAGTGAAAATTTTGTGTGTATGTGTGCATATGTAACACATACACTAGAAAAAAAGTCTGGTTGCAATAATTGGAATTCTGGTTGAAAATGGACAATTAAAAATTTTCTTAATCTATTATTAGTCTATCATTCCGCGTTTTAAATCGTTGACAACGTTCCAATTTTATCTGTCATTGAATATACTAGTTTAATGACAGGATGCATAATGGAAACTCATGTCTCTTGATTTGAAATATTACGACATCAATTTTGCCAAATTGATGTTAATATTGTTACAAGATAGGACACAATCTTCACAATTGCGACGTAACAAAATAATGTTACGAAATTAGATTTGATGGTGTTTTTTTTTTTGTACTGAAGAGCACCCCAAACGAGGGTCCAAACGTATATACGTTATACTAATTTAATAAATTGTATTTCACACACTTACATCCTGTGTTGGCTCTTATAGGAATTACTTATTATATTTAGATTTGAATCTATTATAATTCTAGTTGAAATATAATATATATAATCAGAATTTTCTGACTTGTTTATTTTCTACAAGAAATTTTTCTCAGTGTTTACACATAAAAATTTTCACTTTCCACATTTTTGCTCTAAAAAAAAAGTTTCATGATTTCCTGGGGTTTTATTTTTGAAAAATATTGCATACGAAAATAGGAAAATCTATAATATACGTAATGTATGCTTTAGTATTTCTATACACCTTCCTGTGCAATATAAGACTTGCCATGCTTGCACCTCGCGAAAATGAACATAAGTGATATTTGAAGAAGTTTGCGGCGTGACAGAGTAATAACGTCACTTTTGCTGATAGACGCATACTCGCGTCACATCGTTGCACATTTCTGACCTTAAACCCCTTTAACGCGCAGTTTTATTCTTATGTAAGTGCTGACTAAGTCGCGACGTCTCGATAGCCGCAACGTAGAATGTATCGTTTTGTTTGCAAATTAGCAGAACTTTCGCAATAATCTTAATGGAAGGCCAGTTTGTACACGTGCAAAATTTTGTCTGAAAATGGTTATTAATGAGAAGTTCCTCGTAAATGCAAAAAAGAATGTTCTACTGAAGTAAACGCAATGCTGTCTCAAGACTCTTTTCTTCTCAGTAAATTATATTCTCGAAACATTTTTGCATTTATACAAGATGTTTGTGAACTTATTCTTGTATATGCAAATACGCCAACACCGCGTATTACTTCTCATGTAAAATACAAAAGACAGAAAGAATTACAGAAAAAAAAGAGAAGAATTAGAACAAAGAAGTATATATGCGTACACATTGCACATTATTTACTTTTTTCTCATTTTTCTTTTTATTTTTAATAGTACATTTTTTCTGTCTTTTGTATTTTAATTTTAAAATGTACTATACGTTGAAAATTGTGTGTATAATTTTAGCTTAAGAGAACGTCATCCTAGAGTGCACGAAGTGGCGATATCTTAGCCACTTACCTCTTGCGTTTCTCTTACATTCGGTTGGAAATATGATAGGATAAATCAGGAGTTATCTTATATATATAAAAGAGAGAAAGACAGAGAGAGATAAATAGTGGATTTATAGGTGTCCTAGGACAAGTTCTCTAAGAACGAACTCACAATTATAACAGTGAGAATTGCAAAAAGAATATATACAAGAATAAGCAGATAATTAAAAGTATAACATCTTTTACAGGAGAAAATATAGATGTAAAAAAGAAAAGAACAAACAGGGTGGGAGAGAGAAACGTCGTCCATTCATCTTTGTCTTTCGTTGGTCCATACGCTCTAAAAGCGACCGCGTGAAAAACCGAGACAAGCCAGATAGGGGCAAACACCTTTCCCGTCTTCGCGGCGTGGTTACCAAGAAGGCGAGGTGTATTGCGGCGCAGCGTGGCGCCCTTGCAAGGACAGCAGCCTTTTCAATGTATTCCAGCTCGCGCGAATTTTTCATCCATTCTCCATTACGCGTTTCACTCAACCAGATTCAATTTGAAACACGCTCGCGTGACGATGAATTTATCTTTACGACTGTAAATAATTGTATTTGCTGAAAACATTTCGAGTATCGATTCTTCGAAAGTGATATTGTCTACGATACTTTCATTGAGTACGAATTATCTGTTTGGGAAGGCAGACAAACAATGCATGAGACAAAGGGAGAGACATGTTTTTCTATCAGAAATAGAAAGAAATCTCGTCTTGATTTAGAGATGTTCCTCCTCCTTTCGCCTCTTCGTCTTACTCGCTGGAACGCGGCTCCCTTCAGTCGCCGTATATCCAGCAGAAAAGGTAACCGTTAAGACCTGTCCAGATGGATTTGCATAAAGCGTAGGTACGCAGAAGGAGAAAGGAGCAGCAGCCGATCATGCGTCTAAGGAACGCAATTGGCATCCTTCGCGTTAAGCAAAACTCGACCTAGATCGGCGGATTTTTTCTTTTTGCTCGCGAGAATGCGGGTTACGCGGTTATGCAAATCGGTCTACGGACAGGCGAACTTTGCGCGATTCTCCGTAACGCATTTTACGCTTATCAAGCGCGTGTATCTTTAATTGGCTGGAAAAAAAAAACAAGTAAGCACATTGAAAGTTTCCAAGCCGTTGAAACGGCTGTTCTTGCACGCAATCGCTGCATTGCAGTTTGAACAGGTGTGATCACACTTTTCTAATTTTCGAGAACGCTTGTAAAGCGGTATAAATATGTTTGTAACAGGATCTTCATTGTCATGTGTAATTGGAGCATGGATCTGATCGCAGGATTAATGAACGCGACATGTTTATTAATTCACGATGAGGGTAATATTCGTTTTTCATTAAATATTTACCATACCCGCCTTGATTTATTTGTTTATCGATTACGCTTCATACATAATTCGTATTGCGTTTACCATCAGGTGCACTCTCGTGAGAGCCTTCGACAGAAGACTGTTTGCTCATTAGAGGAGCGGCTAATGCAGAGCGACGACTTCGGCCGAGACACCGAAGTCTCTCTTTCTCTCTCTCTCTCTCTCTCTCTCTCCCCCCTCTCTCCCTCCCCCTGTTCCATTCGCACTCGCGAGAAACCAGTTGCGATTTTTCACGCAGTGGGAACTAGAAGCCGTTCCCTACTATAAATAGCCTTCGGGTTTCGCACTGGGGCCGACGATGTCGGCCTCCGACACGGCGACGACGGTAACAGTGGTGGCGATGATGGTGATAGCGGTAGCAATGTCTGGGCCGGTATTACTAACATGTGCGGCTAACCAGGCATTTCTGTCGCGTGCGAATAATCGGCCATTTATTTTCCAGCTAAAACTTCACTCCTTTTTACGCCATAAATTGACACTCGTGGTAAAAGAGGGTGAATTGCGAGAGATCGTATCGAGTATTAATATACATGTATGTATATGCAGGTAGACACGGTAGAAGCGCGACGGAGGGAGCGAAGAGGACAAGAGGGTCCGTGCCGCGGCCTGTGTTGGAATTTTTATTAGGCGAGAAGGAGTGTCACCGTCACGGGTGATCGATTGACTTCGTTTGATGAAAGTACAAGGCGACAATCAAATTTGAAGTATATAAGATTAGAACTGTTAATTATCGAAACTGCCCGGGTTTCGTACACGATATCCTTACGTGCTTCGTGAATTTCGCAATGCGAGAATCAGAAACATAGCGGAATGGTATGCAGCTGTAACCCACTTCGTATCTTTTTGCAACATAATTTACGCTCATTGAAAAATATTTTATTTTAATGGATTACGCGATATGATGCGGAACGAAATCTATAAGGAAGGCTCTGCTGGTATATATGGGAAATAGTTTTGCTTTAGCTATGTATTTTTATCGAGTTCTCGCGATAACGTAATCTTATTGAAGAGAGCTAGTCTCTATTACTCAAATAAGCCACCTTTCACTTAATTTACAGTAGGATAGATTTCGTCCATTTCTTAATTGTTTATGTTTATGAGGAATATATTCTGTGTGAACATTTAAAAGTCACTTGTACTCTCAAGGAGCAATCATGATTGTGTTTATAAAGTAGTTATAAGTACGATACTGCAAAAAAATATTGTTTGTGTCGTAAATTTCATATTACTTTAAGGTTGAAAATGACGAAATAATTCACTCTATCTTATGTTGTTTACTCATATCTCATTTACAGGGTCCATAAAACCATCAACTAGATCGTCGATCAGATGATTCTACGAAGATCATGAGAAAAATATCGTGACACCGATGATAGGGAGATAGTATTGGACCGGCGAAATTTCGCATAAGCTCTCGAAGAGGATCTGAAAACACGGTACGTATGTTGCGAAAGTCGTTAAACGGAGCATTTTTTAAAATTAATTTCTTTGCTCCATTGCCTTGTAAGTAATGACATGCCTTATCTCTCGTATTGTCCAAAATAGGACCGTTCCACCGCGGATCGCGCAAGACGTCGCTTCAAAGCGAAGCGTGCACGTGATGTGAGTGATTTAAAATCGTCTCGCGGAGGACATAGTCAAAAAGCGGACGGACAAACACAACCCGAATACAATTAGCTACAATTTTGATAATCGATTTACACATTTAGAAAATAGATAGGCAGGAACAGTTTAGGAGTATATTGCGACAGGCATTACGTAGCGTACAGCTGCACGTGCGACGACGATTAGTTCACGTGCTTCTCTGGCTCTCGAGGGGGATACGAATTTGAGTGTTTCCAAGTGTGATTGACCCGGCAGAGAAGCTGATCTTTTTTTTCCCTTAGCATCCGTTTTGCCCGAAGACTCGCCGCCAAAGGCACCGAGGGACCGTGTCGGGTGCACGTCCGATTTTGATAAATCGAAATCCGCCTCTATCCAGGGGAGAAAGAGAGAAACAAAGAAAAAAAAAAGATCGCCCTGAACCATTGGAGGTACCAAGTGCACCGAGCCGAATCTAGCCGCCGTACTGATCGAGGAGTCTTTGGCGAGCCGAGTCGTGTCGAGTTGAGTCGAATTGAGCCGAGTCGTACTGATCGCGCTTTTGCCGCAGCGAACCACGCCGGACCACGCCGCGCCGGCTAAAGCATGTGGCCAGTTTCCATCCGTCCTTGATGCGCGCAGGGTTGTGTCCCACTGACAAATGCAAGATCGTTTCGTACGCAGTGCGACAACTCGTCCGTTTGCATTTTGAAAAAACTGTCTGAATTGAAGACGCTGTCCACTACATTGGCGCTGATTACTTGTGTACGATCGGTGCGGTATCGTTAGATGTAGACTAAATGTGTAGATAATACGGATATTTTGTATGCCCGGCTCATGCGGTATCGTAACTTTGCGTCAAACTCGACTGTGCTCAACCGTTGTCGCGGTATAAACGTTTCAAAATTTTTGCTGGAGCGTTTACACTCGAAGAGTTACTTCAAAGTCAGAATATTATAATAATTTTACATATTCGCACTTTAACACTTTTACGAAAAACTAATACTAACGCGAGAATTATTAGAAATATTTATTATTTATTTGTATTGTGGCCATATTATTACTAATTATGATATTTGATTTTGATTTGTGTCACAAAAACGCATGCAAATCTACAAACTTGAAAGAAAAAAGATGCAATTTGTATGTACCGTTGTACGGAAAGTATAGTTTTAAAGGAATTTTTAGTGCGAGTAATTCGACGAACAGTAAAGTGGAAAAAAAAGAGAAATTGACGATATAATAAACGATCGATCGGTTAATAATTCCTGATATTATCCGTTTGCCGCCTTTTTTTTTTTTTTTAGTCCTAATCTAAAGACAATTGTATCAATTGTATCAATGACGATCCATGCGGATCCGTCTGTCCGCGAGTCTAATTAGTCGGAACGGGTCCCAAGTACATTAAAAGCCGCTACGCACAGGCGTAATATTCGGTTGGGCTTGGTATTAAACCTTGCAATTTGTCAAACCTCTCCCTTTCTCTCTCTTTGACATATCGTTGTTACGCAATACGCGCGCGATGCGGAACAATGTTATAAACAACATTGCGCTTGCATACTCGTGATTGCTTTTATATATACGAATGACAAATTATAAGTTTTCAATGACAACTTGTCATAGAAAATTGAAATAAATTTGTAAAGAATCGTGCGAACAATTAAAAACGTCAATTACAACTATACATAACATGAAAAATTATACAGTCTTTTTAATACACCACTTCTGAACAAATAGACCGGACTAAATTGAGTCGAAAAATTCTCTATTATTTTGCAATATTTAACAAGATATTAATTTTTAAAGATTGTCAAATAAGCGGGTAAAATCGACTTATAAGACAACTTTAAGAATTTCTTAAAAAACTTGAAAATATGTTAAAGTTGTTTTAGGCAACGATTTCAGATATTCTGTTGATTGAGTAGGAGAGAATTGGGTCAAAAGTAACAGGGGTAAATTGTAATATCTACATAAAATTGTTACAGACAAAATGCAGAAATATAAGAAAGAGATAAAAGTTTATAATTATTTATATTACAAATTTCTATCTCTTTCTTACGCTTGTTTATTTTGTTTATAACGTTTTTTAATGTAAGTATTACAAATTTACAACTTACAACCTGTGTTGCTTATGATCCCCTAGTTTTTTCTAATAAAAAAAAAATTACAAAAATTGCAAAATGGTAAAGGACTTTTTGACTTGTCAGCCGCTCTGCCTGTTTACAAACGGTGTATTAAAAAGTTTAAGACCCGTATATGTGTATATTATACAAATTTTTTAATATTTTTCTAGTGTCTATATTAATTTTCATGTGTCTTTAATATCCTCGCGATTCTTAAAAAGGCAAAAATGAGCAAAATATAAAATATTATAGATAAGATAAAATAATATGTAGTTAAATATAGAGATATTAAAACATATTACATATATTCTATTTTTTTTTAGTTGCCGCAGTTTTGCCCAGAAGTCGGTTTAAGAGCCTAATGTGTTCGGAGATTTGATAAGCGATTTTGGTCGTCTCTGCTGTCGTTGGATGAAGCCTTACTGCTAGGAATATCTCGAGAAGTATCTTCGTGAACTGTGCTGCACGCGTCTATTTCTTACAGCCACTTCCAAATGTCACGACGAAAAAATCCTCGTGACACAAGATAACGATGTCAGAATCGTTAGAATATCATTAAAACAATCATCCTTTACGAAGCCGTTAACCATACATCGATTCAAATCCAATAGAGAGATATTTTTATTTACAAGGGTCCTAATAAAAAAGTTTTCTCTCGCGCATTGAGAAATATCGTAAATACGGAAACGTAGGATATACTCCAGACGAAATGGCGTACGACGATGTTATCCTTCGTATGGGCGAGTTCGGTCGCTACCAGCGCAGAATCTATCTTCTACTCTGTCTTCCAGCGATATCGTGCGCCTTTCACAAGCTAGCCGGTGTATTTCTTGGAGCCAAAATGGATTCGAGGTACAGTTCGAGCAAACGTGACGATAATTACATGATGGATTACGAGGAATTTAAAACGGTAAAACGAGAAACTCCTTTACCTCAGGTGTTTACTTCCACACGAGAATGCGGAAAATGCCACGTTCCACCTAAGCCAGGATGTACTGAACGCGAGCTATCCATGGGACTACGAACTCCGAGGGTGGTCTCAGTGCATGAGGCGTGACATTATCAGCCTTGCGAATGACACGATCATTGGGACTGCAATTGGTAACGGCACTGAAGAGGGAGGCATCAGTAGCTGTAAGCAATATGTGTACGACAGAAGGGTGTACAAAAGTACAACCACTTCCGAGGTACGGAATAATTATTTAGTCGTAGTTTTTGCAAGTTAAAACCTTGCTATCTCTCAATTGCGCGCGTTTTTCTCGACAATTCTTACACGGATGAGATACAAATAGAAATCAGATGATGAACCGAACAGAAATTTAACTTAAAGAATACATATGAATCCTTGATAGATGATAGATAATAAATGTTTCTTTTTTGCAGTGGGACTTGGTCTGTGACAAGGCATGGCTGAGAGCGTCGGGGGACTCGTTGTTCATGGTAGGAGTCATGCTTGGCTCAATGTTATTCGGCGGTTTGTCCGATAAATATGGTCGTAGACCAATTTTCTTCCTGTCTTTAGTCATACAGCTGGTTGGTGGTATACTAGTCGCTGTCGCGCCCGAGTTTATTTCCTACGTAATCTTCAGGCTAATTGTTGGCTCAACCACTAGTGGGGTGTTCTTAGTAGCTTATGTCATAGGTAAACTGAATTTGATTATTTTGTATGAACACATCATTTATAATTACGCATTTGGTCGAATAGAAGCTTTTAAAAATCTTTTTTTTTAATTGAATTACGCGAGCGAAGAGATTACATGTAAATGTAATTATTTATCTTTTCTAGCTTTGGAAATGGTCGGACCAAAAAAGCGGCTAGTAGCCAGTGTCGGTTGCCAATTATTTTTCACTACCGGATACATACTCACCGCTGGTTTCGCGTATTTTATTACCGACTGGAGAATGCTGCAAGTAGCTATCACAGTGCCAAGTATTGCGTTTCTACTTTATTGGTGGTACGACTTATAATAGGTGTATTCCAAGTAACATATAATTCTGGAGTCAACGTTGTTATTTACAAGGTAATGTGATTCGCGGCAGGTTTATTCCCGAGTCCGCTCGATGGCTTCTAACGAAAGGCCGACTCCAAGAAGCGAAGGATTTGCTGCAACGTGCTTCTCAGGAAAATGGTGTAGAAATGCCGAACGAGGTTTTAGATACACTTCTTAATAATAACAGTGAAGATAGTATGCCCGATACGAGAAAACCTTCGCTCTTCGATCTGTTCCGTTATCCGAACTTAAGGCGAAAGAGCATTCTTCTGTTTTTTAATTGGTACGATCGCTTCATTGTTTCATATATTTTGTTTTTTATAGATCCATTTTTTATTTCTACACTAGACTCTGCACTATAACTCTTTTTCTCGCTTTTGCGAAATATCGAACATATACCTATATTATTTTAAGTTTTAAAACTACATATAGTAATTAACCAGAAAACAGACCTTCTGTTTGATAATTCTGTACTAATTTTAATTTTTTTTCATTCGTGTAGGCTTGTTAACAGTGGCACGTACTATGGATTGTCTTGGCACGCGTCCAATCTTGGTGGTAACGACTACATCAATTTTGTAATATCGGGGATTGTGGAAGTACCGGCATACACATTCCTGATTTTCACTCTGAATCGCTGGGGCAGAAAGATCATTATTTGTGGCTGTATGATGTTGTCCGGCTTAGCATTACTTGCCACGCTATTTATTCCTACCAGTAAGTAACGATTTTATTTATTCATGGCGATTTTATACTTTCTTATATGTATATTTCTTATATGTAATGAGTAAAAACTGTTTTTGTTATATGTGAAAAAAAATTTCAAGTGAATTTAATATTTATACGTTGAAATAAATTTGATAGTCAATTATCCTAATAATAAAATTTATTAATAAATAAATTAATTTCAGATATGCCGTGGTTAATTGTTTGTTCAGCAATGATAGGAAAACTTGCCATTACCTCCTCCTACGGTGCAATTTATGTGTTTACTGCCGAACAATTTCCGACTGTCATTCGAAACGTCGGATTGGGCGCGAGTTCTACCTTTGCCAGAATTGGCGGAGTTATCGCTCCATATGTTAATCATTTGGTATGATATTTATCACGCTATTTTGTCAATCCAGAAGCGTAGAGACCAAAATAAGCATATTATATTCGATATCACATTACATGAACTATAGCATATTATTTTTAATCGTTCTAGTCAGAAATATGGATGCCATTACCACTGGTTATATTTGGATCTTGCGCTTTATTTGGTGGACTAATGTCTCTTCTTCTTCCGGAGACATTAAACAAAAAACTTCCTGAATCGATTCAAGACGGCGAGCTTTTTGGAAAGTAAGTCTTCCCTGTTTCGTATATTCTGTGCAATTTATTACTTCAAAGGTATATAAATGACATGTTTTTGGACAATTTTTTTTTTAGGAAATCGAAGAAGAAAAAGAAGAAACAGCAATTGATGCTCGAACAGTTAAATGACGTAGAAATAATAAAACCGTTGAAAGCGCAAGAGAAACAGAATGGTGTACATGAGAAACAGAACGGATGACATTAATTTACGAACATCGATGTCGGTATTGCATTCAAAATATGTATCCGATTCCCGTCTGACCATACTTTAGATGTCTGCCACATGCAGTACACGCCTACAGGGAACTTGGTAATGCGATGATATCATCGAATTTCAGTCTGAACTTCTAATACCTACAATCAATTAACATCTATTCGTTCTTGATCGAGCGATCGTATCTCAAGTGAGTTGGATTAGACGTAAAAATTATTTATACAAAAACAAAAGTTAATCAATCGTCGGAAGATACGTACGTGTACATTTTGCGTTCTAATACAATACTTTGAAAGTAGATACGACAATGGCATTTATTTAGATGTCACCATAATGTGTTACGATAGTCCATATAGACTATAAGAATTCTGCCGACAAACATATCGCTACTCGAACATCTAAACGTCCTTTATAAATAATGGCTACGAATTATGTATGAAACATTGCAACTTATCAATATAAAAACTTTTGCTAGTATTTTTTTCTTTCTATTCATCTCCTTTATTCCATTGATAGCTTTAAATATCGCTTATCAATAGATTATCTTCGGCTTATCAGTAACGAGCATGTCTAAACACATGTGATCTTTTTTTTTCTTAAGAGATCAGAATGATCAAATCTGTGAAAAAATGAAATGATTTCTTTATTTAATATGCTTTATTTTATTTATTGATATACACATATATATATGTATATATAGAACATTTTTATCAACCATTTTACATTTTTGTGAAGCATTGGCTAATTTAATTTGTAATATTCGTAGAAGTAATTTACTTCCAGATATGACATTTCTTTTCGGGATTCATTGCACTGCCAACCGGACAATTGTAAGCTTTGGCGAAGTCGTGCGAATTTGAAACGGTTCCTATAACTCTTAATCGTCCGGTACTATGTACGTCACCTTTAGCTTCGATAATACTTATTGTTGGATCTTCACACCACAACTGCAAACGTTACCACAATTTCATACATTCAAGTATATGAATATTTACTTTAAACATTATTATTATTCTTTATAAACATTATTATTTTTATAATTTATAATTATTACAGTTTTGTGTATATATCTATGATACTTACGTTGGCAAAGGATAGGAAAAAAAGTTGATTGTTAGTGAAGTTTTCTAGTAATATGGTATTCGGCTTTCCGCATTCTCTTTCTCTTCTTTGATATGCTCTAAACGCTGCCTCTAACCCCATTGTATCTGCGATATTCTCTCCCGCCGTTCGATTGCCATAGTTCTGCAATTTTTGACAAGATAAAATATTTTTAAAATAATGCCCAACGAGAAAAATAAGAATAATGTAAATTAGATAGTAATCAAATGCAGATGATGAAGTGTTAATAACGTACCTTTATTGTATAATTCGACGTCTTATCGATGGGATAATTATTAAACTGTTCCACAAAACACTCCGCTCTTTTGCCATATGCTTCGGCCATTTCAGATAACCATTCCACAATTTCTCCTTTGTTATTGTATAAGTGGCCTAAAAATTATTCTTTTAACTTTTTGTTATCTTTTTAAGTATTTTCAAAGAGCGTTTGAAATATATTTTGAAATAAAATGATAGATATTGTACTATCGCAATAATTAAATATAGAACATAGTTTATTAAATTAAATGGTCTATAGCAAATATTATTTTATGACGTTACCAGAGTCATCGAATCCATGATTAACTTCGTGACCCATGATTGTTCCAACAATACCATAATTAATAGCTCTGGAATAAAAAGTATTTAGACAAAAATTTTATCAATAATTACAAAATATTTAGAGATTATCGTAAATTTATTTGTATTTATGGCTTTTTGTAAATAATTATGCGCTAGTCACGTTATTCAAACACGTTAATATTTTTAATAAAAATTTTTCACTTACTGTGGTCGACCAAAAGCAAACAATGGGCTCTGAAAATCTGCTGCCGAGAGGGCTATAATTGAAAGAGAGATTAATATCAATGATGTGTGTGATATGTAAAAATTCATGGATTTAAATTCTACTAAAAAAAAGATAGATACAAACCTATGGAATTAAGATCCGGTGAGAAAAAGGCATTTACCATTGCAGGATTTATCGTCATTCTGTAACACGGAATATTATATGAATTTACTTTGCATATTAAAAAATAAGACTAATAAAATACGAATGAGTTTCTTACATTTCATCTTCATTTTGTTTCATCAACTTTCGTAGCTCCCTCCATTTACTGTATCTATCATAGCTCATTCTATTTTCGTAATACGAATCTTCAAGAAGAAGCTTTAATGGAACAGGACAATTAAATTAAATAATCACTATGGTAGTGGTAATTAATAAATTTTGAGAAACTTACACCTTGATAATATCGTCTAACAATAGTGTTATTTCTGTACCATTCTGGATATCCGATAAATTTCTCCATATGCACCAATTTAGATAAAATAAAATGCTTAGTACCTTCATCCATCCAGTTTGACGATTTAATTTGATATTCAACTTCTTTTTGTATATCATCCAACATGTCCGATGCCTACAATAGGAATAAGTAATTCAATTAAGCAAACTTATAAGACAGTCAGCAGGTTCCTATAGACAAAATAAAACTTAATCAACACAAAATACTTACAGCTGTCGTGATTTCATCAGAGAAATGCTTTCTCACATACTCGTAGCCTAGCATGTCGCTCATCTCTACTTCTCTTGTGCATTTGAACGATCTGTGGTAACAGTTTAACATATACGTATATATGTATATATATATATAAAGTCGAAGAGTAACGGTAGCGTTAATAATTATTTAAAAGAAACTATTTTTAATATAAGAGCTCGCATTGCACCTTGCTGGGATTCCCAAAATCTGGTCATTATCATCCTTCTTGTTTTCTTCCCATTCATCATATAATTTTCTCATTTCAATTGTAGTAGTTCTTATTATTTTGCTTAAAAAGAGCCAATGTATATAATTCACTGAAACATGTCTCATGTAAGCGCATTTATCAACGATATTTGTTTATTATTATCGCATTTTTTTAAATTTACCGATTGTTCGACTCGATGTAGCGTCTAATAAAGATATAAGATTACTGAAGTAATCTGGTTTTTTAATTTTCACATCTATATCACCATCCACAGGCACGTGAGCTTCGTCAAATAACTCCCTAATTTTGTACAGCCAGTCAATCTACGTTGCGTTAATTATACTTATTTAATTTGAGACAATTACAGGTTTTTTTTTCAAAATTAATTAGAAAATAACTTACTGTGCTTTTAGGAGTTTTAAGTTGTTCTTTTTCATACCATTTCTGGAAGTCATTAAGAGTTAGTTCCTTTTCTTTTCCTTTTTCCGTAGTAATCTAAAATATATTATTTGATTTTTATAAACACATTCTTATCACTTCATTGTTCGGCACACACACATACAAACACACACACACAAAATAATATGTAACACTCACATCAACTAGTCTAATGTGAAATTTGATCATATCTTGGATATCTTTATTCATGCGTTTCTCTGAGACTTCAACGCCTCTTACTTTAGCTATAGCGCGAGCTACTTTTGAAATGTAATCGGTATACTGTTTTACTATATCATATACATCAGTCATTTCATCTTGAGTATTAATCTGCAGTATCGCATCCTTAGTTTTTTTTACTCTTTCCTTATGTGGCTTATGTGCTTGCTTCACATGGTTCTTTTTAACCTTTTGCGTGTGTAATTTCTTGTGAATATTCGATATTGCCCATTTTCTTATCTTGTCTTTCTTCGTCATATGATTCTTGTACTTCTTGGAGTTGATGCTGCTCTTAATTTTTCGACTATGCTTTAATTTTTTATCTTTTGCGAATTTACTGGCTTTTTTCGAATTGATTCTTTTTTTTGTTTTTTCATCGTTATCGTGTTCATCTATATCATTATTCTCATTATTATCCTGTTCGATTGTCTCATTATTGTCATTATTATCCTGTTCAATTGTCTCATTATTGTCATCGTTATCCTTTTCGTTTGTCTCATTATTGTCATCGTTATCCTTTTCGTTTGTCTCATTATTTTCATCGTTATCCTTTTCGTTTGTCTCATTATTGTTATCATTTTTATCGTCATTGTTATCCTTTTCGTCTATTTCATTATTGTCATCATCTTCATTATCATTTTTATTGTCATTATTATCCTGTTCAGTTGTCTTATTATTGTCATCGTTATCCTTTTCGTTTGTCTCATTATTGTCGTCATTATCCTTTTCGTTTATTTCATTATTGTCACTATCTTCATCATCATTTTTATTGTTATTGTTGTCATCGTTATCTTTATCATCATCGTTATTATCATCTTCATTGTCATTATTGTTGCTATCGTCTTTGTCTTCGCTTTCAGGTTTTTGACTATCGTTTTGCTCGTCGCTTTGCTTCTGCTCATCGCTTTGCTTCTCCTCGTCGCTCGGAACCTTGTCGTTTTCGTCTTCCTCACTGCAATCATCAATTCCACCCCAGAGTTTGAATGAACCCGGAGGTAAATCAGGACTAGATATCTGATAAAAAGAATATACATTAATAAAAATCACTAGTGAGAAATCAAAGCGAATATTATAAATATTTTACATCTACATGTAATGGAAAGAGTATAGTAATGCATAAAACTCCTATAATGATACATAATGTATATATGATTGTAGTGATTATTATAGAAATACTAATTACATCACAGGCTTTTGGATTTAGAGATTTGAGAGCATAATGTTAATGCATAATTATAATCTTAATTGAATTGTGTTTTAATAAGTACATGCACTATTTTCTTGGATTCGTTTGAACTCCAATTTTCGATCACCCGCACTTCGTGAAAAGCATTTCTTCCTGTCAAACGCATATATTGATCATCCACTTTTTGCCAGCTGTACTCCTCCTCGTTCCATTCATCAGGTTCCATTATCATCGGCCAGCCACCTATCCGCGATAAGGTAAAGACAAGCGGATCAAGCCCTCGATTATCCATTGCATCTGAAAGTATTTTGTGAATTATACATATATAAAGTAATGTTTGAATTTTTGATCAGTTTAATTAGTCGTAGATTACTCGTGTTTACCTGTATCCATACAGACTGTGTACCACTTCTTCGCGTAGTATATCGCCAAAAGATCATCTTTCTTTGGGCCTTCGTCGAATATGTCTACGAAATATGATTTAATATTTAATATTATTATACACGCAGGATTTGAATTAAAGTTCGAATATTTTGGTATTCACCTTTTATTTTCTTCATGACATTTACTTGTGCACTTGCAAACATACTCCAGGATTTCATCCCTTTTGGAGCGGGATTATGCTCCAACCAGTTTCCACAAGCGTATTCGTAGAAATCGTCGCACGGATCCACAGATTTATCCATATTCTCCGTTATTATCCGAGCTGAAGGAAAAAAGGATAAATAAAGATTTAAATTAGGCATTAAAAATTATAATTTCAGCTACAGCTGTTAATGTTTAATGAGAAATACCGATTTTTTCGCATTCTTGAGATTGACACATGGTTGGCTTATTTTCTTCCTTAATTTCCTTTTGTGTATCGTTTAAGCCAAACAACCATGCTAGACGCGAAGGATATCTCTGATTTTTCGACGATGTGACATTTTTCATTAAAAGGATACCAACGAAGGCGCTACAAAACATAATTTAAAATGAAATATTATAGTATAATGTGTCATATTAGATATGATAAAAAATGTAATATAAAAAAATAATAAAAGATAGTACATGTATAATATATAAAAGAATAATATATTAATTGATACCATTATTTTAAAGAGTGAATTTAGAGTTTAAAACAAGAAAAAATATATAACGTTATGCACGATTAGACTTTATTTTTCCTAAATTACAGTCAATCAAAGCAGATTAATTTTTTAAAGACAAAATGAGAGATTTATACTTTTAATTGACACTGTGTTTAAAAATAAATCTTATAAGTTACTTACAGAAAAATAAGCCGTCTCATTGTCGCAAGATTGTTTAAGACTGAAATAAATTTTAATTGTGCTAATGACTAGTTTAACGTTTTCCACCACAATGTGTAATTTTCGTTGCTCAGCTGACTTTTATACTATTACTATCTATTATTATATAGAACAATTGATTATTCGCGGAAAGATCCTACAGTGTGCTACCATATCGAATTGATAGAGCCGAAGGCCGGAGATGTATCTTTCGTCTTTCTGATTTATATTGACAAAATAGGGTTAGCGATAACCGCTATCAACGCTATTTCAAAGTTTTTTTAAATCTAAAAAGTATTAATTTTCAGAGTTTCTCTTTTCTTGGAGGTTGTTCCTTTTATTTTCATTTTTACACTAAAAATGGAAGCAAAGGAAATAATTTCCAATTTTAAGTATGTAATATCAAGATCATAATCCTGAACAAAACATTCAAATGTTTTAACCACCTATTAGATACTTTAGATAATGTTAAGCTGGCGGTACTAAACTTCTTGAACTGTTCATTTTTTGTCTTTTTCTTTTCAATGTAATTACATAGATGATTTTATATACGTATTTTATATTTATATATATGTATATACATATATGTATATACACCTCGTATTTAATAAATGCAATTATTTATTAATTTTGCAGTTATTTATCTATTGGATAAATTTAATTGAGAGTACAATTTTTATCATGAGCAACGGAAATGTCATGTATCTAATATTTAATTAGCGTACTTACAAGTTATCGGTTTCAGGACATCCGTCGTTTCATGATTATTATATATATTTGCATTATGCAATTTAAACGAAAGTGAAAACAAGTTGCTTGTAAAATTGTGTTGCACATGAATAAAATTATTAAATTAAAAATACTTTTATACTTATTATTGCACTCATAAGAAATTTATTACAAACAGAGCAAAGGACGATAATTAAAATATAATAACGTACACAAAAAGAAAAAACGGTATAAAATTAAATTTCGAAAATCGGCGATATGATATCCAAAATATATATTTCATTCTGCCTGGTCAAATTTTAAATAATTAAGGCTGTGTTCGGAATTGACTCATGCGTCAAATGTAGCATGATCATATGTTATTAAAAACTTATTCTATAACACTACATTCTAAAACACTACATTTTCGGATTTTGGTTCATATTTTTAATCCTCCGCCTATATCGTGGATCTCTTAAAGAACAATCAAAATTTCAATGATCAGAGTTTCTTTCTGCATTTTACTGTATGAAAAAAAACAATATCTGAGTTAAAACCGTTTAGAATACAAAGTAGAGATGTAAAACAATAATAAAAAAATTTTTTCGATTTTTCACAAGTAATTTAATATGAAAAATTTGGTATTGGTATGAGACCGATAGTGTAGATAAGATTAATGAAAACCAGCAATGCAGATGGAGGAATAATATTTGCTGATAAATAATTTTTGTCCTTTGGAACGAACAACGCAAATTGTCGATCAATATTCATCATATCAAATCAATTGTCGAATACAATATTCTGAAATCAGAGGGTAGAATAAAAAAAACATTTTTATATAAGTGCTTCATTTTATTCATCGGTACATATGGATAAGTAATTTATGCTGAATATTTCTAAGAAATTTGCTTCGCAAGATTTTTTAGAATCATTTCCAAATATTGCACTTTTTTTCGGGATTCATCGGACTACCAACTGGGCAATTGTAAGCTTTAGCGAAATCGTCCGAATTGGATACAGGACCTATAACTCTCAATCGCCCGACGCTGTGTTCATCACTCCTAGCGAGATCTATTATTTGGCTTGAGGTGTATTTGTTTGCTTCGCACCATAACTGTAAACGTACATGTTTTGATACTGATTAATTTGAAGCGCATATAAAAATTATTTTATTCATTATTATATCTTTATAGTTTTAAATTAATTAGAGTTTTTCACTAATGCTAGTAACACTTACAGTAGAAAAGGATAAAAAGAATAGTTGTTCATCGGTAAAATCTTCCATGCCTGGCAATGCGGCTTCCGGTGTTTTACTCTTGTTATTTTTGCTTTGGAAAGCCTTAAATATCGCCTGCAATCCCATCGTATCTGCAATATTGTCGTCTATCGTCTGTTCACCATAATCCTACAATTTCAATCAGTAAAAAGAAATCAACAAATTTTCAATAAAATAAAAATTATTTAATCAATGATCGATAAATGAATGATCAACTAAAACTTTAGTTAAATAAAGATAATTTAAATATATACAGAGAGCAGTCTACCTTTAATTTTACATTTGTTTTTGAATCAATGGGATAATCATTAAACTGTTTCATAAAGCAATTTTCTTTTTTGTCATATGCCTGGGCCATCATTGGGAAGCAATTCAGGATGTCACCATTTTCATCGAACATGCGTCCTAAAAATTATTTATCTATTTCTCTTTTTCATCAAATATTCTTAAAGAATGTTAAATAATTATTATATCATTACAATGAATATAAATATTACAATAATTGTAAATATTATAGTACAAAAACAAATAACAAGTAGAGTTTAATGGGAGTGTTATATTTTCCACCGTACCTGTATGATCGAATCCATGATTAACCTCGTGCGCTATGAGAAATCCAATGATACCAAAGTTAACAGCTCTGTAGAACAATAATTGTTAAAAAGTATTTCATAAAGATTTATATAATATCTATATTAGCATTATGAAATAAAATGATTGCGCAGTTACCGTGGTCGACCGTAAGCGAACCATGGACTCTGGAAGTCCGCTGCCGTGAGAGCTATCAAAAGAATTAATTTTTATTGTTAAGTTAATAATTGCGAATAAAAATTTTGCCGATTAAATTGATACAATAATTTATGAATATGTACAGTTATATTGTCATTTTTCTTAAATAAGAAAACATATTGCGTACCTACCTAACGTATTTTTAAAGGGTAGATAAAAGGCATCTATTTCAGTTGGCACCATCTTTGGACTGTAATAAAAATTTGTTAACTCGTTTGTTAGCATGTATTTAACTCGTAAATGTAATTAAATAGTAAATTGTATTTCACTTTTCGTCGATTGCATCATTATTTTCCGATAACTTCCGTAAACTCTCCAATTTGACGTATCTGTTGTATCGAAGAGCATTTTCATAGTATGATGGGCCGATAACAAGCTTTAATGGAATAATCTTATATAAGATAATGGTCGTCATAACAACTAGTATTAACAACTTTTGAACAACTTATACCCCTTTAAGATACTCTTGCATAATCGTAGTATTCTTGTACCAATCCGGATATCCGATAAATTTCTTCAAATGTTTTACTTTTTCTATAAAAAAGTCTTTACTGTCATCATCTAACCAATCTGAATCTTTAATCAGTTTTTCAACTTCTATTTTTATATCATTGAATATATCCGATGCCTACAATAAAAGTGAAGAATTGACTTAAGCAAATGTATTAGCACTATTAGAGCACAGATAAAATTGTGAATAAAAGAGACAAATTAAATAAAACTTACTGTTTTCACTATGTCATCGGAGAAGTATTTTCTTACAAATTCGTACGCTAGAATTTCTTTTATTTCTGCTGAATCCTGGCAAATAAATACTCTCGAGCTACATTTAATTTAATTGAAACAGATTTTAAATTAGTAATGATTATTAATGTTACTCAGTAAATAATCAATTATAATATAAGATGTTATTTCTATATAAAAATATATCAAACCGTGTCGAAATTTCATTTTCATTCTCGCTAATGTCCTCCCACGCATCGTACAAGTCTTTCATTTCTTTCGTGGTAGTCTTTATAATTTTGCTTATGAAGTTCCAGTGCATATAATTCACTGAAATATATTTGTTATATAAACTCATGTCAACATTTATATGTACTTTCATCAAAGTCGTTTTCAAAACTTACCGATTGTTCGATTCGACGTCTCGTCCAATAAGAAGAGAAGTTTTTTAATGTAACTTGGCGAAGTAATGTCTAGATTTAGATCGTCATCGACTGACTCGTACGCCTCATCAAATAATGTCTTGATTTTGTTGACCCAGTTAATCTACAATATTATTTTTCATTAGTAATCATATTATATTTACCAGAAGAATAACAAAAATAATGCACTATAAACATCGAATTAAATTAATAGATTATAAGAAATCACTTATTACCTTGCCTTTATTTGTTTTAGGATTTTTTTTATTATACCATTTTTGAAAATCTCCAAGTGTAATTTCCATATTCAAATTAGGTATTGATATCTTTGGAGTAATCTGGAACGTTAATTATTCAAATCATTAGAAGTCTTTTTTAATAATTATTTATTTCGTGCGGTTCTTATGTTCTACAAAGTACAGGTGGCACACGATTTTTACCTGGATCAGTTTCAGTTGGAATTTGATCATATCTTGGATATCTTCAGCAAGACGTTTCTCTGAAATTTTAGTACCTTTGTTTTTGGCTATAATATGAGCTACTTTCGAAATATAATTAGCGTACGATTCTAATAGTGGTATCTTTTTCATTCTTTCTAAGTTTTTCTGCGGTATCGTTGCGTACATTATTTTCGCATTGCTAAAATTTTTTTTCGTCCTTTTTCTATGTACTTTTCTTACGTGGTTCCTTTTGCCTTTCTGAATATTTAACTTTTTGCGACGAATAAAACGTGCGCGTTTATTGTCAACTTGTGCTGCCCATCTTCTTATTCTCTGTCTTTTCGTCTTGTGGCTACCATGCTTCTTAATGATCCGAGTGCCACTCTTTCTCTGTCCAACGCGCTGTAATTTTTTGCTTATCTTATGACCAATCTTGCTGGTGATTCTTTTCTTGCTTATTTTCTTCCTGACTTCTTCATCTTCGTCTACATAATCATCATCATCATCATCGTCATTATCGTCGTCGTCATTGCCACTGCCATCATCATTGTCGTCATCATTATCGTCGTCGTCATTGCCACTGCCATCATCATCGTCGTCGTCGTCATTGCCACTGCCATCATCATTGTCATCGTCATTGTCACTGTCATCATCATTGTCGTCATTAATGTCATTATCATCATCATAATCATCGTTATCATCATCGTCATCATCATCGTCATCATCATCGTCATCATCATCATTATTGTCATCATCTTCAATGGTTTTAGAATTAGAATCATCTTTGCTTTCGCTTCCAGGCTCCTCATTGCTTTGCTCATCCTCGTTACTCGGGTCTTCATCACTCTTGCTTCCCTCTTTGTTTTCTTTGTTTTCTTCTTCGTTTTCTTCTGTGTTATCAGATTCGATCATAGATCGCAGTTTCTTTGAGCCTGGTGGTAAATGTGGTGTGTCGATCTAGATACATATGGATTTAAGGAGAAAAATAATCGGATAAAAAAATGTTGCAAATTTTTTAAAGAGGTCTAATATCTAGTCTAAAGGTAGATTCTCACAATCCACAAGCCTACCTTAATTATATTCTTTGTAACAAGTCTGATTAAAAGGAAATATAATACAATAAGTATTAGATACCTCTACTTTTTTTTGATCCTCTGAATCCTTTATGTGCACGTCATAAAAGGTATTTCTTGCCGTCAAACGCATATATTGATCATCCACTTTTTCCCAGCTGTACTCCCGCTCATTCCATTCATTCGGCTCCATTGTCATAGGCCAGCCACCTAAACGCGATAAGGTAGAAACCAGCGGATCGATCCCTTCTTTTTCTATCGCGCCTGTAACCATTACCGAATTATCGTAGATGCTATGAAATTTATATATTTTTGTTTTGACACTTTATTTATCACAGGTGCACTCACCCGTATCCATGCAAGCTTTGTACCATTTTTTCGCAAGTTTTACCGCTGGTAGATCTTTCTCTGTAATCTTAGACGCTACAATCACTGTGGAATTTAATAATATTAACATACTCTAAATAAAACCTGAATCTTGAATTTCACGAATAGTAATGTGTAAATAGGCTGATCACCTTGTATTTGCAGATAGGTCTGGATTTGGAGCTTAATCCATATATCCCACTTGGGCAACCCTTCTGGAATGGTATTTTTTTGTGGCCATTTTCCGCACGCGTACTCGTAAAAGTCATCACATGGATTTACAGATTTGTTCATGCCTCCTAATATAAAGTCAGCTGAGAAAATTGAAAAAGAGGAGTTACAATGATTGACAATCTAAAACGATTAGATAGACGATCTAACTGCAGCTTATAATAAAATGCGCAGATACCCATTTTCTTGCACTCTTTGGATTCGCATACAACTCGTTTTCCTTTCATATTATCATTTTTGTTTAATTTACTTATGCCGAACAACCGTGCCAGATTCGAAGGATGTTCTTGGATTTTCGATAATGTAACATCTCTCATTAGAAACGTGCCGACAAAGATGCTATAAAGATCCAAAAATACGATAATTAATTCGGCAATTATTTCCCGGTTATACACTTAAATTAAAATATTATTAAATGTTCTTTTACACGTGATTTTGCCTCTCCTTCGAAGGTAATTGTATATAAGAGATTAGACGAGGGTAGAAGCGACTCGACGTTCGAAAAATCGTCAATGTTATTAGGAGCGCATATCTCGATAAGAGGTTGTACGATCAAAATGTAATTCAAATTTCGCGCCCGCTTGAAATTAATCGATCCACTTTCAGCATGCCTCTGTTTGCCTAATATTGAAGAGCACGATGGCCATCATCTACTGACAGTATCGAAAATATAAATAATTTGGGGCCGCTATTTATAGTCGATTTATTAGTTTTTATACTTAAGACTGTCTTAAGTACAGTTTTAAGATCTCATGTACTAATCAGAGAATGACATAAGCATCTTAAGACATTATTTAAGATATATTTAACGATCTTAAAATAAGCACGGATTCTGAATAGCGGTCTGTTCGTAGAAAATTCTGAACGGTGTACGCTCATACACTTGTGCTAGAATGAAACAAAATATAGTTTGTTTTACTTCAATTTATTGCATTTGCAGTATACACCAGTAAAAATTTTCTTTGGAAAAAGACGTATCTCTTTAATGTTTTTATAGAAATGTGTCAGTACATGACAGCTATTATCTCAATATAATGGAAAAATAGACGCAAAAAGCGGAGCAATCAATAGGTCTGTTCGCTTGAAATCTCCAAAAATTTTTTAATTTAACCCTTTCGTTCTGGCGTATACGAATGTACTTTCTCTGTACGAGATACGTCTACAGTCGCGACTCCATTTGAACAAATGCATATACATATAAAATCAACTTTTCATTATTAATGAAAACCAGATTTTAAATAAAAACAATTATTCTTTTATAACTAAGTATATACGTTTCATTATTTTTATGATACATTTATGTATATTAATAAAAAAAAATTAATCCAGTTTGTTACGCCGACTCTCGACTTTCACGCATGACTTTCACATGAATGTCGATTAGTCAGCACTAGAATCGAAAGGGTTAAAATATATATTTGAAAAGAGAGAGAAAATCTATTTTCAAGTTATAACTTAAAATGCAATTTAAATTTGAATTGATAATAATTGATTTAAAATGATAAAATTCTTATAAATAAGTATAATTATAAATAATGTCGTTGTAAAAATGACAGACATAATACTGTGCTTAAAAAGCAATTATTTAAGTTACGTACAGAAGAATAAATCGCCTCATGTTGGAATAATTTGTCGGCTGATATAAATTTCAATAATGATGCCGCACAATAAATGTTTCGCGACGTTTTCTATTACAATGTGAAATTGTTTGTCGGCAGCTTACTCTTTTATATGTTACTATTTAAGCGGAAAAGCGCCATATCGAATTGATAGAGCCGAAGGTCGAAGACACTGTCATCTGCTTTCTCGTCCTATTGATTTATAAATTCAATAATTTATGCAATAACTTGCAAATTCTCTCTTTCTTTGATAGAATCAGATTAGATTATAATCAGATTAGTTTAATTTTCGCTCTTCTCTTTTGTCAAATGTCCATTAAATTTATATTAAAAGATATGATATATATATCTATATCAGACTTTTATGTCGAAGAAATATTTCTCAAAATGTGTGAACTGCAATAACTAATGGAAATAATATAAATATTAAAATCGATATAAATGCCACAGGATTACTAATCACCGCTTATTGGCAGAGAACATCATTTAATTATTTATAACTTTTTACCACATTTTCAAGGAATTTTATAACAATGATACAGATAATGTTTATTTTTGTAGAATTTTTCCGAAGAAGATATTTTATATCATCCCGTCCCAGTAATTATGTAACGTATCTTGGATAACGTACGTTAACGTTATTGGATAGCGAAAGCGGCAATTGTATCATAATCAACAGAATCTCTTTCGGATCGGCGTACACGTGTGCATGACACATGTGCAATAAACGAATGATCTAATTAATTATCTTTCTCGGAAAATGTCTCATGCCATCTCATGTATCGCATAATTGTGCATTGACATAACGGAAGAAAAATGTTTTCTCTTTTTAATTTATTATCAAATATAATTATATCTAATTTTTCTACATTCTATTAATTAAATAAAACTAAAATTCAAAACTAAAACTTATAAGAAAATATTGGAATAATAAAAATACACTTTTTAAATCATTTAATAATTGTATACTTTTTATTTTCGTATTTATAAAAAGTTTTTTTTATTTCATATATTTGATTTTTTTCTAAAGAAATTTAGATTGTTTATATACTTAATTATAAATAGCAATACAGATTTTAGAGAGAGATGATAAATGCAATTTATAATCAATTTTATTTAAATAATATTATTATACAAAATTAATTTGTATATATATATATATATATGTATAATTAAATATTTATTATTTTTATATAAATTATATTTAAATAATTATACAATTTAATAAATAATATAATTAAAAAATATTTATAGTTAAATTATAATTAATAATATTAATTTATATTTATATTATAAACATAATTATTCTAATTAATTTTAAAGTTACGTATGTCACATGAGTTAAATTTTGATACAAGCGCGAATACTACACCTAATTTGCGCAGTAGTGGCACCGCGTCTACATTATGATCTAACCTAACCTAACCTCCAACTTACTGATATTATTCACGCTTATTAATCGATCAGGTGGATCAAGTATTATTGATTCTTTTGGTACGTATTTCGATCTTCTTCGACAATGAATCTACCTCGAGCGTTGATTGTTAGTACGAAGGAAGGAAAGGCCAAAGAAATCGCAGAAAGTTAGTACAAGTGTACACTCTCATAACTTTTCTTAAATGATTCTAATTTTTTATGTAATTTTATTTCATGTTGTGTATTTATAATGCAGGTATAGGGGCGGAACGTCTATCCGAGGAAGATAAGATTGTGGACTATCTGTGGAACATTGACAACAAGTATTACACATCACAGATCTTGGTACGTGCTGTAGAAAACTTATCCCACAAACTCCCGGCGGAAGAAGTTGACGCATTGATCGTGTACCACGATCCACAGGCAGTAAGAGACATAATGGGAATTTAGCAATTTGATCGACATGTTGATGGCAATTGATTTCTATAGGACAAGGTGGATCAAGAGCTGGAACAATTGGCATCCTTAGCCACTTCCTTGACAGCAGCGGAGGTACTGTTGTTTTCTTGCAAGGCGATACACGACTCGCCTGTGCGAGACAAAGGTACAACAGTGTGAAGAATGTTGATGTTTAATATATGAACATGAATGTGGAAAGCTCAATAAGTTCTATATTTAAAAAATGGTGCCTTTCCTATACTAAACTATAGAAAACTGCCCAAAAGGCAAATAAATACTTGTTTTTCAAACTTCTAACATTATTAATTAATGACAAAAGAAACTGATAAAGTATAATGGTATAATTTTTGCATCATAGGATGTTTTCCAGCAAGGACACAGTATAACACAGTATTTACAAACGTTAAATATGAAATAATTTACTATATTATACAGTGTCCTAGCAGGAAAACATCCATTAGAGTGTCATTGTTTAGAATTGAAACCCCTCCCTATTCTATAATTCTTTGATATATTATAGAGCTCACTGAAAGAGATGCTATTAGCAGTACACATATTTGTGTTCTTATTTTATATCTAATGAATAATATAAATAGTGCTAATAACGTCTCTTTGAACATATACACACATACACATTAATTTCTATACCATGTATAATTGATGTCTTTTATATGTTCAGTGCTAAATTGGTGTATACACCACAAGTTTGAGCTAGTCGAGTTGGAGCAAACAGGAGATTTAGAATGTGATACAGAAGGTAACAAATATGGCATCGAGAGAATCATAGAAGCTCTGCATGCTCACATGTGGCCCAATATTGTGCTTAAAGGTGCAAATCAAATTTCTGCTGTTAGAATAAAAACTGAAGCATATAACTCTTTCCACATAGATTTGGATTAAATAACATTTTGTTACAGACAAATCATGCATGGGGCAAGCGTCAGAGGTAAATGAAATTGAAGAACAATTTGAAAATATTCGATTGACTCGTGATCCTACAGAAACACTACGCATGCAGGATATGCTCGGTCAGTATAAATCATGAAGAGAATAAAGGTAAATCTATGAAGTGCCATCACTTATTTCATTGGATTTTAAATTAAACAGATGGCATCATGGGCGACGAAAACGCAGATTTTGGAGAACTGTATGGTCAATTGATGGCCATGAAAGAACACGCAGCATCCTTACCGACAAACGAAAGGCGTCTAGTAGCAGAACAAGTAGTCACTGCTTTTTGGAAAGCCATGGGTGGCGATCTTTTAGAAATTGAGGATTAAATTAAAAATTTGATGTACTTTATAGATCGACTATAGTTTTAATTTCTCATTTCTGAATTGATTTGAGATAGAGAGTTCAGAACACTACAACGTAATTTATCTAAAGACTGTTGCATATTGGAAAGCAAACATCATTCCATGTTTGCTTTAAGAATGTATAATAGGAAAGAGAGAGTTTTCAGAAAAAGTTCCAATAATTTAAGTGTATAGTGTTGCATGATGTTATTTATGTACTATTAAAAACATGTATCTTAAATATCATGTAACGTAAATGTAATCTCATATTCGATAGAATTATTAATATTATTTAAAATGCTGTGTATATATAATACATGTACATTTTCTAATAAAATAATTTTATTTAAGACTCCTAAGTAGTTACTGCAATCATATTAACTAAATTCTTACGTCAGAAGCAAGAAATGGTAAGTAAATTTCTGTTACGTACCATTTGTAAATAAAGAATTTGCAGGATAAAACAAAATAACTCGAGATCGTTTTAAAACTGATAAAAATGAACGAAAACTCCATGCTTATCTTTCCTGAAACAATAAATAATCGTAAAAAATGATAAAAGGCATGTGTAAATAAAAATAGGCTACACATGTGCATTGTATAAAAATAATTCACGTGGCTTTTATCATTTTGTTATTATTTACTGGTAGGGAGGATATGGATAGTTTTCGTTTTTACAATTGTTTTAAAACTGTTTCATCATTTCGTTTTATTCTAATTGACTTTATTTATACAAATTGCACGTAATAAAATTAACGCGTCATTTCTCGCTTCTGACGATATGTCTATTATACTCAGGAACATTAAAAATAAATAAAATTTTTATATCGAATTTTTAGTAAAAACTAATATTCGTAGGAAGATTTAGGGAAAGGAAAAAGTTGCATGAAAAATGTCGCAATAATTTCGTTATTTTTGAGAGAAGACAAAATTGATTATATCTACACTCGATACATGTTTATATTTTCGAACAGTCTGAAGTATATTACATATCAGTTCAAATATTAAAATTCAGCGGCCGACTTCTGGATATTAGGAGCACACGACTCGAAAGAAGCAATATCAAACTTGGCGCGACATTCGAAATAATATTTTTTCGCGCATTTTTCTCTTCATCGGCGACAAATCTACAATTTAATTAATTTTGTGCACGACGTTGTATGATTTGGGTATTGGGTGTAGTTGTTTCGAGTACTACGCGCTATACGCGAATTGACGCGAGTGCTGGCCTAACCATGTTCGACTATATGACACGATGACTCCTGGTGCATGTGAATCTCCACATTATTTTGCGAAAACTGACAGTTTTGTATTATGTGTTAATTAGGGGCGATGATAAATCCCGTAAAGAGAACGATGATTTCCCTTAAATTAATTCGCCCGTACAGTCAATTCACCAACAACAAACCGGCTAACCTCATCAGGAATGAATTTTTAGATTATTTCACGAAGGATTTAAAGCACAGTTTTATTCGTTCTAGCCCTGTCTCTCCGATTACTGATCACTCTCTGGCGTTTATCAATGCTGGCATGAATCAAGTATGTCAAACTTTTCAATCTTGTGAAAAATTTTGTTTCTAATAACAAGTGCTATATGGATGCTATAACCAATACTTTTATTTTTACTCTTTTCAGTTTAAAGGAATTTTCTTAGATTATTACAAACCTCCTGTGACAAAAGTTGCAAACTCACAGAAGTGTATCAGAGTCGGTGGGAAGCACAATGATCTAAGTGTCGTTGGCAAAGACAGTTATCATCATACCTTTTTTGAAATGCTTGGCAACTGGTCTTTTGAAGATTATTTTAAAGTACGATTTTGAATATTATTTTAAAGTACAAAAAAAACTGCAATTATTTTTACTCTTCTGTACTTGTACTTATTTGTGTAATCTGATTTCAGGAGGAGGCTTGCTCTTATGCTTGGAATCTTTTGACAAATGTATATGGCATACCTAAAGAATATTTATATGTAACATATTTTGGTGGTAATGAGGAATTAGACATGAGTCCGGATCTAGAATGTAAGGATATTTGGTTGAGACTCGGTCTTCCAGAATGTAAAGTTTTACCTTTCGGTATGCAAGACAACTTCTGGGAAATGGGAATATCAGGTCCTTGTGGACCTTGTACAGAGATACATGTTGATTATATGAAACGATCAACTAATCAAGCCGAACGAGTGAATAAAGGATATGCTGATCTTATGGAGTTATGGAACATAGTTTTTATACAATATGAAAGGTAAGTTATCAGTTATTGTATGCACTTATTAAATATTTTAAATTCTTTAAATCATACAATGCAGCATATTTTTGATTATACATATATAATCAAGAACATGTATGGTATGATTTAAAGAATTTAAAATATTTAATTGGAGTCCATATGATATATACTGTAATATACTATATATATTTTAAATATCTTTATGTATTGAAACATTGAATTCAAACATTATTTGAAATTTTCTTTTCTATGTAACATAAAAAGCAAATAATGATATCAATTAATTTGAAATTGCATAGTCTATTCAATATCATATTTTATGTTAGGCTTACAAATGGATGTATAGTACCTTTACCAAACCATCATGTTGATACAGGCATGGGACTTGAACGATTAGTTACTTTTCTACAAGGAAAAAAATCAAATTATGATACAGACCTCTTCCAACCATTATTTGATGCAATACGAAAGCATTCGAATGTGCCAGAATATAAAGGAACGTTTGATGATAACACAGGCAAAACTACAGTTACAGAATTACCACTTGATTATGGTTACAGAATTCTAGCTGATCATGCAAGAATGATTACTATTGCATTGGCTGATGATATGTTGCCTGAACAACAGTATGATTTTATAGTACTAATGTATAATTATATGTATATATATATATAATTGTTAAATATAGTATATATATAATTTCAGTCCAAAGTTGCGAAGAGTATTGCGACATGCAATAGACATAGGAGAGAAAATCTTCAAAAAATCTGGCATTGTTTCAGAACTTGCTTGCAATGTAGCTGATAACCTGGGTATAGCTTATCCAGAATTGCATACTAATCTTGAAAAGGTAAAACGACTAAAATATTTATGAAATGCATTTATAAAATAAAATTTATAAACTTATTTTGAGACATAGTTTATATGATCTTAATATATTACTAGACGTAATTTGTCAGGTACAAAGGATAATAAATTTTGAAGAAGATTTATTAAAAAGATTACGGAATACTTCGGGTAAAATGTGGAATAAGATGATTAAAACTCGTCCCGAATTAATAGCAATTACTGATTGGATGGCTCCTGGTCTAGTTGATGGCTATAAAGATCTACAATCTATATTGACAGAATTGTAAGATATTTTTTTCTAATTGTACTTTTTTTTACATGACATAATGTATTAGTACATATTATATTATTTACAGACGTAAAACTAATGTGTTACCTGGAACTGTCGCATTTAAACTGTATGATACATACGGTCTGAATTCGGAAACTATAGCGGAACTAGCACAAATCGAATGTTTATACTTTGATGAAATTGACTTTGAAAAGCAACTCGATAATCGTAGATATCAATCAAGAGTTGGATTAGATAAACATAGTACTGTAATTACTAAAGAGTCTTTGGGAGTACTTGAAAAAAATCATGTACCTAAAACGGATGATTCATTCAAGTACAATTATACGTATAATGGAAATACCTATGAATTTCCAGAACTTAGCAGCAAACTTATTGGAATTATTATCAATGGTAATGTTAAAATAAATTGTGTACATTTTTGTTATATATTCCGTTTATCTAATTTATGTTAAGCAACTCTAAAACTGAATCTATCTTATGTATCATAGGAGAATTAGTTGCAAGTAAAAATTATTCCAACATAAAAACTAATAATAGTAACAATAAAATTATTGTAAATGTCAACGAGATATTAAACAATACAGATAAGATTGGAATTATTTTGGACAAGACTATATGTTATTCATTAGAAGGTGGCCAGGTTTCAGATAAAGGGAATATCCGTATTAAGAATCTACTTTTTAACATAGACAATGTTAGAAAAGTAAATGGCTTTGTGATTCATTCTGGACATTTTACTAAAACAGATTTACCGTAAGTATTTCATATTTTTACATTTAAATATATTTAGATAATTATAAAGCTCATTTTAATTATGTTTTTGTTTGATCGTAAAAATTCATTATCAATACATAAATCTGTTTTCTAGTATATCAGAGCCGCATTTACAAATAGACGACGATTGTCTAATCAATATAGAATCAAGTATTCGTATTGGTGCGATGAAACATCATACAGCAGCACATTTATTAAACGCAGCTTTAAAACAAGTTATGCACGTAATTTATCAACGTGGATGTACAGTCAATATGGATAGTTTAAAATTTCAATTCAATTCGTTAGGCGAGCAACTTACTTTAGAACAAATGAAGACAATAGAAGATCGCATTAACAATATTATACAGTCTCATGCTGTAACGACTGTGCAAACCGTGAATTCGTACGAACTGTTAAAGCAAAATGATGTTATATTAGTCCCAGGAGAGATATATCCTTACACAGACATTAAAATAATAGAAATTAATACTGACGATTTGAAAGCAAAGTTAGTGAGTCTAAAAATTTAAACACAAAATTTTCTAAACTAGACTTTACGTTAATATCAATTGTATATTTTTAGGGAAACGTGTTGTGGTACGCATGTACATAATACTGCTGTACTACAACACTTCTGCTTTTTAACATATACCTCAAAGGGAGCAACAAAACGCACTGTTGAGGCTGTTGTTAGTTCAGGAGCGTTGCGTATGAAACAAGCTGGTGAAAATACATGTCAAAAGATTGCGAAGTTAGAAGATGTTTTGCGAAGTGGTCAATTCACATATGAATTATTTAATACAGAAATTAATCGAATAAAACAAGAAATTAATAATCAGGATGTACAAGTACCATTACCTTACTTGATTAAAGAGAAATGTTTGACACAGCTGGAGAATTTGAGCAAGACAGCATGGCTGCGAGAGAAAGAAATTGAAAAGTATGTATAATAATATATATGCATACTAATTATACTATAGGAGTCTTCTATTTAATTCTGAATAATACTTAACAATGGTTTTTAATAGAGATTCTGTAACTCGTGAAATTATTAATGCCACGGATTCGTCATCTTGTTTTATTGTGTATTGTCTGAATAAGAATCCCACATATTTGTCATTGCATGAAGTTGTATCTCTCTTTTCTGAGATGCCAATTTTAGTTCTATCATGTATGAATGGATTGGTAAAAGCAAGATGTTCCGTGCCACAGGTATATTTTATTTATATATTTATAAATTTACATTTTGATATATATTGTATATATTATAACAATACGTAATCTATATGTGTATACCAAAACGTAAACAATTTAAATAAATTCTTATTATTATGTTTAGGAAATAGCTTCTAGTGTATTTAATGCTCAAACTTGGATGAGTATTATCCTCCAAATTTTTAATGCAGAGCATGGACCTATTAAGGGATTTAAACCCATGTTAATTGCAAGTATGAAGTCTACAAAAGTATCACAGGATTTTCAGATACGTATAGAAGAAGCAATTACAGAGGCTACCAAATTTGCATCTACGCATGTAAAAAAAGTTGAGCTCACTAATAAAAATTAGTGAATAATTTTTTTATATTGCATTTTATCTCTTCACTCTTTCTATTCGAATTGATATATACATAATTTAGCATATTTAAAAAAAATTAGTCTTTATTTATCTATTTATGTACTTTTCATTTGTATAAAGTAACATCAACAAATATATAAAAAAATTTTAACTAGGACATAGGTTGTACATGTCTCGTATAAAATTGCTGGAGTGCAGACCATTGTGCTGTATGAAGCAGTACATGTGGTCTCTTCGTTCGCAAGTAATCAACCGCTTCTTCAGGCGTCCAATTATTTTTCTATAAAAACGAGAAGAATATTTCACTGTCTAATGATTAAAAATTTCTTAGTTTTGTATTTAAATCATGCCATACGATCTTACTGTTATTAAATAGCATGCGACCAATGTTGCGCTTCTTGTTCTTCCTGCTTTACAATGAACGTAAACTGTACCATATTCATCGTGATTATTGTCGGTACTTGGATTATCTAACTTTCTAGGTGATATGTTGCGGAATTTATTAATAAAGTTTACACCGTCCTGCAATTTTTCCTGAGAAGGTGCTTGAAAGATATCCGTTGTAGACAACTGTAGAAATTCTACATTATATCTGCGCCATTCCTGGATAGATAAAGAAAAGAAATATTGTTATATCAAGCCGCATATATATCTATTTTTTTACATTAGCTCTCTCAATATACTAGTTTATTTTCAAAATTTAAATCCTATTATTGCGTACTTTCTCCGTGTTTGACAACAAAGACAATTCGTAATCTTCATTCATAGATACAACAGCTTTTATATTTTCATCATCTATCAACTGCAAAAGAAAAGTGTAAAATATAAATTCTATGTAATGATGGTACTTGAATATTTGTAACTTAGTGATTATAGCATAAACTTTACTTGTTTAAATAATTGATATATACATTTCTAATATATATATCTAATGTATATATTCTTAATATATTATTACAAAAACAGTTCATCTTATAGACTAAAATTAAAAATTAGTTTTTAATTAAAACATTAAATATTGTATAATAACACTAATTCTCTATATTTGTTGAAGAATAAATGCAGATAAAATAAGAAAATAAAATAAAAAACTGTGAAGCATGCAAGATATTACGGTGACTATATATAATAAATATATATATATTTTTTTTATTAATTTATGTATAATTTCTGTTTTATAAAAATTAATTTATACGAAATACCATACCTGTTTAGCCGATCGCCGAAAAGGTAAGGCGCCCAATATAACAGTCTCGTCTATTCTATCGTACCAGTTCCGAGTCGTAATTCTTTCCATAACGACATTATAAAGCAAGGTTGGATAAAATGTTACCCTCGCAAACATTTTTGCTAAAAATCAATTCCGACAGAAGCGTTAGCTCGAATGACGATTCAAATACCTTTGAAAGTTTGAAAAATTTAAAGAAAGTTCGTGATTCATAGGCTCGAGATTCCCCGCGATATCGATATAATGGTAAATCCTTTAAATAGGTCAGTCTCCAGTATTACTTGATTTTGTGATATAATAATATAATGCAATATGTATAGTTCCCGTCTCGATTTTGAAGGTAACACAATGAATGGAAGACACAGAAGAAATCTTCCAGAAGTAGAAAACGTAACTCAATTGACCTACTTTCGCGGAACAGCAGTTACAGAAAGTAACAGGTCTACAAACTGGTGGGGACAGTAAATGATGCAATGATACTTTTTCGGCTAGCAATTACTTATGATAAAATATTTTTTTCAAGATACGACATTCAGAATAAAATTCAATGTTTTAATAGAATAGAATGTTATCCAGCTTTTTATTACAAAGAAAACGAGATGTAGTGGAAAGGTAACTTCTTCAAGATTATTCTCCCAGTTAGAGTCATTCAAATATCAGATATGTAAAATTATGAAGACTTGTATTTTCTCTCGATCAAGAACTATTTCCATAAATAAATGTACAATATTTACATAGATAATTATTATTATGCTAAACTAACTTCGCAATTTTGTGAGGTCTCTAGTAAATCTATATCTAAACAATAGACTCCTAACTCTCCTTTTCTAAATAAACTAATAAAGTAATCTGCTGCATATTGTAAATCTGGCATGACTTGTATTTTATTGTTGTAATTTTTTATTCTCACAGTTTTTGCCAACTTTGCAGCAATATACGTGAGTACGTATGACACATTGTCATTTGGTTCTGGCAAACCTAATTTTTCTACATATTCAAATCTGTCATTTTTATTCAACAAAAATAATAGATAGTCTGCAAGCAGGTACGATCCTACTACTTTATCTTGTAGACATCCCACTAAGGCTAGCTTAAAGCCAGTATGAATGTCATTAATGGAAGGAGTTAGGATACCCGGGGTATCAATCAGATACACTGTTGGATCCTCTGATATTTTTATACGAGTCATTACGGCTCGTGTAATACCAGCTACTGCGCCAACAGGAGCAGCTTTGCCCGAAAGGTGAAGATGATTGTTTCTCAAACAATTAATTAGAGAGGACTTTCCAACATTGGGTACACCAATGACCATCATGGAGTAAGACTCTTCTTCTGCTCTATTGTAACGCTGTGAATCTAATATCAACTTCTTGGCTAGAGGCAAAATCTGCTTCATGCCCTTGCAGTTTTCCTTTTTCAGGTTTGTAAAGATTATGTTGGACAGTCCTTCTCTGTTCAGCGTAGAAACTATACTTTCTGTATATCTCGTATCAGTTAAATCAATTTTGCTTAGTACAAGTATATGTGGCTTCAGGCCAGTCAAAGTCTTGCTAAAGTCTGCATAACGTCCAGAAATCGGTACCCGTGCGTCGTGAACCTCTAGGATGCAATCGATATTTTTCAATCGCTGCTGCATCTGTTTCAGACCCTTCGTCATATGTCCGGGGAACCATCGCAACACCTTTGGCGACACGAACTTTTGTCGCAGATTGGCGACTACTTTACCTCCAGTATTCGTCATCGTGCCGCGGCTTCGGTGTACTCTTTCGCTACGTCCTCGAACAATAGTTCCTTTCGACAAATGCTAAAACATTGATACACGTGACTGCAGGTTAAAATTAAGACTTGTAAGCGTTCGTTGCGAATGATGTATTTTATTCAGATACCTAAAGTTTTTTTTTTGAAATTTGTATCAAAGAATTTGTATCATTATTCAGACATGATAATAGCCGGAACAAGTGGGAACAGGCAAGGCTATGCGATTGAGACAAATGCCACCGTAGGTTGTAGTAGGTTATATGTCGCGGGAGATTTTTTATTGGCTGCTCAAAATCAAAATAACGAAACGCAGGAGCTGTACAATGTGCGTTTCCATGAGAGCCTATCAATTTTAAAGTTGGCCAATTAGCGTTAGTCGTACAAGTTGGCTATTGGTCAACTCTACCGATAAGACTTAGGATTACCGACTACCGACTCTCTCTCATTGTAGAATCATCATAAATAGTACTCATAAATTATATAGCATAGAATAAGTTTGTGATAATTCAAAATTTATTATATCTTTTCTATTCTTTTTATGTAAACATAAAGGTACCTTAATAATAATAATAATGATATAAGGATTGTTCTTCTTAACTCTTTGTTCTTTCAATTTCCTTTCTTTTCTCCTTTAGCTCTTCTTTCTTTTCGTTGGAGAGGAAAGATGAATCATGCAAAAGATTCAGCTATAAAGAGCAAATTCAAGGATGTCACTGAAATGTCACATTGCTTTAGTTGACGTCAACTTCTATTAGAGGCGCTGTTTTCAATTCAGTTCGTTCATAATATGGAAGTTGGTCACGTTACTCCAAATCCACAATTCCACAATCCACCTCCACCGCAGTACCGCACCGATTTCCATCCACTTTCATTCTAATTACGCGGAAACGTGGTGTCACGCGTGAAAATGGCTATGCATATACCAAAAGCGCCTGGCGTGGCGCAGATGCTCAAGGATGGAGCCCGCGTAAGTGATATTTTATTTCACGATTATTGTGTGCATGCGATGAACCGGCTCGCAGTCCCGTTGACGCTCACTCCTGGAGAGGGATACGCGAGGATTGAGTTCTTGCCTTTTATGGATGTTTCAGGAATTCAAAGTGCCCTAGAATCTTCGATATGAGCAAAGGGCGACTTTCGTTAAACGATATCTATGTCTTTTCTTTATGTGTTTAGGAAATCAAACTTGAATAAAATATTGACCATCACTTTTGAATGAATCATATATATATATATATATATATACACACACATACCATGCGTGTGTATATGTGTCAAGGCTTTTGAAAATTTATACAATAGTCTTATATACATAAGAAACTTTTAAAAAAAAAAATGATTTTAATTATTTGCACTATTATAGAAAATTGTTTTAGAAAATTGAACTTGAATAAAATATTAAGAATAGATTATTTGAGTATGTCGTCAACATTTTCTACATGTATAAGAATTGTTAAGATGGAAAATTTTATGTTTTTAGTACTTTTCTGGTCTGGAAGAAGCAGTTTACAGGAACATTACAGCTTGCAAACAATTTGCTGATACTGTAAGAAGTGCATATGGCCCTAATGGCATGAATAAAATGGTTATTAATCATATTGAGAAGCTGTTTGTAACTAATGACGCAGTGACAATCGTCAATGAGTTAGAAGTGGAGCATCCAGCTGCCAAGTTATTAGTCTTAGCATCAAAAATGCAAGAAGCCGAAGTAGGAGATGGAACAAACTTTGTTATCATCTTTGCTGGAGAATTGCTTCATGCGGCAGAAGGATTGCTTCGTCTGGTATGTTGACTTATTATATAATGTTTAATTACATTAATGTACTAGTGAAGTATTCACTTCTTTGTTTAAAATATAAAATATTTTTCAAGAAATGATAAATACATGCATCTAATAGAAATTATATTTTAATTTTTTCACTCCAGGGTATTACAACTTCAGAGATTATTGAAGGTTACGAGAATGTCTTGAATAAAGCACTCGAAATATTACCAACTCTAATTGTTTACGAAGTAAAAGATATACGAGATGAGGAACAAGTAAAGAAGGGAATTAAAAGCACTATCATGAGCAAGCAATATGGAAACGAGGATATCCTTGCTTCTCTTGTCACTAAGGCTTGCATCTCTATTTTACCAGAGAAGACAACATTTAACGTTGATAACGTACGAGTTTGCAAGATACTTGGGGGTGGTTTAAGCAATTCCCAAGTGATGCAAGGCATGGTATTCAAGCGTCAAGTGGAAGGAGATATCACGAAGAAGAAAACTGGAGCAAAGATTGCAGTTTACACTTGCGCTGTAGATGTCATTCAGACCGAGACCAAAGGTACAGTGCTGATTAAAACAGCCGATGAGCTATTGAAATTTTCGCGTGGTGAGGAAGCAATGTTAGAAAATCAGATCAAGGCAATTGCTGATAGCGGTGCTACAGTGGTTGTGTCTGGTGGAAAATTCGGCAACATGGCCCTGCACTATATGAACAAATACAATCTGATGGCTGTTCGTATCCCGAGCAAATTTGACATTAGGCGGCTTTGCAAGACCGTCGGTGCCACTGCGTTCTCAAAGCTGGTAAATTTATTGACTCTGATTTTCCAATTCCGTTGAACACTTTTAAGTGTCTTACATATCTCCATCTGATATACACACTATTATAGGTCTGTTTTCTATAGCTTATTTAATGTATACTTTTAGAATCTAAAGTGAAATAAGTATATGTCTGATATTTAGCAAAAGTGAGCAAGTTCAAAGCTGATACTCATAATCTGTTCTTATGTCAAGACTGACTTAAGTATGTGTTGAGGTACTAATATAGTCTAGTGATTGAGTAATGATATCTGAAAGTTATACTCAAGACTTGTCTTAATTATAAAACCTAATATGAGTATCAGTGTTAGTACAGTCTAGTGCAAAAATGAAAAACAGACCTAATGTTTTAGAATAAGGTATTGTAATAATTAGTAATTTATTTTAAAGGTACCTCCATCGAAAGAAGAGCTAGGATATGCCGATTCGGTATATATAGACGAACTGGGAGAAACTATAGTGGTAGTGTTTGAATTGGAGGGAAAAGATAGCCGCGTCAGCACCGTGCTTGTGCGTGGTTCGACTGAAAATTATATGGACGATATCGAGCGTGCAATTGATGATGGTGTCAATACTTTCAAAGGCATTACGAAAGATGGTAGATTCGTTCCTGGCGCAGGTGCTACAGAGATCGAGCTTGCCGCACAGCTGGCGGCGTATGCAGATACGCTACCCGGTCTCGAGCAGTATGCCGCACGCAAATTTGCCACTGCCTTAGAGATATTCCCGAAAACGTTGGCCGAGAGCAGCGGTGTACGCTCGTCCGAGCTTGTATCAAAATTGTATGCAGCGCACAAGGAGGGAAAGAAGAACTATGGTTTTGATATCGATGTACGTCTCTCTCTCTCTTATTTTAACTCTTAGGCTAACATTGGAGGAGTAACGCATTATACGTCATAGACATACCTGTGCATATATTTGAGATATTTTTATTTAAAACACAGTCTTTGCAATACAAGTGTATTTTGTATTTCGGAGCACGTGAAATATCACGTATTTTTTATTTAAAATCAAAAGGTTGACAGTTTTTTTTGTATTTTGTAATTCAAATAGTAAGATTGATTGTCAATCGTAGAAATTTAAAATACAAAATACAATCGTTTTACAAATACTGTTTTTCAAATAAAAATATTTTCTATATACATGCTCAGCCCTGACAACAGATCTTAGTATACACGATGATATTCTGGTCCTTTGCTATATGTATATGATAAATCATTTATTTCCTGGATTAATTTTTATTACTTTTATTGTACTTTAACATCTTTAGAAAGTATTTATAAAGTATGTATATCAAAATGAAGAAAAGCTAGAGACCATCATGTAGGCAAGTGTCCTCTTAGTATTTCAAAGAAAAGAAATTCGCCGGACACGAATTACCTAATCGTGTGTATGAAGGATTTATATTCAATGTCTCCTTTATATCGAATATATAAGTGTTATCCCTATATTATCTTTTTTAAACTGATATCTTATATGTATAATTATATGTATTTATTTCTTTTTACAGAGTGAGAGCGTAGCTTTGATCGATACCATCGAAGCCGGAATCTTGGATTTGTATCTGACGAAGCAATGGGCGATCAAGTACGCGGTCGGTGCGGCGTGTGCGGTTCTCAAAGTAGATCAAATCATTATGGCAAAACGAGCGGGTGGCCCGAAAGTTCCATCGGGAGGCGTTCGTGACGAAGACGAGTAATAGTGAACAAATCGACAACATAATTGCACACTTTCACACATCTTATTAACGCATTAGTTTCTGAGTTTCTGAGAATGTCATTGGAATAGAGCGAATAAAAAACAAACACCGTGTCTGTGCTTAATTTCGCCTAATTAAAAAGGAAAGAAATGTACTTTCTATCGCATGTGCCTGCTCATTTCTGGAAGATATATATTAAGTCAAATACTAAATAAAATTGTTAATAAATACAACATTCAATACCATATTTTCTCTTTGTTATTGTGGTAACAATCATCACTACATCAACTGCAGCACAATAAAATGTGATTAGTCGTAAGCATTCGGAGAATTAAATTCATACGTTACACAATAGGTATAAGTAATATTTATGGTTTTATATATGTATGTACATAAGAAGGGCGCTCAGCTGTTGAAAGAGAAAAGTAAACACGCGGTAGCGGTCGCGAGTACCGAAATTAAATGTAACAGTCACAAAAATAATTTAAAATATAATTATTAATTTGATAATTAAGACTCATCATAACACATGTTATGCAGGCGTCAATGCAGCTGAAGGCTCGGACGCGAGGTAATCGTGAGTCTCAGAATACGCCGCGTTGTACATGAATTTAAAGAAATAGCAAATCGCGTTCGTTAGAGCAGGCCCTACTGAAAAAAATCACGTCACAAAATTACACAATGAAATCATGTAATTAAACCAAATCAGTACGTGATTTCTTTTTTAAATCACATAATTTGAAAAGTCACACAATGATATGTTTTTTCTTTTTATTCCTATTATTTAATTCTTTAAAATTCGATAACTATAAAATCACATAACAGATATTTCTAATATCATATGATTTTTCAAATTACGATTTTAATAAAGATATTTCTAATATCATATGATTTTTCAAATTATGATTTAAAAAAATAAGGTAATGATTTGGAACAATCCATTATGTAATTTACTTGTTTTAATTACATGATTTCGTTATGTTATTTTGCGATGTGATTTCTTTAGTAGAGGGCAACGAAATAATATCGAAGGATCTAGATACCGAGAAATACATAACAGATTCTCCAAAAATCACGCAAAGACCCGCGAGACAACATTGAGATGACAACGCGAGATGACATTGTCATCTTCCGTCACGTGCGGTCTTAAATCTGTATGCAGTTGACGAAATAAATACGTTGATAATTTTGACTTGACATTTGATAGACTTGATTATTTTCCGCGATCTAGAATCATATTAGTCCTGTAATTATACCGATAACGACTAAAAAAGTGGCGATCGTCCGACATGCGCACAAATTGACAATCATAGACGGACGAATTTCGAGTATCCAGTCGTGAACAGTGCGAATCGATAAAAGTGCGTGAGTGCGATGAACGACAAAACAATGCTGAGCGCGCACGAAGAAAATGCTCTAGCCCAGACGATGGAACAACAACGGGCACAACTCGAGCGACAACGCCAGCAACTCGAACAGGAGAGGCGCGAATTGGAGCAACAGAGGCACGAGTTGGAGCAGCAGAGGCGCGAATGGGCGCGACAGAAGACAGCATCAGGACTGCAGACGAGAGTAGAGCAACAGCCGAGTGCAAAGGTGAGCCGCGTGGTCATGCGGATGCCCGAGTTTATTCCCGCGGACCCGGAGCTCTGGTTCAGCATCGTCGACCGGAGTTTCTTGGCCGCTGGTATCGTGGTCGACGCGACGAAATTTGGATACGTGTTAACGGCGATCGGTCCGCGTTATGCGGTGGAAGTGCGCGACGTAATAATGAATCCACCCGCGAAGCGCGCATACGAAACTCTTAAAGCCGAGCTCGTTAAACGCCTCAATCTATCACAGAAGCGCAAACTATTAGAGGACGAAGAAATTGGAGACAGAAAGCCGTCTGAGTTTCTACGTCATCTCCGAGAATTAGCGGAAAACGTGATCGGAGATACAGTATTGCGTACGATTTGGCTATCCCGATTACCCGCATACATACAGTCGCGCCTAGTGACACGCACGAAGGACACCGTGGACCAATTGGCGGACATCGCGGACGCGATCATGGAGACTACTCGAACGTCCGCTCTTCAGGTCGCGGAGGCTACGCAATTTCCGACGTCACAGGCAGTTCTGGAGAACGCGAATTCTGTAGCCGAAGAGAAGATTATTAACCTACAAATAGCGCAGCTGCAATTATCGTTGCAGGAGGAGATGGCGGAGCTATTATCGGCTATTCGGGCGTCTATCAAATCGATTCGCGAATCGAGACGCGGCCGGAATCGCAAACGCCGCGCGCGCTCGCAGTCACGGTCGCGCTCGCGCTCGCGGTCACGCTCGCGCTCGCGGTCACGCTCGCGGAATCGCGAATCCGTTGCAGACGAACCGTGCTGGTTCCACTGGCGATACGGGGTCGAATCAAGACGATGCAAGCCCCCTTGCTCGATGCAAGACATAGGAATCCCGTTGGCCCTTCAGTAGAGGCCAGGGACGACGGGCACGTCGACACGTCGCCTCAAAGTCGATGTATGAATTGTCGGCCGCAAACGAAACGGTTATACGGAACGGAGACATTAATTTTAAATCTCGGACTACCGGCGATCATTTGCATGGCGTTTTGTAATCGCAGACTTAACGAAGCCCATTGGAGCGGATTTTCTCGCACGTTACGACCTACTATAGTCGATCTAAAAGAAAAAACGCCTTATCCAAGATTGAGGAATTCCAATTCCCAATGGACTACGCAGCATTGGCAACATCGCGGGAGGATGACAAGGAAATAAAAGCGTATACATGAACAAAAAATTTTCAGACTAAAATTAAAAAAAACGGAGACCCCAGGAACTGGAGTTGCGCGGTCACGGCAACATCAACGCTACGACCCTTCTTTACAAAACCATTCCGACGAGTCGCCTTTGAATTACTACGCAATTTGACGCATCCGGGGATTCGAGCGATGGTCGAGCTCATAGCTCAACGCTATGTCTGTCAATAGAAAAAAGATTGCCGTAGCCGAGCGCGGGCGTGTGAATCGTGCCAGCGAACAAAAATTATACGACACTATTATGTCACAACACCAAGGGGAGAGTTCGCTTCGTCCTCTCGAAGATTCGAGCACGTACACATTGACATAATTGTGATGCCAATCTCAAAACGATATTGTTTAATATGCATCTATCGCTTTTCACGATAGTCAGAGGTGTTCTCTCTAGGGGACCAGGAAGCGGAAACTGTAGCAAGGACATTTTATAGTGGATGGATCGCTCGTTTCGGAGTGCCGCTCCGGGTTACTACAGATCGCGGTTAGTTGTCTCCTAGTAGATATCGTACCACGTCGTACGTCGGATGCCGTACGCAGTGTGTGAATCCTACATTCTTTTCACCACGACGGACCAAGGACGAAGGCTGGATTCACACTGCATCCGATTTTCGTCGTACGACGACTCTGCAACCAATCAGGAAACAAAATTCTGCTTCGTATCGATTTCGTATCGATACCTGTAAACACCCTACGACGGCCCTTACCCGGTGATTAAACGCGCTAACAAAATCTTTGTCGTACGCATCCATGGAAAAGATATTGTGGTTTCTATAGATCGCATAAAACCACCCAGCATCTGAGAATGGATTAAAATGGATTGGACATTTTGTCTATTCGAATTCGTATTTTAAATAGCGAAAACTTTTTTTTGGATTCAATTGGATTCAATTGGATTCAATTAGATTCAATTGGATGCAATGGATTGAAAAACTACGTTGCCTATTCAAAATTTCGAATTGTACAGTATTCACTATGATCATAAAACGCATTGAAAAAGCTGATATTATTTTTTTATTGAAAGGTATACAGATATGCTCCATGCAATTCCTATAAAAACGTATTCGGATTGAAAAGAATTCATTTTAACGTTCATGAATCCGTATTTCTGAAAATCTGAATCCATTTTAATCCATTTCAATCCATTCTAAGATACTGTGCAACATATATCATTTCAGATCCAACAAAGAACAACAAGCAGGTACAGCTAAGCAGAATAACCGGAGCACCGAACGAGAGTGACAAGGCAGTGGACATGGCAACACGAGACGAACAGTGACAAGAACGAAGTCTGGCAGGAGAGTTCGTTTCCCAGACCGACTCCGAGTCGGAATATGTAATTAACGTGCCGCGACGTATTTATGTAAAAAAAGAATAAAAAAAAAGTATAGTTAGCTCGGCGCATGACAACCATAAATTAATGTTTAGTATTTATCGCGTTGTAAGCACAGCATTAGCAGGGGGATACTGTGGTGACTGAATTTCCACTACATCAACTGCAGCACAATAAAATGCGATTAGTCGTAAGCATTCGGAGAATTATCCAGCAAATGTAAATAGACTGAAATGGATTAAAATGGATTCAGATTTACAGAAATACTGATTCATGAATGTTAAAATGAATCCTTTTCAATCCTGAATACATTTTTTATTCATTTATTATAGGAATTGTACGGAGCATATCTATATGCCTTTTAATCAAAAATTAATATCAGCTTTTTCAGTCATCGTGAATACTGTTCAATTCAAAATTTAGGAAACGCACTTTTTCAGTCCAATTGCATCCAATTGAATCCAATTAAATCCAAAAAAAAGTTTCCGCTGTTTAAAATACGCATTTGAATAGACAAAATGTCCAATCCATTTTAATTCATTCTCGTTTGCTGGGATAAATTCATATATGTGTTACACAATATATAGGTATAAATATAATATTTACGGTTCTCTATATAATAGCTGTACGTAGAAGGCCGCTCAGCTGTTGAAAGAAAAAAATAAACACGCGGATCAGGTAGCGGTCGAGCACCGAAATTAAATGTAACAGTCACAAAAATAATTTAAAATGTAATTATTAATTTGACAATTAAGACTCATCATAACACATGTTGCAGGCGTCAATGCAGCTGAAGGCTCGAACGCGTAGTAATCGTGAGTCTCAAAATAAGCACAAAATACGCCGCGTTGTACATTAATTAAAGAAATAGCAAATCGCGTTCGTTAGAGCAGGCAATTAAATCATGTCGAAAAAGATCTAGATATCGAGAAATACATAAACAGATTTTCCGAAAACGGATCACACGCGAAGACCTCTGCGAAGTTGGCAACTCATTTTAAAAAAAAAATAAAATTTTCGACAGAGTTTTGAATGCACCCAGAAGAGTTCTGAAGTTCCTGTCTAAAATAAAAAATAGTTCTGGCGAATTAACACTAAAAATCGAAAATTTTAAATTTTGGGTGCTAACTTCACAAAACGCACAACGAAAAATTGCGATATCTTCTAAACCATTAGTCATAGCGCTTTAAATGCTAATAACTTTTAGTAGAACTCTTGGGGTGCTTTATTTTAGGCAGAAACTTCAGAACTCTTCAGGGTGCATTCAGAACTCTGTCGAAAAATTCATTTTTTTTAAAATGAGGTGCCAACTTTACAGAGGTCACGCGAAGACCCGCGAGACAACGACGAGATTAAATCTGTAAGCAGTTGATGAAATAAATACGAGTTTCATGCGATATTCAGACTTGATTATTTTCCGTTTCATGCGATCCAGAATCATATAGGCCGGTATTCATAGTCATTTCTTATATTCAAGACCGTCTTAAGTTCAGTCTTGAAAAGTTATGAACCAATCAGAGGACCGCTTTAGCATCTTAAGACATATTACTTAAGACAGTCTTGAAATAAGAACCGACTATGAATACCGGCCATAGTCCTGTAATCATACCGATAACGATTAAAAGTGACGATCATCCGACGTGTGCAAATTAACAATCATAGTCGACGAATTTCGAGTATCCGGTCGTGAACAGCAACCGTGCGAATCGATAAATGCAGATCTGTAGTTTTTGTAATGGAACTTACGCGCTCAACATATATTTTTGTTCTCTGGGAAGAAACTCGCGCCACATCAATATTTTTCGACACTACGACTTTATCAGCAGAGTCGATAACGTAATACGTAGTTCGTATCGTGCTTGTGTGCGACTCGCCGCGTAGTTTCCAAACCGAACTGTGGACGTACTGGCGGCGGTAGTGTCGGGCGATTTCGATGCGATTACGGGAAAAAGGCCGGTATGGTCCCTTTCGGGTTCTTTCTGCTGATAATAAATAAATTGTAAGTGAAATTGCCACAATGTTTCGTACAGTGAGTATTATAATCGTTATTTTAAGCGAATAAAATATGAAATTATTTTAGAATGTAACACGTGTATTTGCGTTATTTTTTTAGGTTATTTTACAAGTACGCAACCAAATTACCCGCTTAAACAATGTACGATATTTTACGCAAGAAATGAACGAAACAATAAATATAGAAAAGTGTAAGTATACAATGCCATCAAAGAATTATTTGCAACTCTAAGATAGGCTATTTAAACAAGATAATTAAACAATTTTTTCATTTCTACTCGTGTATGCAGATAATAGAAATTTAATGCCATTATTTTCATTTAAAACAAAGGTTTCTTTTCTATTCATAGGTGTAAATAATGTAACATTACTTGGAAGGGTTGGAGCAGATCCCCAGAAACGTGGCTCTGAGCACCCAGTTGTATTATTTTCCCTTGCGACACATACAAATTATAAATATGAATCAGGTACATACAATGAACTTCTAACCTAGCTTTGGAAAAACACGCAATAATGTTATATCCATAGGAATACTTGTATTGGAGTATATCTTTATTTCCAGGTGAATTTATGCAAAGAACAGACTGGCACAAGATATGTGTTTTTAAGCCTAATTTAAGGGATGCTGTGTATAAATATTTAAAGAAAGGTCAACGAGTAATGATAAATGGTAGAATAAGCTACAGTGAATTTAAAGATACGGAAGGAAAAGATGTCTTCGCTACGTCTATTATAGCAGATGATATAATATTTTTCCAATAAAGTTTCATATGTAAACTGTATATATTTTTCTTTTCAATAAAATTAATGAAAATAGACACTTCGATTCTTTAATCCGTGGGCAGTTGAATAACATAAAAATGATGTTACAAAGTGTATTTTTGTTGAAAAATTTTAAATGTCAAATGTTCTAAATTTAATGTTGATGCAATCCTTACTTTAATTAAATATAATTAAATTAAACACTGGTGTGTCCAAATACATATTAGATAAATCAATAATAAGTGTCTGGAAAAAAAATTTATTTTTAACAGATTGTATTTTGGATGAATTGAAAGAATAGTATATGTACCTTCTTAATAACTAAATAAGTCTATGTATTTACAACATTCATTATTTCATGTATTCTTCATATAACAACTTATATAATAAAACAGCTCTAATTTCTAAAATTTTACATTTTTTATACACGCGAAACGATATATAAACTTCTCCAATCTTAGATGTATATGCATTGTTTCGCACTACTATTATGTCTTCATATATATTGTTACATATATATTGAATACATATGTTTAAATATATTTATATATTACATATACAAATATATAAATATATTTATACATATATATTTATTCATTTATTACATTATAAACATTTCTATTTATCAATGACATTTGTCCATGTGAAAATTATTTACACGATTGTAAAGAGAAAAGATATACATATGTATGTATATATATATATCTATAACATTACGCAATTTCTAGGCAGACGTTTCATCTAGATGTATGTGACATGCACGCGTGTTTTATCTAGATAATAATTCCTAATTAACTATGTAATTCATTCTGTATATAGCATAGAGATCACAGTATACAAGAAGCCAGATATATTTCAATATGTTACTTATATCATATCTCTCATTCATTATCTCATTCACTCATGCTTTAATTCTCTCACATTATCTCAGTTTTATATTTTCAAGCTTTATATTTTCAAGTGCAAAAATACAATTAGTAATTTTCTTAAACTTGTTTCCTAATTGTATATGCGTCTTGTTTCTTCACGTTTTTTTTTCTACTCCTCTTGCGGACTTTCGTGGTTTATCGTAGACAAACCTCGAATAAAGAGTCGTGGAATGTAAGCCACAATCACACAGGCAACAAACATAGAAATTTCGAATATAAATTTTGATAGTAAAATATATATATATTTTTTTTCTATAGATAAATTTATATAATTCTAACTCTGGCCCCGAATTTCCATAAGATTCTTGCACTATGCTTCTAATATTCGTCTTATTTTTCACATTTGCATTTACAATTCATTATACGTATAGTTCAGTTCATTAGTGTTCAATTTATATACATATTCTACAACATACATGTTCATCAACCATTACACGATACTCGATTATGGCGCATTCTTGATATAATGCATACATCGAGTTCTCAAAGAATACATATTGGTTCCAAAATCGTGATATACCGAGTGTTTTTTGGAACAATCGACTAAATACATAAAACATTCTCTTATTAAACGGCAAATATTCTTGGCACAAATACGTCAAAATAACGGAGAACCATTTCGGTGCATGTACAGTAAGAGCCTGAAAAAATCCAGTTAAATACAATATTTCCTTTAGAATCTGATCTATATATATGTCGTGAAAAAGATTTTGTCAAGCTCTTTGTACTCCGAAAACTACGGAAACATTAATAATATAATTTTTCTGTGATGCATTTACAATGAATGTTTCAAATCAAGTAGGTTTTCTTTGGGATCGACTTTATTCATAGGCTACGTTTCGCCAAGAAAAAAAAATAAAGTCGTACATCACAAAATATATGCCTAAGATTAAGAAAAAAAAAAAAAGAAGAGAAACACGTAAGAAAGACCTGGTAACAGTTCTCCTTCTGGCATTCTTTGTACATTGAATTGTCGTATGTATCATGTTCTTAAGTGCACCTAAGACCGTACGTTTCATACACATCTTGTCGTTGTAAAAGTGGAAAGAAAATTGCTGGATTTGGGTGATTCACTTCATTATAAGGAGGAAGCAGGGAAAGGCTAGGGCGGAATATCCGCGAAGATTCAGTTTCACATTGAAGCGTTCATTATTATCGGCACTGAACGCGAATCTATGTGAGGGTGAAGGGGAGAAGAGGGAACAAATCGTTATCCGATTTACACCGTGAGGATATATATCTACTCTCTTCTTGCGCTCTTATCACACTCTTTTATATATATATTTTATGTGTATATATATATATATATATAACGACAAAAATGGAGAAGATTCCTGCGTAACTGCAACTTTAAATTTCCAATAAACACACAGAGCCGGGCATATAGGACGTAAAATTGAATTTCTTGATTTTTAAAAAATTCCTCATTCTAAGAGTGTTTATGTGCGAATTGAATAAACTCTCTCTAGTGAATGTTCTCTCTGGCGATTATTCTCAAAAAGTTCGTTACCGTGCTTAAAATCGTAGCTTTTATCATGATTCGTTTCGTGATTTATATTTCACGCATTCTACGATTTATTAACGATTGAAAAATCTCTAAACCATCGATATATCTTTTTACAACTACCACTAGATGATTTCGAAATTAGATCTTATCTTCGTCATTGTTATTTCTGAGTCTTGTCGATAAGTTACGCTTTTTGGATTCCGTCTTTTCTCATTTTGAAAACTTTCGTATATCTTTGTACAGATATCACTCAGTCGCCGATATGGAACCCTTCTTACATCGAGGTCATTTCGCCACCGACTCCCAGTCTGCCGTGATGCGATTACGTATAATCATTGCGTTCCTACCATCGCTAGGTCCCGCGTCACTTCCTCTCTTCCGACTCCTGAATGGTTTTAACAAGATTATACGCGTGACTTCTGTACTTGACAGGTGGGTCGTGTAACGATAGGGGCTGCTGCTGCTGTTCGCTCGACGGTTGGTTCATGCTGGACATTGAGAGATCCGTCGGCATGTCCGCTTCCGGTTCCCCCTCTGGACTTCCGGTAAGAGGAACTTCCTCCTCTGGTTCTGATTTTATTCGCATCTGATGGCGCAGCGATGATATGTTCTTTATATTTTTCAATTCGACCGAATTACGCAAGAATCTGCAAAGAACATAGACGATCCATTGAGTTCATTTTGCCCTATTTTTTTTATATTCTAAAAAAATGGGGAATTTATATTTTTCAAATTATTCTTATTAAAATTAACACAAACTCATATTCTCTAGCACATTCTTTTCTGTGACAGACTAATTATTTAGTGTGCAAGAACAGTAATACTCACTGATAACAATGACGTTCGCCTTGTACTTTTCTAAGTATGTTCACGCGGTAATAATAGCGTAAAGCTCTGCTCATTTTGTCGTAATTCATAGAGAGATGATTTTTCTGGATGCCCCACAGTCGCGCTAGACCAGGTGGATCGACAATCTTGAATACACCAGTTTCCCGACTTTTCCACGAGATGTAATGTTGGTACCGTTGTTTGGGGTCGTTTAGCAATTGCTGAAGGAAATCCCAGAGCAGTCTTCCGTCTAAACAGAACGACGGAAATTGTGCTACAATGTGAATAACAACCATGGGAAGATTAAAGTAACGGTAAATATATATACATATATATACTTCGAGATTTTATATTTAAAATATTCCATGCTGTCGTGTATGTAAGAGACGTCAAAAGGATACTCGGAAGATTATGACATTTCTTGTAATTAACTAATTTTTGCCGGTATATCTAAAATACGCGAGTAATCGCAAATACTAACTGGTGTTGGGTTCCGACGAATCATTAGGGAAGAACTCTCTGTTTGTGCTGGTGGTCGACCGAAAGGTACCAGGCGTCAGCGGCAGCAATTGGTGCGGTAACGTCGGGCTCGGTTGGTCCTTGACGCTCACCTCACTGAGCCTCTGTGCCGCCAAAGCTGTCGGCGTGGCCGGTGGACTGCTGTTACCGCTTGACACTTGGTGAGTGTTGTCTTCGTCCGAATCACTCTTATAGACTTGCGTCTGATTCGCGTCGGTCGCGTGGCTGGGTGAACCCGACTGACTGTCCACAGACGGTGCTGGCGACAGTGTCACCGAGTTGGCCGACATTAACGAGGCGAGATTCGAGGCGTACGGTGGCGTCTCCGTCCACGTTGGTGTAGGCGGATGCGAATGTGGACTCAGCGGATATGTGGACGGTCTGGTCGGTGTCACCGGACTGCTCGGTAGGCATCTCTGTAGCTGACTGTAATCACGCACCAGCATTGTCAGCACGTTGTGCAGTACATCGCCAGCGCTTGGACACCTCTCGCCCATATCGGCCTTGGTCAGCAAGCACAGAGCCTTGCCGTTCATCTGGAACACGTCCATGTCGAACGGTGGCAGGTCAAATTCCCGTTCAGCCCACCGCAGGAACGCCGCTACGTCCTCCCTCGACCACAGTCTAGGGTCAGATACTGAAAGGAGAGAAGATGCCATTGGTTGTATTCGCGGTGACCTTTGTAACCACTATGCGGTTTAACATCGTCTATACGCGTTCATAATTAATTCACTGATTTCTATTTCCTTTAACTAATTCAATAGCAACGTATTAATATTAATACGAATAATATATGAATTGATTAAAAGAACTGAAGCAATTAAAGTGCAGTAAAGAAAATTTTCTTCGGCTTTGTCTTTCTCACAAGTAAACTTTACACAAAAATTTTACAAAAACCGGAAATTGAACGGATAATAAAACTTTAACTTGATAAACTTGTAAAGGAAATATTTCAAATTTTTTTATGACACATACCTAAACTGGTTGGTAGATGAGTTTTAAAATCCAAGAGGGGATTAGGCGGTGGATGCGTTGTAGGTGGGAAACCCATCGTGGTTCCGTATTGGGCCCTCCAGAGTGCCCAATCCGGAGGGCACAAAGGTAAAGATATACCCGGCAGCCGAGACTCCATTCCGGCCATTCCGCCAGCGGCGGAAACCGGTGGTAGCTGCGATATCTGAATGGGTGGCAGCAATTTCATAACACGCCTTCGGATTTACTAATGGCTTCTGTAATAAAAGAGATAAATAAAATTTTAACATGTCTAATATATTTTTATAAATACTATGATTTATTTTATCTCGTAATGAAGCAGCTCGATTATATACATGGAAAGAATTTTTTTTGCTAAAGTATCTAAAAATTAACTATATGTATAGAGATACAGATCTGAAAATAATTTTGTTAGACTATTAAAATAATTATACAGAACGCTCAGAATAATTGCTAGATTGTTAACATTTTTTCGCAACATTGCTTATCGTGCTTGAAAATGTCCTTCATAATTATTTTAATAATTCGAGTCTAACAAAAATTGTATCTTCAGATCTGTATCCATTAGCTACAATTTTAGATACTTCAAAACTGTGTTTTTCTATATGCATATACAAATATAAACCGAATAAAATATTTGCGTATATGTAATCTTGCAAATATTTTATATTTATGCAAAATAAATACATCTTTACAATTTAATAATTGGTTGATATTAGAGTATCGTTCTTCGCTCAGACATTATGTCTTCGTTAAATCAACTAGATGCAACAGTATCGTTCGATCTATTTAGCGAGCGCGTAACACGAAACGATGTCGACGTCATTTCGACGCTACAGGCGTACGAAAGTGATCTCTATATTTATTTACGACCATGGAGACGCAACACTGTGTGACGTAAAGTGCAATCTTCCGTATCTATACCGTCGAAAATCGATCTCCCTGATATATAGCGCTTTACCTCGTCTAACGATCGGTTCGCCGATGTAGAACGATGGAAGATAATAACGCCAGATTACAGTTACACGTCAGTTTCTTACAATGTGGACGTGGAACAAGCAAGATGATTCAAGAAGAAGGAAAAGGAGACGAGACGAAAAGAGAATGGAAGAGAAGCGTCGCGACGGCGACGCTACGAGGCGTCGTCGTTCTCAATTTCCTGATCGGCAACCGGTTCGCAGACATTCGACTATTAGCATAGAATGTGGGGGCATAAGAATGAAAGCCGGCAGGAAACATGGATTTACATAACGTATTTCCATCGACGTCGACGAAGCTATTTCCGTTCCCGACGTCGTCGGCTCGCGAAGACCCGCGACCGCCTAAGCAAAATTTCTTACAACCAACATGGAGACTCACTTTTGAACTTGTAACGAATTATGTTGTTCATTTCGAAATTTTCCCACTTAAATTTAATTGTTTCCAAAATTACTTAATTACGATTGTTTGCAACATATCGGAATTGAAATTATCTCATATACTGCGAAACATTTCCAGTTGAAAATGAGCGAACCAGAAGATTCCAATCCAATAACGATCAAAATTTTGGTTATCCCCAAAAGAATTATAATAGATACAATCAGAAAGTTTGATTTTCAGGTAGAATTTCAATTAATGTAACCAGATCCTTTTTCCAGTGTATTATAGTTTTAAGGAAGAACAGTTTGTGACTTAAGAGGATTTGTCATTAAAATTCAGAATAAGAGTTCACACCTTGTGGTCCAAAAGTCCAGAATAGCGGAAGTCTTCGTAACAGCATTACATTAGAATGTAAACAAAAACAATTTAATTGGAAAGATAGGATAAAGCAATGTAGCTTCTTCATCGGTATAATGAGGCTATTTGCATGATAATCATATGTTTATAATCCATGTACTCGAATAGATACAATTATTAACGTACCGGTGCGCGATTACGCTTAATGTCGTGGCGTGTTAGAGCAGCTCCTAACACTTTGACTCGTGACATTGTAACATGAAAAAATCATGGTTACTAATACGTCTTATAATAAGTCGACTTATGATAGAAAAAAGCCTATTGACGTCACCGGACGTTCGATATTCGAAGCTATGTAAAATTATACATACATATGTAACAATTATTGTAATACAATACAAAGTGTTATGATATTTTACATATTTAATATTGTTATTGAATATTTTGGAACTATTGAATATTTTGTAACAATCGACAAGTTTATTCTGCGTCTTAAAAAAAAAAAAAGAAATACGTTTATACAGAAATACAATATCTTTTCTATTGTTTTTTGATCACTGCATTTATTATATATTATGTCAATTATATAATTTTTTCTATTATAATTTGTAATTCTGCTGACATACAATAAATTAAAAAATTATTGCTGTAAATAAAAACGCGATAAGTAAAAATTAATTTTTAATCTAAAAAAAGAAACTAGTCCGCGCTATCATTTTTTTGTTCGTGATTTGGTGATCGATGGGTTCCGAAATATTTTCAGTAAAAAAAAACTCTTCTTCTCGTGACACTTCGAAAAATGATCGGAGGAGGCTCTTGGCGGCACAATTGCGGTGCGATGCTTGCTCGAGAACAAGAAAGAGAAAGAGAGAGAGAGGATTGCCCTGAGGGAAGAAGGCAGGAACCTCGGCATGCGAAGGTCGATGTGCCGTTGTCTCGCACCAGGAAATCCTGGTCGTCTCTTCGGTCTCCCCCCTTCACTCCTTTAAATACCGCGAGTAAGCGAACGGCCTTATACTCAGGTGCTCCTTTCGGTCGGCGATTTTTTTGTGACGCGGTTAATTAAAGCGACTACTTGAAGCGGCGTCGAGGGATGAATTTGAGGATAATCTTCGCATCGCACCTGTTTCGAGACATAATTGCTTATGCACGCTTCTTGATGGCTATCACTCCGAATTACACGAGATGAAAGATCCACAAACATGGGAAATATCTTTGATGTTCATAAAGAATTGATCATCTTAAGTGATAAAATTTCCAACTGTTGGTTCGTAATTTTTTAATGTTATTGCAGTGTCGGGGTTCACATTCTACATTTTTCATCCTAAAATACCACAACTTTTCTCTGATTTCCAGAAAAAAATGTCATGATTTTCCTTGTATTCAATAATAGGTATTTTGAAATTTATTTGTATTTTTATCCTGATTTAAAAAACACCAAATATTTTATTGAAAGAGCAATTTAACATAGCAATGTAAATTACTATTAATATTGCTGATATTATTTGCATTTAATTGTTAATAGTATTCTAAAATTTTTAGTATGTACGTATATTAAACTTCTTTAAAATTAAGAATTATAATTTTCGAACAAATTTTACAAAATTCTCTGACTTTTCCCGTTTTCAATTTCCTTGATTTTTAAGCCACGCTGAATTTCGACCGAGACAATTTTAGCATATCGGAATGTGTTTTCGAGAGGTGGAAGAAACGATAATTGCGCGATGCAAAGAAGGTAACAAGAAAACACCGGATTCTGCGGTTCCGCTTGCGTGTTTCTCTCGTGAAGGTTTTTTCTTTTTTTTTAGTGATGGCAGAAAGGAGAACCGATCACTTTGCGAATTGCGGCGGAAGCGTCAGAAAAAAATTGTAACCGCGACGCCACTCGAGACTTCCGGTACGCGATCGAAGGACGCAGAACACACCGGAAGCGAGTTTGAACGCGACGAGGTAACATTGACATTTCCGCATTGCCTATTTCTTCGCGCCACGTCACGATGTTTGCGTAATATATGTTTAAGTTCTTGAAAATCCTGAGTACTTGGAGAGCTTCTCTTCTCCGTTTTCAACATGAGTCTCAATTGTTCAGCTTTTTTTTTTAATGAATTTTAATGTAAACTTTAGTTACATGACATAACCATATATGTATATACATGCTTCAGATAAGAAACAAAAAATGAATATTGAGTTGCACAATGTTATTTACGTTATATATATTGTATAGAATTTAAAAAATAAAAGTGCGCATTATCGATAAAAATGTATTTTGAATATATTTAATTGTTTATTCAATATTTCAGTTTTTAAAAGATTCTTATTGACGTGAAATTATTAATATTCAAAATTATTAAATTGTTTGCTAATTTAATATATGACATTATACTACTCTAGTTCTGTCCGTGATTGCGTTTCAAGACTGAAAAAAGATTTCGGCGCGCAATTTACAGAATTGAATATTTATACGAATTCACACTGAAATACTTTAGCACTGAGGTCCGCTCTGTGACCGAAAAATAAGATTATTTCTCTTAATTGATTTATTCTCGTCGGTCTATTTAATTATAATTGTTTTTCCTTTTTTTTTCCCTTCCCATTTCCTATTCGTCTCTTTTTCTCCTTCATGCCGATGTTTTCTCTCTTCTTTTCTCAATCCAATAGAGTTCCTGTCACGTGGAGGACCTGTCGCGACCTTGATTATATCGTCTTGTTTACGATCGATCCTACAACTTAACGACCGGGTTTCCCGACGCGAAAAAGCTCTCGACTGATCATCGTCGCAAATGTGTTTACATTGTCGCGTGTCGAATAGCTCAGAAGTCTTTACGTAGAAGTGACTGCGATAATCGTGTAGATAACGCAGCACAGATAGTAGTAACTGTCATTCGCCATCATGTATTGTGACAACCTCGGTGATAGCTACGTGTCTTACGTTGACATGTAATAAATATTACCGGAAGGGAACCTTTTTACACTTGGCAGGTGTGAATCAGTTTCGTAAATGAGCAGATCAAGATAATAAAATATTCTTGCAAGGCATGTCTTGAAGCATGACCGAAGATTACCAAAGTGTGCATCTCGCTAATTGCGTTAACGTTAACGTCTTGTTTTTAGCGTGAAGATAAAAACGCTAAAGTAACGTATGCATTCGATGATAATATTCGCGACTTATCTGTCACGGTTTTCCTTTACAATAAAACGCGTAAATGGACAAATTAAGAGAACAAAACATTCATGCGGATGTATGTCTCAAATAAAGCATGGCATTATCAAAGCGTGCATCTCGCTTACTGCGCTAACATTAACGTTTCGTTGCTGGCGTTGAATATAAAAACACTGAAACAACATATATGCATTCAATAATGTAATCATTCAATATGCGCGATTTATCTCCCACGTCTTTGAATCAGCAGTCGTTTTTCCTCCGCTACGATGATTGTATTTAAATCGAACCGACGTCGACCGGTCCGCGAGTTGAAATGCATGAGGTGACACCACGTGCTCTTCATGTGAAACGC